TTTTTCACAAAGGTATAATTTTGACGGCCGTTGATTAAAATTTAGTTCATTTTTTTTTTAATCACCGATTGTCAAAATAGTAAGTGTTGTTTGCACCCCTGAATAAAATGAGCATTATCGTTTTATGTTCCAATCAATCTTTTAGTTAAATTCATTTTTTTTGAAACATCATGACTTTAAATTCATAAAATAGTAAATTGTGATTTAATAATCCATGCATTTGTAATTTTTCCTAATAATAATAACATGCATGATATAAGTAAAAGACTTCTAGTTCAATAATATAAGGAAACATTACAAACAAATACATGAACTTTTAGACCACTTTTTACTTTTTTATGAAGTCAGTTACAATATTTAAGAAAAAACAATATTTATTATATTCAATGTCCAAACTACCTTACTATTTTGACGACCGATGATAAAAAAAAATGAATTAACTTTTACCACCGGTCATCAAAATGGTTTGTACAAAAATTGTTGTCTGTTTTAAAAAAAAATGGCACTTTTCACCAAAGTGGTACTTACACACACAAAAGTATTCTCATGATTTTGGTGATCTAAAAGTGATTTTGCTGTAGGGGGTATAATTTTGATGGCCGTTGATTAAAATTTAGTTCTTTTTTATTTTTTTATTTTTATATCACCGATTGTCAAAATAGTAAGAGTTGTTTGGGAACTTGAATAATATGAACATTATTTTTCTTATGTTCCCATCAATCTTTTAGTTAAATTCATTTTTTAAATATCATGACTTTGAATCCATAAAAATAGTAGATGGTGATCTAAAAAAGTCCATGCATTTGTAATTTTTTCTAATTATAACATTCCTGAATATAATAATAAATAAGTAAAAGCTTAAGTCTATTTGGTGCTCTACCAAAGGACCTCTAGTTCAATGGTATAACATCTCTATCCTCGAAGAAGTGAGGAGATGAGGGTTCGAGCCCGGTGTGAGTAAAAGTGTGTGTGTGTGAATACTTACATTAGATACAACTTTTCAAATATTTCTATTAACTTATAGCCTAAATTTTATTTAATTTTCATTAAAAAAATCAGTGAAGAGTTGTGAGTGATGCAAAGAATAACTTGGGACTTTCATGATTTAGTTGTGTTCAATTACTAAAAAGAAAAAAAAAATAGTATGAAAATTCTTTAGTTATACAAAGCTAAAAGAATTAAAAGCACAATTTCATAAAAATAAAAAATAAAAAATTAATTCTCCAAAAGTTGTTGTGTTTTTTAAAATATTGAAAACTGTTAAGACCCTTACTTTTTAATCTGGCCTAAATTTTATTTAATTTTCATAAAAAAAATCAGTAAAGAGTTGTGAGTGAAAATATGCAGAGAATAACTTAGGACCTTCTTGATTATTTGTGTTCAATTACTAAAAATAAAAAATAGAAAGAAAATTCTTTAGTTATACAAAGCTAAAAGAATTAAAAGCACAATTTAATAAAAATTAATTCTTCAAAAATTGTTGTGTTTTTAGATATATTGAAAACTGTTAAGACCCTTAATTTTTAATCCGGTTGGTAAATAAAATATGAAAATAACTGAATAAATAAAAATCAGAAATGATTTGCTTGAAATGTCGGAACCCCCGAATGGAGAGCCGAGAGGTGCTGATGGGCCCACAAGTGCTCTATGGTTTGCAAGCTCAACACTTCCACCCAAGTGTGGGGGCGATAGTCCCAAATGAGAGCAGCCATGGTTGGGATGCTTTAGGCCTGAAGTGTTGGGTTGGGCTTATCTTGTCACTAGTATTTGAAAGTACTCCACCAAACTAAAGAGAAGCATAAAAATGGCATTTATCTTGCTGTCCTTAAAGCCCAACTTCTACTGACTAGACCTTTTCTTTTCTTTGGGCCTTGGTCCAACTAAAACCTCTATACATTATCTCCTGGAGTCCAACACATATAAATGGATCCAATACATATTTTCCATTTGCAAATGTGAACATTGCTCGTGCTTATCTTCTCATATCCAAAAACTCTTCGATCATTCATCAATGAACCACTAAGGCCCAAGTCCATTTCCACTCTAAAGTTGTTGAATAGTATATTTTTGGCCAACCATTGTATATAAGATGATATAACCTTGCTTGCAAGTTGCAAGTATTTTTTGAAGACATTGGTTTGTTGCATCAATGATCAATCAGTGTTCATTATGTTATTTTTTATCCACACATATAAAGCATACATATAATAGACAGAAATACATGTATAAAATATTTTTTAACTAAATTTTCCTCAATTTAGAATGAAAATATAGCAATTGAGGGGGAATCTTGAAATTAATTGCTGATAATTGTTTAAAATTGTATTATTGTTATAATTTTAATATGCATTGTCGCATTTATTTTGCATTTTATTCCTGCATTTTAGACATAGGTATAAGAAATTCCTTATTATTATTATTATTTTTTTCATAAGTGTAAGAAATTCCTTTTATCCATTGGTAAAACTATTCATGGTTAAAATGAAACTTTAATGCATGGAAATATATATATGGTAAATTATCCATCATATACAATTTTCGTACCAACACGCAATTTGCATGTTTTCTCTTGTAGGTGTCTTTGACTGAAGTACTAGTAGTCTTCGATCGATGCCTAGAACATTTTCGATCAATCGATCGAAGATGTATACCTATTGATCAACGAAAAGAAAACGCATAAGAGATCAAGTATCCAAAAAAATTCAAAGGTCAAGATCATTTGTGAATAATTTTAGAAGATAAAAATATAAGTTTATTATTAAGGTAAACTTTGCTGTAACCTATCATTACTTCATTTAAATTTACAATAATACACACAATGTATAATATTGATTATAGGGATTCAAGAGAGAGATAAATTACATAATGTCCCCTCATTTTTAGTAAAGATACATGAATATTTTTCCTCATACATTTTTGTTAAATGTACACTAATTTCCATATACAGAGTCTTTAGAGTATTGGGACAAAAGAAAAACTCAAGTCTATACTAAGATAACAAAAATGTCAGTAATACTAATAATTTCGTATATGCTAAGAGTATCTCCAACTGCTGTATATATATTTTTTTTTTGTAAATTTGATGAGTCATGATGGATTTACATAAAAAAAATTGAATTATTTAATTTGAACTCCAACGATTGTTTTATACCTTTTGTGTAAAAATATATCTCCCAATAATAACTAGCCAAGTGTCATGCCAGGACCCACATAATTTTTACAAACTTACTTAATATATGGTTGATTCTTTAATAGAATAAGAAATAAAATATGTTGATCTAGCAGTGTAAAAAGGTTATGTAAAATATACAACTTTTTTACACATTGGTGATGTGGCAATATATCTTAAAAGACTGCTGGAGATGGAAAAAATTTACATATCATAGGTGACAGTTTATATTTTACATAAAAGAGTATTTTAACAAACCGCTGGAGATATTCTAATATTTTTATTTGTCACTTGTTAAATGTAAATTCTATAGCTACTCCTTATATGTTATTAAAGTACTTCTCTATTTTGTTCTTAGTAATCATTAGGGGTGACAATTCGTGTTCGCGGGTCGTAATCGTGTCGTGTCAACTTAAGGGTATTATACTAAATAGTTCAACCCGAACACGACCCGTTTAATAATCGTGTCAAGAACTTTCAACACTAACCCGACCTGTTTATTAAACGGGTTACACATGTAACCCGTTTAATGACCTATTTATAATAAAAAAAATATATATTATTTAAATTATTAATATTACTCAATAAAATAATAAATACTAAAAATATATATATATATAAGTTTTAAGCAACCAAATTATTAAATAGTTTCTAGTTTACAAAAGATTAAATTATAAGACACGAGTTTATATAGTAATTTTAGAACTTAAATACAAATTTATTTACGACATATATAGTTAAACGTATATAAACGGGTTACACGGGTTGAACCCCTCAACTCAAACACGACACGATTAATTAAACGGGTTAATCGTGTTGACCCGTTTATGACTGAAACCCGTTTAAGATCAACTCAAACCCGTTTAACTCGTGTCGTGTTCGAATCGTGTTGGCGGGTCGTGTTAACTTTTGCCACCCTTAGTAATCATATTTTTAAAAAATTTGCACAACATTGTTTAGTTAAAATGGTACTTTATTTTAGTATTAATATTTTATTAAAGTAATAATTTTATATATCTTTCTCAAACTGAATTCAAAGTACTCAAAATTTCAAAAATTTAAATTTTTAGAAAATACAATTGTCAGAGAAAAATTAATTTTTAATTAATAATTTTTCTTTACCACTTCTCTTATTAAATGAAACTTATTGTTCTCTCCTCCTGATGTGTTTTTTTTCCTCATATTAACTTTTCATCTCTATTTATTTCAATTACATTTTTTTTCGTTTTTTGAATTATATTTTTCTCATTAAATTTACCAAGACCAATATCATAAGAAGAAAAAACTACAAATTAATTAAAAACTAATGGGTCATTAGTCCAATTGTATTATTTCTATACCTCAAAGAGGATGGGAAGGATTTATGATAAAAAAATAATAATAATAATAATAATAAGAAATTATACAAATTAAAAGTGTATTGAAATTTTGTAGACGAAAAAAAGTGTAGGTAGAAACAACTTTGTTCAAGGTATACTATCAAATAAAAAACGACAAATGGAGTTGATTGATGGGACGAATCTACGTGGCCAACAAGGAAAAAAGGTCATTAGCTTAATTAACGGATGTCTCTACCTATCTAATTCTAAAAACTATTATAAAGACCAACAACACTACTGTTAACTATCTATAGTGAGAAGACACTGCGAAGTTGTTGTTAAGTCGGATTGATTTTAGTTAGGTGAGATATATCATATTACGAACTAGTGTGCACTACTAGTCATTCTTAATATATATATATATATATATATTATCATTAATAAATGTCCAATAATTAGTTAAAAAGGGTGGCATCAATTTGCCTAAACATAATAAATCAAAGCCTGTAATATTTGTGACAACCAAGCCCTGAATAAACCACATAAAAATTCCAAAACAATAATGAAGACATAAAAACAAATTCACATGGTTCAAAAGTTCAAATACAGGAACTTGAGATACATACATCATTGGAAAAGAAAATTTAATATTTCAGGACAGTAGCAATAATACTTTTCTAGAACCTCATACTCGGCTCATACCATAGCATCTGCAACACACAAAATTGATATTAGTGCCACAATTAACCATACTACTATATATTATAATCAGTATAAAGCAATGATGCTATGTAGTCAAAAGATCATGTTTGTGTGAGAGTTGGGGTATATCATTTATCCGTTCATTCTTATAAGACTAAACTCTTTTTTTTTTTCACAAATTAAGAGAGGGAGAGAGAGAGAGAATTTGAACCCGAATAAACTCGCTTGAAAAGTTAAATGCTCTACTTAGACCACTTGGTAACGATTATAAGACCATAATTTTACGCTACCAGAGTTAGACATTGTGCGTCATGTACGGACTCTCCAATAGAATATCCTATCATTATTCTTTTGGTTTTGCATAGTCTGTTGGTTAAAAAGCAAAGAATCTATATACGTGGCAGTGAGCCATACGTACAAGACATAATATGGTGGGCCAGAGCTGAACTTGATTGGAGGGGAAGCATTTGGATCATTATTCATTACTCCTTAGGATGCATATATATATATATATATATATATATATATATATATAAGAAAAGAAAATTGATGAGGAAATTTGAAACTTTCTAGTTGGCGTCATGTTTTGAGTTATTTTCTGGCAGGGACCCAAAACCACTAGATGAGTGCAATTAGGTCGCAGAGGAAAATGACACAAAGGCACATTGACCTAACCATTTGTCTACTTATATATATAGATCTAATACATACAAGTAGAAGATGGTGCTAACAACTTGCTGAATTAAGCCAGAGGAGCAAAGAAACTTGACGTTAGGGTGAAAAATTAATGTAGTTCTGCTTTTGGTTACATTGAACCACATGAGATTCATGCAAATGTTGGTAAATTGTGGGAGGGTAAGGGAATGACAGTCACTACTTTATTATTTATCCACGTTGGATAGCATCTTTAAAGACACATGAATTCGACCCAAGTCGATTCTCACAGGTGAGACAGGATCTTCTCTGTTTTATGCGCCATACTGTACATCAAAATAATGGACATCGGATCCCCTATAAACAACAGGGGATCCGGCCCCAACAAATTGGAGTGGGACTTATCACAACATGGTGGATCCCACCCTAACCCTATGTACATTAATATGAGCCCCTCGTGAGAATATTTTAACCAAGTAAGTTTAAAGAGAAATTATTATTAATATTTTTTAAGAAGAAAAACGTCAAAAGACTGTCACTTCATAAAGTTTCATTTGTAAAAAGCTACTGTAAAATCCCATTAGAAGTAGAATATTGATAAATATGAGAAGAATGAATACCCTGAGTTCGAAGAAGAGTAGTTGATTCACCATTGGCTCCATATTCCCCGTTATGAAGTTCCAACCCACAGGGCTTAATTTGACTGTCTTTCTTATTAATCTTGCCTTCAAGGTCTGGATGGATCTTCCTCTTCATCATCCTTTTCATCAACTACATATGTAAGCATTACAAAATCAACTAGTGAGTCTATAAATACATTACATCCAACTCAACACACACTCTCATGTCCAATGAGGACTTAGAATCCGAAAACTCCAGAAAAAACTTTGACACAACTGTTACAGCAATGACAAGGTATCACCAACTAATTACTGAAATACAAGTGCATTGTGCACACAAACACACATTTAGAATGCAAGAAAAAAGTTGTACTCACTCCGCGTAGTTTTCGTATGGGATGTGAATCGCCTCCATCACGAGGTATGCCCTTCTTGGAGAATTTGGGGCAATTCTTCTCACTATGACTAGTGCGAATCTTACCGGATTCAGGCAAGGATTTGCAATGATCTGGCTTTGTTTTGGCATCAGAATCAGCAGAGAACAAGTCTGCAAGAGTGGTTCGCTCTCCTTTCTTCTTATTCTTACCATATTCTGAGTTGTTTGAGTCGAAACAAAGTCCATGAGGACTCGAACAAAGAGGAGTGCCATCAATGGCCATGATGAGGTCAGCTTTGGCAGCAGCATTTTCATCACAGTTTGAACCAGTAAAACTGTCCATACCAAAACCATGCCTACATGCTGTGACCACTAGAGGGTTAAGTTCACTTTCGACTTCCATGTCATTGTTATCGTCTTCATCCTCATTATCAAAACATTCTTCCCCATCATCACAGTCTTCTTCTTCTTCTTCATCATTGTCCTCGGTGATTGGATATTCTAATTTTTCATAATTGAAATTTTTCAATGGCTCGAACCCGAGTGTGCCAATTGTGAGAATACCATCCTTCCAACCATCAAACACATCAATCAGGATGACCCGTTCAAGTAACGCTTGTGTGTCCGAATCATCTCTAACGAATTCGGGCTTCTTCGCATTTCCACCAATTCCATCTGCACATAAAAAATTTCAACGAATGTGATCCAATAAGCATGCATAATCATATACACATACTACACACAAATATATGTAATAATTACAATAATATATCAGAAAATGTGTATAGACCTTTATGATGAAACCTACGATGTACCCAGTTGAAGATCTGTATATCAAAAAAAAAAAAAAATATCAGTGAAGAGTAGAGAGATAATTAATGAGTGGCTAATTTAGGAAAAGAATGAGAAATTGAAGGAGATTTTGATGAGTAAACAAACGTGTGTACCTTCATGTTTGTTGTGTGCAACTTAGCTGATCATAGATTGAAAATGTGTGCGAGAGAGACTTATAAGAGTGGAAATTAAAAGTGGAACCAAATCAGTGGAAGGCTCATAATGCGACACGTGTAAAACTGAATGGGACCCGCAAACATGCCTATAATTTGTTTGAGAAATTATTAAGGAGACTGCCTGGAATGTTTGACCAAGCACTACATCTCAGCGTCCCGTGGCATGTTCTTTGTGCTCTTAGTCTCGACATGTCCTGCATGCCCTTACCTTTTCTTTTTTTTTTTTTTTTTTTTTTGTGTTCCGTTTGGTAACAAGATTGAGAAATTTAAAAAATGAATGGAAGAGGAGAATGGACAAGACATTTCGAATAAAGAAATAATAATGTTTCCTATACAATCTTGTTATATAAATTAATATGACAAAATAATTTTGTAAACAATTGTGGGACAAAAAAGGTGTTCATGTCTATTGAGCAATTTTTATTTCTTTTGTCCAAATTCTTGAAGGGTAAAAATATGTTAGTGAGGGTCCCTGTTTCCTCCCTCTCTTTCCTTCTTTTTAATTAAGCAATAAAAGTTTCTTCCATCATTTTTGTTGGGAAAGAAATGCACGCAACTTGGTATGACACCGTTTTCCTACAAAAAAGAGAGTGGAAGGTCAATAAATCTTGACGATACCGGTGTGGTGCCTGTCAAGAACTCTCCGAAAATCAAGTCAGTCACCGAAGGTCTAAAAGAAAGGCAGAGATTTAATAATTTTTTTTCGTCGTACCTAATTGACTGGTAGGGCCACATTCTTATAGCGCCACTCTCCCTTAGTTCGTTTGGGAGATCAGAGGAGATTTGTTTATTACCAGATTTGTTGGATAGATGACCTTGAAATTGTGCCGAGGTTATCATTACTAAGTCATCTTATCTCTTATTTAAATTCTCCTTATTAGTTGTCACCCATTCCCAAGCTTGCTCGCTTGGCTTTGGGAATGTAATTTTTTTAATTTTTTTTACCCTCGGGCATTGTTCCCAAGGGTACTATTCCCACGAGTACATCTTTTTTTTTTTTTTTTTTACCCTCGGGCACTGTTCCCAAGGGTACTATTCCCACAGGTACTTTTTTTTTTTTTTACCCTCGGGCATTGTTCCCGAGGTATTATTCTTGCGGGTACAAATTTTTTCTTTTTTTACCTTCGGGCACTGTTCCCAAAGGTACTATTCCTATGGGTGTTTTTTTTTTTTTTTTTTACCCTCGAGCATTGTTCCCGAGGGTACTGTTCCCACAAGTAAAATTTTTTTTTTAACCTTCAGGCACTGTTCCCGTGGGTACATTTTTTTTTTTTATTTCCCCGAGGGTACTGTTCCCGCGAGTACTATTCATGCAGGTACAATTTTTTTTTTTTTTTTTTTTTACCTTCGGGCATTATTCCTGCTGGTACTATTCCCAATGGTGAAATTAATACAGATACCAAATTAAGGTTCTGTTTAGGAAAGACATGGATTCAAACCCATAGTTAATGACTCTTAGTGATGTAAAGTTGGATTTTTCTTTTGAAAATCCAATAGTAGATTTTGAAAGTTTCAGTCAGCTCATCCATTTGGTAAGGGAATAAAATTTTACGAGTTTCACTTAGCTCGTCCCTTTAATAAAGGAATTAATTTTGACGAGTTTCACTTAACTCGTCCCTTTAGTAAGGGAATTAATTTTTACGAGTTTCACTCAGCTCGTCCCTTTAGTAAGGGAATTAATTTTTACGAGCTTCACTCAGCTCATCCCTTTAATAAATGAACTGTTTTCACGAGCTTTACTCGCTTAATCCCTTTATTAAAGGAGCTTGGTTTTTTATTAACTTTCTGTAAAGTATTACCACATAGGTAGGTAACTAAAAACATACTATTTTATTACGTAAAAAATGAGGGCCATCCATCTCATTGGTGATGGTGACTTTATTAGAGAGAGAGAGAAAAAAAACATGTGAGGAGCTATTTTCCATTTAAAATGATTAACTGACATGCCCCCAATCTTTATTTTGAATGACTTGATAAGGCTAATACCAGCTCTGAGACAATTTTTATCACGCTAGCCTTCTGAGCCGAGTTGGATTCTCCCAGGTCTACTTATCCAGAGATGATACTGATTTCCCTAATTGATTGCTACCCCAGAATGCGCTTATTAGGGTTTGTCCCTTCATTGGCAACAAACTTTTGTAAGTAACCCCTTTGAATCAGATTCTCAATCTGATTCTTATAGTCAAAATAATCATCCGTAGTGTACCCATGATCCCGATGGAACTTGCAATACTTATCTCGAGATCTTTTCGCTAGATCAGACTTCATCCTCTGTAGCCATTTCAAAGACGCATCGTCTTGGATCTGTAAGAAAATGTGGTCAATTGACATATTCAAAGGAGTGTAGTCGGCATACTTATCTGAGTCTTTCTCACGATATGTCCTATCACTTTGGCTGAAGAATGATCTCTTATATTTGGTATCCTTTTCATCCCTGGCGCTTGTGGATGACTTCTTCTTGTCCTCCCTTCCTTTCCCTTCCGTGCATTCATGGTGTCTTCAATGTTCATGTGCTTCTGCGCTTTGATCAACAACTCTGCCATGCTGGTGGAAGGTTCTTTTGATAAGAAGAACAAGAATCTGGTGGTTTGGAGTCCTCCTATGAAAGCGGTCAAAACCACCTTGTCGTCCACCTCTTCTACTTACAGCATCTCTGTGTTGAATCGGGTGATGTATTCCCTGATCGACTCTCCCTTTTGCTGTTTCACAGTCAACAAGTAGGTGGCTGACCTCCTATGCCTCTGACCTACAATGAAGTGGCTCACAAACTGCTTACTCAGTTCTTTGAAGGTGTCGATGGTTCTTGGCTTCAGCTTATTGAACCAAACTTTTACCAATCCCTTAAGTGTAGTGGGAAAGGCTTGACACATGATTTCATCCGACACGGCGTGTAAATGCATAAGAGCTTAAAAGGTCTCCAGATGATCGAGGGGATCTTTGGCCCCATCGAAGCTTTTAAACGAGGGCATCCTGAACTTACTAGGCATGGGGCATTTCATAATGGCGGGGCTGAACGGCAAGTTGGTCCTTTGCACCAGGTCATCTATGGCGGTAGGACCTTTCCCTTTCATAACCTACATTACATCTTCCATTTTCGCCTTGAGATCCTCAATTTGCAGGTCGAAATAGGTAATTTTCTCTGTCTTTTCCTCAACATAAAAGGTTGTGCCTGTCTGAGGCTGGGGATTTCGAGGAGGAAGAGGCTCTTTATGTCGATTTCTGACTTGGCTTTGTTTTGCCACGAACTTGTAAGGAGGATCGTTATCTCGGTCTTCCCCATTTTCTCCCCCATCATTGAGTTTGGGAGGATATAGGTCGGATAATTCTTATTGAGGTAGTGATCCCACTAGGATCATTCGGGATGTCTGGGGGTGTTCACCAAACCCTTCTCTTTGACTGGATCCCTACAAAGATGTTTCACCTCCAATTACCATACCGAACCGCAAATGCATATACCCAACCGAGTAATTTATTAATTTAAGGGAATCATCGTTTCCCACAGATGGCGCCAACTGTTGGGGAAGAAATTCACGCGGCCCGGTACGACACCGTTTTCCTGCAAAGAAAAGAGTAGAAGATCAATGAATCTTGACAATACCGGTGTAGTGCCTGCTAAGAGCTCTCCGACGATCAAGTCACTCACCGAAGGTCTAAAAGAATGGCAGGAATTTAATAATCGTTTTTCGTCATACCTGATTTACTGGTAAAGTTTCATTCTTATAGCGATGCTCTCCCTCAGTTCGTTTGTGAAATCAGAGGAGATTTGTTTGTTACCAGATTTGTTGGGGAGATGATCTATCCCTTTGAACTTGAAATTGTGCCGAGATTATCCTTACCACGTCATCTTATCTCTTGTTTAAATTTTTCTTAACAATTTCTCTTCTCAACCCTTTTTCCAACCAAATAAAACATTCTGGTAATTAATAATATATATATAAAAAAAATAAAGAAAGATGATTAGATGAATTTTAGCCTCCATTTTGATTGAAAATTTTTTAATCAATGATTTTTGGTTTAGTTATATGTTTATTATTATTATTATTTATTTATTTTCTCAAAACAAAAGAAGAGAAAGTCCCGGGCTCTCACTTTCCAAAGTTAAAAGAAAATCTAAAATATTATTGATAATCGAAACATGATTGTGCTCTTTACTAATACATGTATTTATAATGGGAAAAAAATATCATAAGGAAACTAGCAGCCTCAGCAAACCTTATTATTACATAAGAAGAAAATCACATTTCATTAAAAAAAAATAAAAAAAAATAAAAAAAAAAAAAAAAAAACTTAAGCTATTAATAATGTGAACAATCCGAGTGGAACAAATTCCGAAATAATCAACAAGCCTCTTATAAGATAGAATAATAGGGTTTTGAGGCCGTAAATGATGGAATTCAATCAATAATTGCTTGAATTGGCCTTAAATGACTGAATTCGGCTGTCTGACCCGTTTTAACTCGAAAATTGTTCTTTCGAGTCAAAAATGGACTCATTGATATTGTCTTGAAAAACGTATCAACATGTCGTTTGGCCACCTGACGATCTACATGGACTATATAGGATTCAATAATGAGTTATGTATCATAATTAAATGTTATACTCCATTTAGCTCGAAGAATAGTAAAGTAGATAAATTGTTTGTTGTTTGGAGAGGCTCCAAATAATGAAAGCACGAGTTCATTATAAAAACACTCATATAGGTACAAAATGTAATTATATCACTCATATAATAACTTTAAATAACTTATGCAATAATTTTATATCACTTATACAATAATTATATTACATTGCTATTTCATGATGTTACACTTTGTCGTGAAGTTATTGCAGTGCTACAGAACGTTGCACTCCACATACAACATCATAAAACAGAATTTCCTTTTGAGGGAACTCAGGTTCATGGAACCATACTCCATTGTCTTTTCTCCCTCAAAATATTTGGCTGATTGTATGTATTATTATTCATTAATTTGATGAGTCTCATCACGTGATGGGTACGCTAAACCTGAGCTGCTTCTAATTTGGAATCTGGATTCTCTAAGTTAAATGGACTTGGATCCTTTAAGTTAAATAGTTTCTAAAGAGCATCTCAAATTTCTTCTTAAATGGCCTCTCAAACTCAAAATATAACAAGTGGATGAAAATTAGGCATTCTAATGACCTCTTAAAAGAACTCTCATATTTTGAAATTATCAAAAGCATTACCAAATATAGCAACTCTCAAATAACCTCTCAAACTCAAAATATAGCAAGTAGTTGAAAATAAGGCACTCCAACGAATTCTCAAAAGACCTTTCATATTTTAAAGTTGTTAAAATAAAGTTATTGCGGTGCTACATTGCACTCCACATACAAGATCATAAAATAGAATTCCCTTTTGAGGGAATTCAGATTCAAATAAGGCACTCCAATGAATTCTCAAAAAACCTTTCATATTTTAAAATTGTCAAAAGTTGTTAAAATAAAGTTATTGCGGTGCTACATTGCACTCCACATACAAGATCATAAAACAGAATTCCCTTTTGAGGGAACCATACTCCATGGAACCATACTCCATGGAACCATACTCCATTGTTTTTTCTCCCTTAAAATGTTTGGCTGATTGTATATATTATTATCCATTAATTTGATGAGTCTCGGCACGTGATAGGTATGCTAAACCTGAGCTGCTTCTAATTTGGGATCTGGATTCTCTGAGTTAAATGGGCTTGGATCCTTTAAGTTAAATAGTCTCTTATCGTAAATTTAAATAATATAAATTTGACACCTAGGCTCCGTTTGTTTGAATATAAAATATATATATATATATATATTTTTTTTTTTTTTGATGTTTTGTTGTTGCAAAATATTTACGAATATATTAAAATTTTACAAAAATAATTTATCCATAAATTTTTGTTAAGTTATTTTATACATCCAGCTCACTTCATCTAGAACTTTGCCAAATATCGAAAAATACAAATTAAAAAAATATTTTACCTAAAAAAATAAAAATATTTTCTGGAAAGAGTATTTTACCGTTGAAACAAACGAACCTAATCTTTATCAAAATTCAAGTGTTAGGAGCTTGCAATATCACTTTATGAATAAAAATGTTTAAAACAATTTTTTTATATTGAGAAACTCATAGATACCGTTAACAAAGGACCTCACTAATGACATTCCAAACTGGTTTTCCTTTGTTTTGTTTTAGAAGATGAACCTTTGTTTTGTGGACTGATGGTTGGAAGGCTTTCTAAGGGATGATTTGAGTTTCTATGAGACTGGAAGGAAGAATAGAGAGATCTGCCAACAAACAAATACAGATGAACAAGAAGAAGGTCGTCCCCAGAAACAGTGAACGAATACAAACCCTCAAACAGATAAAATAAAATCGATAGAAAGAGATACAATATTATGTTATCTATCTGATCTTAAATTACAGTTTTTGTTTTGATCGGAGAGTCAATATTCACCGTCAATATGGATGTATTGTTATTTCAGCGAAACTGTAGCAAAAACCCCTTCTGCCACAACGGCCATTCATTGTCTAACCCCAAAATCACCCCAACAACACATTATTTAATTTTGTAAATGTTTGATTTATATATTAACTTAGGATAACCCAGACGTAACACAATGAAAGGGTCAAAGATGACTTGTTGACAAAACTTAATTTTTATACATCCCTGTGAAGTTACCAGAATGGGTCCATGATTTGGGATCTCTCCTGTGCCGCATTAGGAACATTTACAACTTTTATATGACTTCTTTTATGCAATAATATTATATTGTTTATACAATAATTATATTAAATCATTATTTTATGATGTTACATTTTATCATCAAATTGTTGAAGGATACAAAACGAAGGAAAGATCCCTTTAGGTGGGGATCCAGAATCGTGGAACCGCACTCCATTCTCATTTCTCCCTTAAAATATTAGACTAATTTTATACATCATCCAAGAGTTTGATGGGTCTCGTCACCTGATGGGTCTGAGTTTGCTTCCAATTTGACCTAACACAATGAAAACTTAGTCTTTATCACAAACACTTTGATGGCAATCAGAATGGCGGTTAGCATAATAACGTATTATAGGAAATTCTGTAGTTTTGGTTAATGAGCAGATAGATGAGGAGGATCATGTACTTCATGGGGTTTAATGAATCTTATTTAATCATATGCTTCTTTGTAAAGTAATGTGCAGTCCAACAGAGGTTATGCCCATGGAATAAAGTGATTTATGCCCTGTGGTTTCGCCTTTGAACTTTTATGCACATGCAAGAGTGTGAATCACATCAACATTTTATCAATTAATGCCACTGACTCACAGGCTTATATATAAATATGGTAGCTTATGTATCACATTTGACATTGACTAATGCATTCCACCAACAAATAGAAAAGTAGCTTATGGATCCATATAGAGAGTATAAAGCATTAAACGGGGCTCATTCTTCTCTGGTGGTCATGGTTAAATAAAGAAAAGGGCTTTCCACTTCCTTGTCTTCGAAACTTCTGTTCTGAAATTATTTGGAGCCCACCCACTATAGCTGGATCATCCCACTTTTTCTTTTTTTTTTCTTTATATATATATATATATATATCAACTCTGATACACAACTAAGGATATATAGTATGGAATTCATGTATTAGAACTGGAATCAGAAAAAAGATTATGTTCAAATATTGAACTAATATAATCCTTAATTCAAAATTTTGAGTGTGGATTTCATACTTATTATGGTTCATTTACATTGACGTCTAGTTGAATTCAAGGAGGACCTAACAAATACAGAGTAGAGTGTATATAAATGCTAAGCTATAAATTTCATATCAGTGCTCTGTACAAAAACCAGAATATGATCAAAAACCCCAACTTGTGTTGCTAAGTACCCAACAAAAATAAGAATGAAAAAAAGATCAAACATATATATTTGGCCTCATCTCATCAACTTCATTCTGTTTCAATCCCTAGCCTTCCCATCCACTTTGATCAGTTCCAGCCAGTCAATTTTGGAATTTTTAGAAATTGAATTCTGTGTTTTTTTTTTCAGATTTTTTTTTTTAATTTTTTTTTCTTGAGTTTGATATGACTTGATAACATTATTCAGGATCAATGTTAATTAGCTGAGACACAAGAAAGAGGGTATTAATTAGTAATTAAGCTAGGTCCCCTATAGATGAAGCAAGCATAATGATCAGTTGTTACTTTGAAGGGCAAATCAAATGTTAACAAATAGAATGTTCCAAGTGAATTAATTTGAGGTCAAAAACATTGCGCCATAGAAGACTAGATGTAGTTTTGTTAGGAGTGCTGTAACTTGACTGGTAGTGAGATGTCTTGTTGTAGAAAAAGCTCAAATCATTCAAACATGGAGACCATGGACTATTTGCTATCTAGCTCTTGGTGCTGCCTTAAAGCTGATAAGATTGATCGTGTCGGATTCTTTCAAAAGCTAAATAAGTGATTCAACTTTGAGAGTGGGGGGGGGGGGGGGGGGGGGGGGGGGGGGGAGATGTCTAATGGTTCAGTAGGTTTGCTTCTTGTGGTCCCTCTTGATTACAGGTAGGGCAAAGAAAAAGATATTTCCAGAAAGTAAGAAAATGTGTTTTTAGAAAGCGAATCTAGTGAACCATAGCGCAGCACTCAAAGTCTTTAGATGATATAAAGATTAAAGAAGCTCATGTTGCCGACCTACCAATGGATACCGCCCTGTATCATCCCTTTCACGCGAATTTTTATGAAGCTAACACATTCTAAATCATTCCTCATCACAATATTTGTGGTCTGCATTACAGTCCAACAGAAAATGCATGTGCATATTGTATATATATTTGCTGTGCGTGTGTGTATATATATAGTTTAATGACATGATCACTCTGCTAAGGGAATGTTTTAAAAGAAAATGTGTGGAAGTAAAGGTTTAAAGTGTGATTAATGCTGAGCTAGCTTAATAGTGAATTTGATGAGAAAACGTTTTGTTAAATTGCATTGACTGTTGTCTCTTTTTTGGAATTAATGGCAAAGCAAACAAACACACGTTAAGCAAACAAACATAGAAACACACACTCTTTTTGGCCATGCCTAGGCTTGAACATCTCCCTGCTCATTTGTAGCCTTTCAATAGCTCTATCACCACATAACACGTACAAGGAGGAGGACGAGTACATTTCTAATGAACGACATAAATTTGGTGGTGATGTTGGGTTTGCAGATTCTAATTACAGTGGAGATCATTGAAATGTGAATTGTCTGGCATGCATCAGATGATAAGCAACATTGTACTGTCTTTTTCCAGAAGTTAAAATCAAATTATATGTATGTTGTAATTAAGCCTAAAGATATGCGTAAATGGGTTTTTAGGGCAAGATCTAAAAGTAGCACAAAGTAGGACAAGAAGTGGAGTACAAATTAAGAGTCATGTGCACTACAGAGACGAGGTAAACATACATACATATATATATATAATGGGTATGTGAAGTTGCATTGTGCCCTGAGAAGACATGGATTGGTGTAGATGGCTTGAAGGTGAGAGTTGACGTGATTTAAGCCAAAAGTAACAGTATACGTGATATGATGATGGTATGCCTGATTTTGAATCCAATCAACTTTTTCTGGAAGCCAGATAGTAAATTATAGGGGGCATAGAAGGGGTAAAATATGGAAGGTAATTCATTGCAAGTACAGGGAGGGTTTAATGATCAATTTGAAACCCATTTTGCATTATTTTCTTCCAAACGAGCTCTTAAACACTAACTTTTATTATTATTATTTTTGGATAAAAAAATTTAAAAATAGATATAGACAGAAGGAAGTGGAAGGTGGGAAAGTATGTAACTTTTTACTTTAAATTTTGTTTGTAGGGAGTGGCGTGGTAGAAACAGTAAGGGCATGTCAATGAATATAGGCATCAGCATGACTCATGAGGCCACCATTGAAACACCAGAAGGCAGATCGAACATGGACATTGCTAGAAAGAGAGACAGAAAGAGAGGATAGAAATGGTGATGAGGTACTCAAAATTATGTGTGTAGTTTGTTAGGAATTATGTCTCAAATTTCCATTATTATTAGTTTCTAAAGTGTATTTTTATGGTAATTTCTTATAGAGACGTGAATTGGGTTCTAAGAAATTGTAATTTTTGTCCATAAAGGAATTGGGTATGTGACTCTATAAATAGACACTTAGGCTATTGTTGAGAGTTATGAGTTGAAAGAGATGTAGTCTCATGAGGGAGTACGTTAATAGTAGGAGTGAGTTACGAGTTTGGTAGAGTAAACACTGATGGCGAGAGGGAATCTCCTGGAGTACACGGAGAACTCGGTCAAGAGTTTGTGTGCATGGTCCGGTATTGAAATTCTCTACTATTGTAATATCTCGGTCAAGAGTTTGTGTGTATGGTCCAGTGTTGAAATTCTCTACTATTGTAATATTTCTACATATATAGTGAATCTCTTCTTATCCGTGGATGTAACCCTGATTTTAGGTGAACCACATATATATCTTGTGTTGTGGTTTGAATTGTTGTTTTTTTCTTTCTTTTGCTTTCGCTGTGTCCCAACAACTGGTATAAGAGCCAAAGGTGAAGGAAATCCAGAAAACACACGAAACATGTGCTACAATGGGCTTCAGTTGTAAGTGGAGTCCAGAAAACACACGAAACATGTGCTACAACGGGTTTCAGTTGTAAGTGGAGTCAATCGCATGGTTACATGGCATGGAGCTTGAGTAGTCAAGGTGGAGCCTTCGGGTTTGACTAATTGAGCAACATATAGTGAAGGGATAATCCGAGTTCTGCAATAAAATCAAGAAGATTGAAGTTGCTAAAAATTGTCCAGATTCAATTACCATGAGAAGCGATGATTGACAAAATAGAATTTGAGCCAATGTGGAGATTGTTAGGAATTATGTCTCAAATTCCCATTATTATTAGTTTCTATTTTAAAATGTATTTTTATGGTAATTTCTTATAAAGACGTGAATTGTGAGCTCTAATAAATTGTAATCCTTATCCACAAAGGAATTGGGTATGTGACTTTATAAATAAACACTTAGACTATTGTTGAGAGTTATGAGTTAAAAAAGATGTAACCTCGTGAAGGAGTACTTTGATGGTAAGGGTGAGTTACGAGTTTGGTAGTGGTAGAGTGAACACTGATGGCAAGAGGCAATCTCGTGGAGTACACGTAGAACTCGATCATGAGTTTGTGTGTATGGTCTTATGTTGAAATTCTCTACTATTATAATACCTGTACATATATAGTGAATCTCTTCTTTTTCGTGAATGTAACCTTAATTTTGGGTGAACCACGTATATATCTTGTATTGTAATTTAAATTATTATTTTCTTTCTTTTGCTTTCGCTGTGTCCCAACATACTTAACCCTGTCCTCATATTCTGCAGAATATATAATAGTTCCTTCCTTCCATTTGCATTAGGTTCACAAAATAGCAATGTAGTCAGGGTAGAAGTACAGTACGTCGTGATGGGAACTGAGAGACGCACATTCTGATGAGCCAGCTGTTTAACTAATTCACATGCACTGACCCACTTATAACGTATGTATACTATTGGCTTTGTATGCTAAGTACAATGGATGACCAACACAATTCTATTCTATGGTCTCCTTCTCTCGCTTGTTGAATTCCAGTGGGTTCCACATCCACCTCATGAACGAGAAATTAAGATATATGTGTTTGGTATCACAATTGTCCTTCTTTTGTCACCCGACACCATCATATCATTTATTCCTCCACATAAACCCTGTTGGAATGAGTTCCTGACATGGGTTTGTGTGTGCGTGTGTGGTGCGTGAGATATCAACCTCAACCTCAGGAATTTTTGGGCTGGAAGGCCCGTGCCGAGCCATCAAACCCATGTTTCGGCCTAGTAATTGGCCACATATATACCAGTTGCAAAAAAGAATTGGGCTCAACTCCATCTTCCATCCCTCCTCATGCTCTCCAACCCATTTATATACTGTTGCCAAAATATTTCAACAAATAATAGCATCAAATCACTTTGCTCAAATAGTAATACTATTATACATACAAAAGTCCACCATTTATTACTTCCTCCATTACTAGTTTATTCAATCATGCCAAACTTAAACAAACATGAGCATGGAATTAATTGTAAGAATGGGGAATCAGAACCTATGCTTCTTTTATCATCAATCACTCATTTATTCCCATTACATAAATTTGTAAAACTCAAGTTTATTTATACCCTCTCTCTCTCCAACTATTTCAGTCATTGAGCTGAGCTCCATGGCCACCACCGTTGGCCTTTCCAAAGACACAGAGGCGAACACCAGGATCATGGTGAGTGAAAAAAGAGTTGTAGAGAATGGAATCGTTCACACCCTGCACGTTGCTGTTCATGAATGTAGTTTTCAATGCTGACTTCCCTTCTTCATTACTCTCCCTTTCGGATTTCTCACATTCGCTGATCGAAGCTGTGGGATTGCCGCCTTTCTTGTGAAGACCATTAGGGTTGCCCACAATGTCATGTTTCTTGCGGGAGGGACTCAATTCCATAATAGCACCTCTGTTTTCACCTGCAATTGTTATAACTCTCTTCCCAAAATCTTCATAATCCAAATACTTCTTATGAAAACCTTCGTGATCTTTGGTTTCTATGTTGATCTTTACTTCTGACTTCCCGTTATGAACAACATTGACATGCTTTTCAAAGTCACCAGTTGAGGTGTCGGGTATCATTCTAGGTTGTTAATGGTTTCTTGCACCGATATAGTTTTCTGCTCAGGTTTCACTGGAATCTTGGTTTTCGGCTTGCCATCAAACTTTATTTGGGCAGTAGGAAGGACCAGAGGAGAGGGTGGAGTAGAAACGGGCTCCATCTTGGGGGATAGAGTACATGAGGTTTTTGCCAAAGGGCTGATGATTTTGGGGAGTATGTTGGGGTGGCGGCACGGGCATTGACAGTGGCGGTGGCGGTGGCGGAGGTATAAGAAGGTGGTGCCGGTGATGACATTACTTTGGGAGCTGGAGAAGTGGGCAATGAAGTTGAAGCAGCTGAAAGTATTATTTGATTAGGAGAAGGTGGCACTGAAGAAGAGGTTGCAACTGGAGGAACTGTGGACTTTGGTGATGGTTTTGGTACTGGAGAAGGCGGCAAAGAAGATGGAGGAGTAGAATGGATGACGATTGGAGATACTTTTGGTACTGGAGAAGAAGGAAAAGAAGATGGAGGAGTAGAAAGGATGATGATTGGAGATGGTTCATTCAGGAAAAAAAAAAAAAAAGATGATTGGAGATTGTTTTGGTACTAGAGAAGGCAAAGAAGATGGAGGAGTAGAATGGATGATGCTTGGAGATGATGGGGCAGAAGTGGTGGCAGAGGTGGTGCAGCAACAGGAGAAGGTGGTTGAGGTGGTGGCGAAGCAGTGGCAGGACGTGGTACAGCAACAGGAGAAGGTGGTTGAGGTGTTGGTGGCGAAGCAGTGGCAGGAGAAGCTGCAGCAACAGGTGGTGTTGGAGGTGGGGCAGGTGCTCGAGGTAAAGAATTAATTCTGCTGAGGTTGATCAGGTACTGGGGGCCTGAATGTGGGTCGGACAAATGGTGGCCTTGGCTGGCGAGCAGGCGGTTGAGCCTGAGCCTGAGCCTGAGCCAAAGTGGTTGGGGCAGTAGGGCGATTCATAGAAGCTAACCGGAACCATGGACGAGCTGGTGGTTGCTGACTCGCCATAATTAGGTGATATGATGAGTACTTAGGAAGGGTATTATTCCAAGCAAGTTGTATATCTAAGCAAAATGAAGGCTGTCATTTATAGTTAGAGAGGTATCGGATTCATCAAGCACCTTAATTCAACTCAGAAAATCTCACTAGATTGGCATCAAGTATCAGCTGAAGTATTTCATTCTTGAAGAGAGAGCCTAATGAATTGAACTTCAACTTTTTCTGGGCCCTTAGAAGAAATAATTAACGGTGTCATAGGTTTTTCATTAGACCAATTTCAACCTGCGGCCTCTAAAAGCATAGACAGTCCAAAGCTGTAGATATTATTCTAATTTATTTTTGTAAAGTATAGGCATAATTGCAGTTTCTAGAGCTACACATTCCACGTCAACCATTGCAGAATGGTGTCCATGATCCATCAATGCTTCTGTGCTTGTGGAGACGCATATTGAATCCATGTCTCTCTCTAATACGCATGCACATGTGCAACAATCAAAGTTTATTCACGTTGGTTCTTGGATTGTTGTTCACAAAAAAGGGTAATATTACTTTTTCCTATATGCATGTGTCTTCACTCTGACTTACGCATGTTGAGATGTGATTTTGTCTGATTATGTTTTCCCTATATTCACGGTCTCTATGTTGGCTCCAAAGGTTCCTTCCAGTACGCTAATTTTGGATTCACAAAAATCAAGTGCTAAAAACGAGTGAAACAGACATTTAAGTTTACTTATATCAGGAAATCTATACAATTCTGCCTCGCGTGTGGGGTGCTCTTCTTACAAAAAGTAAATTAACATCCCCTTCTCTCTTTAATTCAATCAACTTTCCTTCTTACCAAAGCAAACAAACAACATTTTAATTCTCTCCTTTTCACTCTTCCCTGTCCTTTCCGATGTCGTTTTCTCCTACCAAATGCATCATAAATGTGAGAATGAAACCAAACTTCAAGGAGGTCCCACAAGAGCAGTGCGTATGAAACATTGAAACCAAATGAGTATACGGTTTTCAATATATATAGAGAGAGAGAAAAAGTGAAGGTTAATTTGGTAAATATATTAACATGGTAGGATAAATTAATAATTTAAAATATTAAACGGGGCGGGTATGGGGCAGGGATCTTAGTCCCCCCGCCCCCGCCCCGCAACCGGCCGGTTTTTTTTTTTTAACTCCCATCCCCACCCCATTTAAGTAAACGGTTCTCCAAACCCGCTTTAAATGGGGCGAGGGTGGGGCGGTTCCCCACCGGATTGGGAATTTTTGCCACCCCTATCCTTGATCAATTTTGGGGGGGGGGGGGGGGGGGTCTCAACTTTTGGAGACTTCTACGAAAGTTTTTCTACTTCTAAATCAGCTCCAATCTAGGTGCTAGTATGTTATTATTATTATTATTTTTTGCTTTACTTGGATTCTTGAATGCTCAATTAGGTTTCGGTGTGGAGGCAGATGCGGTTGTTTTGAGGATTACTAAGCAGTATTTTGGATTGAATGGTTTTTGCTATATATTCTCGTGGTATATGCATGTGTATATATTTATATATATATGCACATACATAAGGGAAAGAAAGAAGAGATGGTGGTGGTGGTGGTAGTGGCAGCAGTGGGATTTAGGTTGAGATGGAGAGGTTATTTTGGTCCCTTAAATTAGTTAGAAAGGGTTATATTGGTAAATTTACACTTTTATGTGACTGTTGACAAATCAAAGGGTTAAATGGTCATTTTATCGTGTGAAATGGTGTATCTGCAACTTTTTTAAACTTGAAGGGATATCATTGTCCAAAAAAGCTTTGACATGCATTTGAATGACATTTTCTGAAACCTCAGGAGGAGGTGTTAGTACAATTTACCTTGAAATATAAAAAGGTAAGGGTAACAATCTCAAATGAGATATGTAATTTACTCATATTTTTATTCATAACAACATAAACCGAAAGTCCTAGAGAGATTACAAGAAAGTAAACTGGGGAAAGGAAAAGATGATACAGAGAGATCATGATAATTTTCAACAATATTGTCTTTGTATTTTCCACTTTAGAATTGTAATAACCAAGCAACTTAAAGTAGAAGCTTTTTATTCTTGAACAAAAGTCTTTACGAAGATTAGGGGCACACGGTTGAGTTGACAATGACAGTGAACAATTAAGACATTTTAGCTCATGACAGTATAACTTTTTCCTTTTAAAATAAAAGGGCATGCATTTTTGAGTATGTGAATGTTTTTTTTTTTCTTTCTTATTATTAATATTAATATTAAATAATAATAATAATAATAATAATAAACAAATAAATAAAATTAGGGCAAGGCAAATAGTGCACATCTTTTAAACGGTTACAAAGAAAAAACAAAAACAAAAAAACAAAGAGATAACAAAACACAAACAAAAGGGAAAATAGATATGAAAGAGGAGAAGAAAATAAGAAAAGGTGGAGGCATACATTGTCTTGTCTGTGCCACCGAGTGACGAAATATGCGAACAATTTCTCTACGCGTCGAACAAAGGAAGAAGTCCAAATGTCGTAACAGCAACGACAAGCAATTGCAAATATTAAAAAAAATGGTAGACAATTGAGTGAGAAAAACAGAGTGGTTGACGTTTAAGTATGGAGTTGACGGATAGAATTAATTTAGAGGGAAAATATAATAATACCATTTTGTAATATAGAATTAATTTTTATATAGAAATAAAGGAATAAAGACAATAATGTCAAACAGAGTAGTTAAAACATTTGGATCATCTTACAAGTGCCATATCAATTTCCGTGGCCTTAAAAGTAGGATAAAGTCGAGTGCCGTGGTAATACCGCGTCCAAACCGTGTGCAACTAATTCAGCTTTTTCTTCCCCAGCTATATTTTTTATACTTCATGCTAAAAATTATCATCTTATTATTTGAATAGCATGACTCTTACCATAAAATAATAATAAAAAAGAGTTTTTGTATGTTCATAAAAAATTTCTTTTATGTAAAAATAAATTTTTACCTATTAACCAAAATTATAGAGTGTTTATATTTCATTTCTTTGTTATTTTCATCTAATTAAACGGAACTATTTCATATTATAAAAAGAAAAAAATATATACATATTAAAAAAATTGACAATTTAGCTAGCCAAAAAATCATATACTTAATTTGATTCTATGCATAAGAATAGGGTTAGATCGAGCTTCTTAGATTAGAATTATCTAGGTAACAATCCTTTTATGAGCGAAACCGACTTAGTAAGTGCGTACGTACACATATATATGAATAGAACCAACTGTATACATAACCTAATAATAAAGACTAGAGGAGTCCACCCTGGAAACAAGTTAGAAATAACGGAGAAACAGAGGAGTATTCAATTATTCATTGCTTATTATGATATTGTGTGCGTGTATTTTTATTATATATATACACACAATTGGGTTAGCAAAATCCCCAATTCCCATATATATATATATATATATTAAACCAAAAATTATACAAAGAAATCAAGCCTAAAAGCCCTTCCTTCATCCCTTTCTCTTCTCCTAACCTTCTCTTCTACACTCATTAGCCTTTTAATAAAGTTAGAGACAATCACTGCTTAGCTCTCACGCCGATGAACAATCTTTTGCATCACTTATTCGCGAAAATGATTTGCTCTTCCCAGAGCAAAAAGTTTTCATGTTAAAATTGTTGGATTTTCGACGAAGAATTCACCAAAGCTGAATTGAAGATGCCTTTGATTACACTGTTGGTGATTGTATGTGCATTAATTCTCGTAAGATATTTGTTATATAGGAGTGCTTTAATTTATGTTTTTAAAAAATGGTCTCGTTGGATTGAAGATCGGGTTCATGTTCATCAATTCTTCAAAGTTCCAGAATTGAATGAAAACAATCAAGCGAATCAGTTTTATAGAAAAGTTTTCACTTACGTGAATTCGTTGGCTTCCATTGAAGACTCGGACTTCACAAATCTCTTCTCCGGCAAGAAATCAAATGATATCGTTCTATGTCTTGACGATAATCAAACCGTTCGCGACACGTTTCTCGGAGCCAGAGTCTCGTGGACGAACCAAGTCCTCAAAGATGAAGCAAAAAGTTGCAGAAGAACTTTCGTTTTGAAGATCAAAAGGAAGGACAAGAAACGGATTCTTCGATCTTATCTGCAACATGTTCACACGGTTTCTGACGAAATTGAGCAGAGAAGGAGAGAAGTGAAGCTTTACATGAACGCGCAATCGGATCATCAGTACAACGGACGGTGGAGATCCGTTCCGTTCACGCATCCGTCGACTCTCGATACAATCGCCATGGATTTAGATCTGAAGAACAAGGTGAAGTCCGATCTGGAAACGTTTCTAAAATCGAAGCAGTATTATCACAGATTAGGCCGTGTTTGGAAGCGAAGTTATCTACTCTACGGCCCCTCTGGTACCGGTAAATCCAGCTTCGTCGCTGCGATGGCCAAATTCCTCTGCTACGACGTCTACGACATCGATCTCTCGAGAGTTTCCGACGATTCTGATCTCATAATGCTTTTGTTACAAACCACAAGCAGGTCTATGATCGTTATTGAAGATCTGGATCGGTTCGTCGGGAAGAAATCAACGGCGGTGAGCTTATCAGGTGTGCTCAACTTTATGGACGGAATTGTGAATTCCTGTTGTGGTGATGAGAAAGTGATGGTTTTTACTATGAATAGCAAAGAACAGATCGATCCAGTGATACTGAGACCTGGACGCATCGATGTTCATATATATTTCCCGCCCTGTGATTTCAACTCCTTCAAAACCCTGGCCAACAGCTATTTAGGGCTCAAAGACCACAAGTTATTCCCGCAAGTGGAAGAGATTTTCCACGGCGGGGCGACGCTGAGTCCGGCGGAGATCGGCGAACTCATGATTATGAACCGGAGCTCGCCGAGCCGAGCGTTGAAATCGGTGATCACGGCGTTGCAGACCAACGTTGATGTTAGGGTGGCCGGGAAGATCGGACGGCGGTTGAGCGACATGTCGGCTGAAGGTTCGGGTGAGTCCGGTGGCGCAGCTTGGAAAGATAGTGTTCCGGCGGTGAAAGAGATCCGGAAGTTGTACGATCTATTGAGGTTGAAGAGTTGTAAAAAAACTGCACCGTCAGATCATGATTCGGTTTCGGATACAAGGTGATGATAAATGCCCATAAGTTGGACCTATGCGCATACAAGACTATACTACTACTAGTAAATTCACTCTCTCAATCAATTTTGATCTTTTTTTACTTGGATTTTCTTTGAAATCTATGTGTTATCTCATAGGAAAAATCAAATAGAAAACTGAAGCTTGTGATTTAGATTTTTTGTTTTTGTTTTTAAAGGTGATATCAAATTTGTATTTTTTTTTTAATTCATCGATTTTGTATTTAATACCAATTATATTGATTCATATATATATATATATGTATATACACACGTGTTTGTGTACACAAATGTTTATATCTATATAGATAGATGTATATGTTTTTTTTGTTTTTTTAAGGATACATGGATTGGCAACAAACTAAGCAAGATACTGTCCTATTGGTAAATGAGAATAAAGCTTACTTTAATGCAGTAATATTTCTTTATGGTTAATGAAAATGTGTTCTCAACAGGGAGTCAACACACAACAAAAGAAAGACAAGATTTAAAAAAAATGGAAAGGCATGTTTTTGGCCTGTACCATATTTAAGAATTTGATGAAAATGAGTTGGAACAAACTGTTAAACAGATCCTTCGTTCCACCAAGGAGAAAAAATTGTTTTTACCCGGATTTCAGCGATTGATTTTATCGGATTTCATTTCAGCCGATTGGCAAAGAATGCAGCAACAAAAATACATATATGAAAGGAGAGAAAATTATGATGCGGAAATAAGCATTGTTCATCTTCTTGATTATCTTTGTTTTCTCAAATTGCTTTTGCTGTTGATGACAGTGATGACTAACGAGTAGCAACCAACTCCAAGGTGACCATCTTTTTCTGTATTCCTTTGTCCACAAAAACCAAAAAAAATGGAACATATAAATTTAATCCGATAAAAGAACTAATTCGAAATTATGATTTCTGTATTCATTTGTTGCAAAAAAACCAAAGCATGGGCAAACCATGCTAAATTCACCACTACCCTCATAATTATGTTTGGTGATCTGTGTGGATAGAGAGTTTTACCCTGGTACAAGTTTCATTCACTAATTTACATCTAGTTAGTTTTTATATATATATATATATATATATATATATATATACACACCGGCAAATTAAGGGAGGTTTTTGGGTACACCGTTCACGAAATTAGACGGTCTATCAATTAGTCCAATGCTCACAAATTTACACCCAATGAATTAGTAAAAAATACAACTTCAAAGAATACTTATAGATTTGCATGGATGCCTCAGGACACCATTATCCAAACTTAAATTTATACAAAAATTTAAACACAAACACACATTTGACAATCATAATAACTAAATTATCATTAAAATTAAAATTTATCTCAAAAATGTAGGAAAAAGGAAAAGAAAAACTACATTTGAGTAGAATTAAGAGCCCTAAATAACAAATAAGTTTATTTTAAAAGTTGATTTTTCAATTCCGTTGAGTTAAGCAGAATAATTATACATGTACTGAAAACTATTGTTTAGGTCTAAAATACCTCCTCAACTCTTATTTCAAAATACCAAAATATCCTTTCTAAATCAAATAATTCTTTCATTCAATAAATTTAAAAAAACAAGATTTTCCCGTTGACTTTAAACTTGAAGGGCATTTTTGCATGTGATGTATATATTACCAAAAAAAAAAAAAAAAACTTATATATATATATATATATATAAAGAAAAAAAATTGTGCTAATCTATATCGGTTCAAACATACATATTTCAATTTAAAAATATACAAATAATTCAGTAGAAATATCATTCATTATATATATATATAGGACAATACTTGCCTACTCACCCGGTCAACCCAAATGGATACAAATCAAATCCTAATATAACTATCCCTCTCTTTCTCTCTCTCAAACTATTCCACTAAAACCCTAATCTGTAAATAGTGATCTTTTTTATGATAGATTATTATTACTTATTTCTGATCTTCTTTTCCTTTTGGCGGAAAACAAATATCTATGTATTATTACATTTATAGTTATTCTTTGTATCTTGTAATATTATTTTATTAGGAATTTTAGCTTAAAATATTTTTTTTTTGACAAGATCCCCTTCTCATTCACTCTCTGGACAAAAAGAGTAGCGTGATCATATTGAGTTTAATCGGGATACTTCTCAAATATTTTAATTTTTATTATTTTATATTATAGAGACACGTGTTTTCTAATTTTACGCCACAGGGTAAGTATAAATTTTCTACTCACCGGTAAATAGGTAGATACTATCCTTAATCATATCTCTTAATTTATACCAATATAAACCTATAAATGTGAAAATTTTCTTGTGCAAAGAAATATATATATATATACACACACACACACACACGTGCGCGGGGAGGAAGATCATGAAAAAACCAAATGATTGTTTCAGTAAATGGTACACATACCAACCATTTTTATATTTATAAAAAAAGTATAATTAATTTAGCCAAATGATGATCATCTCAAGCATGCACCACAAAAAGAGGATTTATATATTATTTGCATGAAAGAGTTTAATTACATTTCTCTTTTTGAGAACTAATCTTTGATTGCCTAATGTATGTGAAAGTTGCAACCATATTGTTCAAAGTTAAGGGAAAGATCTTGTTTTCCTAAATTTTTTAAGTAAATAAATTATTTTAAGAAAGTAATTGATTTTAGGGGAATAATTTAATATTTTGTAATAAGATCTTGGAGTGTAGACCTAAATAATAGTTATTGATGCATATTTAATTAATTTACATAATTCAACCAAAGAAAAATATGAACTTTTAAAATAGTCAATTTTGTTACTTTAAGATTCCTAACCCTACTTAAGTGTAGTTATCTCACAACAAAACCTATAACTAATAGAGAAATGGTTATTTATATATTCGTTATTAATAGTGCGGAGTTCAAACAAATAAATGATTGAAATAGACATTCCATTCCATTCGTAGGGTGATCTCAATTCCGTTCCAATAAGATCAAGACACAACGGGTTAATATCCCTAAGCATTTGTGGAATGCAATCCACTTAAGCCAAGATATTAGTTATTTTAAAAAATTGCATATATGGTATTTATATATTATAAACATTTGAATAATATAACTTACATCTTTTGAATAAATTGCTAAAAAAAAAAATTGCATAACCTCTTAAAGTATATTTTGTTTGGCTACTTTTCATTAAATGACAATAATGTCATTCCATATTGAATTACATTTGATCTATTTTTTTTATTAAAATAAATTATGAAAATAAAATCATACTAATTTGATCACATATTCTCCATTAAATTTGCAAAAAATTATCTTTAATTCTCGTAATTAATTGTTTAAATCAAAATATTAAGTAAAAAATTCTAAAATAATTTATTAATTTTTCATAAATATATTGCATGAAAAGAACATATTTTTAATTGTATGAAAAATTAAAGAAGGTAATTTTGTACGCCAAAAGTTTAAATCGAAAACAATAAGTTTTGTTTTAATTGGTAATATTTTAATAACAAGTTAATCATTTAAAAAAAATGATAGTTACAACTCTATTTATTTATTTATTTATTTTTATGATAAATTGACATAAATAATAAATTTAAGGTAAATGATATAATTAATTTTTAAATGAAAGAAAATATAATAAAAATAACAAATTTAATAAAAAATAATAAAATAGTATTTTGTGATGATTTTGCCCTAACAAATTATTAATTCAGTGGAGCATGCTATTTGTAAAAAAGCACTAGTTCAGAATGCCCTTTTTTTTTTTTTTTTTTTTTTTTTTTGCACTTAATCATTTGAATATAATATAATTTAACTTTTTTTTTTTTTTTTTGGAATTTTAAGCAAATATATATAAATAATAAGGATAGTTACAGTGTGGGCCATTTGGCCAATTACAACCCAAAATGGTAACAAGCCAAAATGGAGGCTCAACTGAGGAAAGCCCAAGACCAAAATTCAAACCTAATAACAGCAATTAACAACCTATTTAGCTGTTAATGGAGATTATTAAGTGACAATCCGATTTGTAACCCCTAGTGAAGGACGCTGGAGGACTTTAGAGCAATACTAGTCCGGTAGTCTTGGTGGCGGACGACAACAGTTAGGAGGGAGATTATAGTAATATAATATAACTTACATATTATAAAAATATAACTAACATATTACTGTATAAAAACAATATATTTAATTTTCAGGCTTACCCTTCATTCTCTCTAAAAATAAGATTAGAATTCCAATGCCAAGACGCATTAGTCAATTCGGAGTGTTTTAGGGGACTTGTTGGGCGTTTGCCTAGTATTTTAGACGAACAGCACCATGCCACGTGTGACCCACTGATGCAAGGGCCTAAATTAGGGCTTTGTTTCGCTTTATAAATCCGCCAAAACCCCTTTTTCCTCTCCGATTTTTTTCTCGTTCTTTGCTAGGGTTTCTATCGTCGAATCGAAGAGCAAGGTACCTTTTATTAATCTCTCGATGATTGCTATCAGTATCTCTCTGAATCTATTTGCAAAAGTTCACTTTTCAAAATCTAGGGTTTCAAGGTACAGTTTTCTTGGCAATTAAACATTTTTTTTCCTTTTTTCACGAGTTCATTCAGTTGTGAATGATGGATTTTTAGGTGATCTGAAGGTATTTTTAGGGAGAGAATTGTGAAAATGAGGCCTGTTTTCTGTGGTAACTTCGAGTACGAGACTCGCCAAACGGACTTGGAGCGACTGTTCTCCAAATATGGAAGGGTCGAGCGCGTCGACATGAAATCTGGTACTTTAACTGCTTTTATTTTTATTTTTTATTTTTTTTTAATATATATCATCTTATTCTTTATCGTATGAGCATTCTCTTGCTCTCTTTATATATATATATATATAACCCATAGAAAATTATATGGTATTTGATGTTTCCTGTGGCTAATCTTATTTGATATGGTTAACAAATAACACTTTAATGTGCGATAAAAGTTAAAGGGACTTTGATTAGTCTTATTCCGGAGGTGCTATAACACATTTTTTTTTTTTTTCCAAATGATGCAAGTTACTGGTATTTTTCAATATTTAATTTTTGTAAAATTTGATACTGATCTTCCATTGTGGTTGATTTGGGACACTTAGGAGAATCCTTTATACCTAACCAAGGACCAATTCTTACATGCCGTTTTCTTTCCCTCATTTAGGAACACAATTCTCCGTTGCCTTGATCAGCCTTGAAACCTTCTCTCTTTTGTGTGGGTTTTACCTTTATTCCGTCCTACCTAGATTTGAATACACAATATTTTCAGATTTTTTTAGCGGTCTTTTATTATAAGTAGACTTTTTAGTTTGGGTGTAGTGTTGCCTATGTGATTACTTTAGATTTTATAAAGATCTTTTATTATAAGCGGACTTTTTAGTTTGGGTGTAGTGTTGCCTATGTAATTACTTTAGTTTTTATAATGATCTTTTATTATAAGCGGACTCTTTGGATTGGGTGTAATGTTGCCCATGTGATTTCTAATCATTTATATGTTGATCAGTAGTTTCTTTTATTTTTTCAATTTTTCTTCTTTTAACGAAACTTTAGTTCTAATTATTTGATTTTTTTAATATAGATTTTTTTATAGGAGCCATGATATTTTTCTTAGACATGAGGTTTTAATCTATTTTCATTTCTTCTTTAGCGGATCTCAATCTTGGATTGGGTGCGTATGTCATTTTTTTTTGTTAGACTCCCCCCATGTTTCTCAAATATTAAGTCTAGGATTTTCTTGTCCATGCCTGTTTCAATCATGTATGCATCCAATCAGTAGCTTTTATTCGTTATTGGTTCCTCTAATCATTTGAGTTTTCCGTTTTAGAGATTGTTAGACAGGCCTGGGTAGTTACTTAAAAAGAAGCTATATTTTCGCTTATGTGGCTTATTTTTTTTTTTTGGAGGGTTTACAGTCTTCGTGGTTATGTCATCTTTGTTATGGGTTCTCTCTCTCTGTCTCCCCCTACCTAGTTCGCAATACCTGTTTTTCCTCCCTTCTGTGTCTATACTGTTCAGTTTAGGGCATACCTATGCCAAGTTTTTGGTTGAATAAAGGTTCTTTCTTAAGTTGTGTTCGCCCCTTTTTATCAAAAAAAAAAAGTTGTGTTCGCCCCTTGAATTACAAGGCACAAGGATGACTTTGACATTGAATAATTTGTCAAGCCATTGATTCTGTAGATATGGATATATGGCTACTTATGTAGTGTGTATATCCAATCCTGTATCCTGGCGGTAAATAAAATGGCAGCCAAAATATTGAAATTTCTTTGGAGAAGACCTCCATATTAAGTGTTTGTTTTGACGCAGGAACATCTACTAAGGGAAACGAGCTTCTATCTGGCTCGCAACTTCTGTGCCAAAAATTCTAATGCAAAGGAAATATACCTGCCTGCTTGCTCTCATTCTACTCACAGATGGAATTGTTCTGCATTTCATTCACCTGATCATTCGTTCATCTGTCTCTCACTCACCTCACCGTCCAAAGTTGCCATTTCACAAGAATAGTCATGGTGGGATCTGTCAAATCATCATGCCATGCCTACTTCCACTGATCATAAGGGGATCAATTTCTATCATGCCATGACTACCATAACTGATCATAAGCGGATCAATGAATTCTATCATGCAATGCCTTACATTACTGAACTCGTGCTCAAATCGCGAAGCATGCCTTGCAATGACAACTCAGATTTGAAACCTTGGATTTAAACCTTTAATATGCCATCATCATGATTTAGTTCATCATGCAAGGCCTCTACATCCTTATTTGCAGGTGTCGTATTTTTACTTGGTTCTTGCCAGGGAACAAAAATACTGATTTGGCTGATAAACTGCCTGCTGCTGAGTGGATCTGAGACCAGAGTCATGTTTTACTACTACGTCCTCTTATTTCGGTTTGTTTCTGCAGGCTTTGCATTTGTTTATTTTGAGGATGAGCGTGATGCTGAAGATGCTATTCGTGGTCTTGACAGTGCACCATTTGGATATGACAGGCGCAGGCTGTCGGTGGAGTGGGCTAGGGTATGTTGGTTTCTTATTATCCCTCGCAAATTATATTACCTTTCTAGTAATATGTGGCAGGTCCATTGTTCTCTCTAGTCCTGAAGTTCAAATTCCATCATAATTCTAATCTTAGTGAGAAAATTTAATTTGCTTGTGGCAGGGTGAACGTGGCCGGCATCGTGAAGGTTCTAGATCAATGGCAAACCAGAGGCCCACCAAAACTCTGTTTGTGATAAACTTCGATCCTATTAACACAAGGGTTCGTGACATAGAAAAACACTTTGAGCCTCATGGGAGGGTTCTTCATGTCCGAATTCGGCGAAATTTTGCATTTGTGCAGTTTGAAACACAGGAAGATGCCACAAAAGCTCTTGAACGTACTCACATGAGGTTAAATGGCACACATATATGTCTTTATATATATATATATATATATATTTGTTGGTTGAAAATGTTGATATCTCCCTTGTTCTAAACTAGTATATCTGCTAAATTATATGTTGGTTCATGATTTTGCAGCAAGATTTTGGATAGGGTAGTATCAGTTGAATATGCTCTAAGAGATGATGGTGAGAGGGAAGACAGATTCGATAGCCCTAGAAGAGGTTATGGTAGGCGTGGAGATAGTCCTTACAGACGGTCACCAAGTCCAGTGCATCGTAGGGGTCGGCCTAGCCCCGACTATGGGAGGGCCCACAGTCCAGTCTATGATAAATACAATGGTCCAGCATTTGATAGGGCCAGGAGTCCTGAATATGGCAGATACCGGAGGTAGATATGGAACAACCAATCTTGACATGCTCATTTTTTGTTATTTATTATTATTATTTTTTCTCATTTGTTCTTGACATACTCATTTACGGTTTTGCTTTCCCTGTTTACAGCCGATCACCTGTGCGAAGGTCAAGAACCTGAGAGATTATCAACTTGAAGGGATCAATGTGCTTAATGCTAGTCAATTTGTGGGGTACTGTGGTTGTGCATCAGTTTTTGCTTACATCATGTAGGGGTTGCACTAGTTTAGTAGTTTTTATTTGATGGGTTTGAAATATGCATGGGTTTCTGGTTATCATTAGATAGACACACTTCAGCTGGTTGGTTGCGAGGCTGAAGTGGATATGTAGGTTTTCCAGTTCTGTTCAGACTAATCTATATTACTACTATTGGCAGATTTATATTTTACTCATGATTTAAATTTTACTCAATATATTTTTTTCTTTTGAGCGAGCAGCCGAGCAGTCATTTTTGGTGTTATTGGGGTTAAAAAAAAAAAAAAAAAAAGTTAGTTGTATTCCTAAATATTGTTTTTGCCCTTTGATGTTGTCTTAGTTACTTTGTACAAAAATGTCGCAGTCAATTTTTGTTCTAATTTCTAATATTGTTTTGTCTGGTGATGTTATCGTGAGCTTACTTTTTACAAAAATGTCATAAAGGACTTAATGTGATTCTTAAATACTTCTTTTTATCTCCCCTAGTGAGTAATGAAGTTTTAATTGTACTACGTGACATATTGGCAGCTAAATCAAGTTCTTATTATATATATTTTTTCTCCCCTGATGTTTAAGAAAATGTTAATTGGTGCAGTTCGTGTCGAGGGAATGAAGCTGGCATATCATTTTCTCAATATCTTCAGACCTCTTTTCTCTCTCTGGTAGACAATTGCAATTTATAATGCGTAATTTTATTTTATTTTATATTATTTATTTATTTATTTATTTTTTTTTTATCTTCAGCAGTTTGTTAAGATACACTGTTACATCATCAATGTGAAATTATTATGTATTTTAACACAACCATTTTATCCATACACATCAACATATTTATTTCTCCTCTCTCGTCACATTAATGAATCAACTTATACATTTTCTCCTCCTTCCTCATTACATTAAGGAATAAACAGCCTGTTTGTAAAAATTATGTGGGGCCTAAACATGACATTGGTTTGTTATTATTGAGGATATATTTTTACACAAAAGGTATAGTATAAATAATTCAAAATTTTTGTGTAACACAAAAAAAAGATTGCTCTAATTGAGTAACTACTCAACTTTCTTTATTGATAAATATTTGCAAGTTTTACAGCAAATAATCACAATATATTAATGGGTAAAGTTTCATATTTAAAAAAAAAAAGTAAATAAGGACATTTTGTTAATTTGAAGAATGAAATATCTAAAATATTTATTTAAAAACTAAAATACTTAAAATCCCTTTAAGACAATAAAAGAAAAAGTAATGATTATTAAGGATATTTTGTAGTTTTCATAATTTTTTTATTTGAATTAATGGGTTTGGAATTTATATGCATATGTATATATATGTATTTGTGCATATTTTTATATAGCGAATGTTTTTTTTTTTTTGCACAAATATATAGGAATATTTGTCTTGGGGAAAAAATCAAAAAAATCCTTTTACTTTCAAATTTGTGCAGAAAACTCCAGTTGAATTAATTGTTTTACAAATTGAACAAATTAACCTTACCGTTTCAGTACTGTTTCATGCCTTGGAAGGCTTAAACAGTGTGGACTCGGTTTGGGTCGAGTTGAAACGCCCAGGTTTCACCCTAGCTGAACACATTGAAAAGCCTTAACTTGCTTTCATAACTCTCTCAAGCCTTTCCATCATCTGTCTCAAATAAATGTATGATTGATTCTTTGGTGCGGCTACGTTTTTTTTAGTATTTCCTTATTTGATTGTTAATTTCATTAGGGATTGTATAATTTTTGTATTTCCAAGGGTCTGTAATTGAGATGATTATATGCGTGTATATAATATTATGTATCCTCTGTTTTGAGTTTTTCTCTCTCTAGAATGTTGTTCTTTTTCTTGTGATGCTTTGGCTTTATCAAAGTGGTAAGTGGTAAGTGGTGGTGGTGGATGTAGAAAGAGATTCTAATATTAGAGAGGAAGGGGAACAATGTTCTATTGATGGAGGTCTATGAGAATGCACCTTAAAAGTACTGGGTCTGTTGGAATTGTGGGAAGAAAATGACTAATTGCAATTAATAAAAACCATTAAGGGGTATTTTTGAGATTAAAGGTGTAAGTAAGAGCATGTGACAACAAGTGCTCCCTTTTGACGACAGATTAACCAAAAGGTAGCAACATTCTTAGGCTCCCTTTAGTTATATGAAAAAAGAAAAAAAAAAAGAAGAAGAAGAAGAAGAAGAAAAGAAAAAGAAAAAGAAAAAGAAAGAAAGAAAAAAGAAACGGGGAGAAAAGTAAAATGAATGAAAAGAAAAAAGATTTTTTAGTATATATTTGGTTAGTATGAAAATTTATCTAAGAAAATTGTAGAAAAATATTAGTTGTTAGTTTGGATAGCATGAAAGTGAAAAAAAAAAAAAAAAAAAAAGTAATTATGCATACCAAAACTATTCTTATGAAGTAAAATGATGGATTATTAAATTCAAATATATAATTGTTTATATTCCTTTCTATTATTTATATTTAGAATAATGATTCTGTTTTTTTTTAGCATCACAAGGCCAATGGAGTTTGCGGGCGAGTATATAAATACTCAAAAATAATTTGAACACCAAACTATCTCTTTTTGGTGGCTGACTTCAGGCAATTGATGCAAGAACTTTTTATAATAGTGTTTAAAAGAAATAAAAATACAATGTAAAGTAAAGTAAAATAGAAATAATAGGATTTAAATGACTAAAATCTGATCAAAGATTTGTTATTGAATTCAATTGAATAAAAATAATGATTAAATTGTAAATAGCATAATTAGACATTACAAGAAAAACGATAAGTTACTGGAACTTAGATTTGGACAAAAGATTTGAAGATAATTGACGTAAAGTCATTTGATAAATTTTTGATTCATGCTTTTTGTGGGTGGTGCTGGATGGTTTTGAATGAATTACAATACTTCTATTTATAGAAGTCTTAATCAACTTATTCTCCTATTTATTTGCTCCAAGAATCTCCTTCTTGATTTTCTTCCTTTCGTAATTTAAATTGGGTCGAACTTTGGAGTGCTTTGCCCTTTTGTACGCTTGTTTTTCGTTTCCAAAACCTTCTTTTGATCTCCCATCATGGCTGCAAACTTCCTTACTTTAGTTAATTTCAATTTCTAATTTTTAGCAACCAATCATAGATTTGGCAGCCGTATCTTCCCTTAAATGGCCCAACAACTACTTGTGGCTTTTAAATTTATCCATGTCATTACTGGCTGCCCTTTTTTGAATCTTTCCTTCTCTCCTCTAACAAAATCCCTATTTCACAGGGATTTAGTTGTTTTATCTTAGCCGAATGCCATAGTCTTTCCTTCCTAGAACCTATTTGACTTAAGTCAAATATTAGTTGCTACATTTCCGCATAATATCATTGCCTTTCCTTCACAATGAACAACCTATTTGACTCAAGTCAAATATTAGTTGCTACATTTCAGTAACAATCTTATTGATGAGGTGACTGAATATCTTATCCTAAATTCTCTCATAATCTAAATTTTCTCATAATATTTTTCTCAACTCGCCGACTTCTCTTAAAACATATTGAACACTTGTTGACTCCTCATTGGACCATGTCATTGCTAAGGTGACTTTCAAGAACTTCATAATATTTTCTTTTAAGTAAAATTAATTATTAGTTTAAGATAAACAAATTTAAAAAAAAAAAAAAAAATTAGAGATAAGGAGGCAATAATATTGTTTGGGAGAAAAATTAAAATTTTCACCATATATATATGTATGGATTATGAGTAGCTAGAATCTAAGTCACATAAAGCGGGAGTGAGAACGAATTTGAAAGCGAGAGCATGAAAACGGCAAAATTATGTCATATATAGTGAGAATTTGGAGCGAAAGCGCGTGTGCGCTCGGAGTGTGAAAGCGACACCTGTTGATAAGAATTATGTGACTTAGGCTAGAATTGAAATATAAAACAGACAATTAAAAAAAATAAAAAATTCTATTTAGAAACATGATTTATTTTGAGCAATTTTATCCAAATTATCATTGATATTCTGCATATATAAATATATAATTTGCGTTTGGAACTTAACTCAGAATAGAAGTTATTTTGGAGAGAAATTTGCACGATTAAGTTACTGGGTGTTTTCACCTAACCAAACAAAGCCTTAGATTTGTTTTATTTATTTATTTATTTATTTATTATTTTTTTTTAACTTGAGGTTTTATGCTAATTAGAATGACAATTTCCTCAGGGTTTTGATTTTTTTTTTTTTTAAAAAAAAATTTAACTTGAGGTTTTATGCTTATTAGGAATGACAATTTCTCAAGGATACCAACACGCCAAGGGCTTATTTGTATTCGTCTCTTACTTTCTAAAGGGAGGTCAAATCTCATAAGAGACATATCAAGAATTTTTGTCTAAAATCTGCCCAATTCCATTATATATGTAAGTTTTAATTTTTTTTTTGTATATAAAATACATATTTAATATTTTTAAGACTGGATGGTATAACAATTACAAATCCATTCATAAGGAGTCATGCCAAATGTATTTGGCTTTCCGAGGGTAATGTGAAAGTTCTTTGTTACACATATTCACCTCTTACTAGTGCGTCATGGTTAATGCATTTTTGGTTTTCAAGGGGTTAAAAGTTAGTTGTAAATGTGCCAAGAAGGCTCTACCATATGTTCTGTACCACTGAAACTCTAAACCATTTTTTTTTTTAAATTTTTAGGGAAGAAAGATCATACCATACCAGTAAATATTTGTAAACTTGTGAAGGCAAGATAGAGTCGATTGGGAGGGGGGAGATTGTATTTGTATCTTCTTTTCGGGAAAAGAAAGGAGATACTTATTGGGATTAGTGTTTGCTTAGGTTGCGGTTCTAATAACACATCTACAAATCGAGTCATTCCCAAAATCAAGTGAAAATTGATAAATCATATGATGATAAAAGCATATAAAATGGTCACAAGAGACGTACGTAGTAGTGGTAAACATCAACAATAAAAAGGGGGATCGTGTACTTTGGCAATCTTGAAGGTCTCAAAAACAAATTTGCCTTCCTTGAACTTGTTTCTTTCATCGTAACATCGTTCGTACCTCCATCCCAACTTCTCTCTGCAATCCGAGCAGTAAACGTCCGCAACCATGTGCACTCCACTTATCAATCGCCGATCCTCTTTAGGCCCCTCCACTAAGTTCATCGCACGACCGAACAAATACCCTCTTCCTTTTCCTCCTCCAGCCTATATATATATATATACACACATAGTTATTCAGGAAGGAAGAAAAAATATGTTCATATATATTCACACAACACACAACAACATAAATAAGCAAGCAGAAAAACCACTTTTACCACAAAATTCTTAGCAACAATATCATCATGAATAGCGACCACGTTTCGACATTTGAAACAACTGTACAGTCTTGATCCAACCAACTCCTCCATGGAAGAAGAAAATGCTTTCAATAGTAGTATTACTCAATTATCTCACTACATTATACATATATATATATATATCACCCACATCTTCTAAAGGAAACTGAAACGCTTCAAATTCTCACTGAAGATATATCCGAATCTAAATAAATTACTTCATAATCACACCTACTACGAAATCTAAGCAATTTTCAAAAGTTTTAATTTAAACGACTTCTTACTTTCAACGGAACGTAAAAAGGTTAAAACTTACATTACCATTTCAATTGAGAAGTTATATATTAGATGTAATAGGATTATATATTACATTATAAAAAAATACAGTATACCTTTACATGATAGTATTTCTTTGCTCTGTTTTGATTGGTGTTATTTCTAGATTGGTAATTAACAAGAAATTCATGAATGAATAACAGCACCGACAAACAATACCCAACTTTAATTACAGTGAATCAAAAGTCTCTATACAATATATGTAAGGTCCAAACATATCACAATACTTGCTTCAACAATACAATGGTACTGGAACAAGAGCAGCCCTACCAGTTTTCCTTCACAATCTTGAATTTTTCGAGCACGACTTTCCCTTCCTTGTACTTCTGAGATTCCTCATAAGCTCGTTCATATTTCCAACCCAGAACTTCACCACAATCCAAGCAGTGTACATCAGCAACTGTGTGAAGTCCGGTCATAAGGTGCCGGTCCTCTTTAGGCCCCGCCACAACATTCATGGCATGAGAAAACAGAAAGGCTCGCCCATTTTTTGCCTGAATAAAGTTTTGTGTTCAATAAGCATTTCATATGTGGCGTATAAAACACTTGGGAAAAATGACATACTTATGACTCTGTTTGATTAGTTTCTTTTTCTGTGACTATAACAAAATCCTCGTCTATCTATTAGAGTAAAAGGGTGCTACTAATTTTGATTTCAGAATCAAATTAGCTTATCAAAAGAGAGTTGGAGAAGATCATCAAAGGTACTTCACCTGAAAACCTGTAGAAACAATGTCATCGTGAAGGGCAACATGATTCCGGCAATTATAGCAGCTGTACAACCGTGGCCCGACTACATCCGCCATCAAGAAAGAATCACTGGTCAATCAATCTTGATCAGAACTTTGCTCCCGGTGGCCATCAATGATTTGTCAAGGAATTGATGAGGCCAATAGAACTATAATATTAGATTGGGTGATGATTTCGAACAAGATACTATAACAGAAATCAAAGTAAACAATTAGGTGTTGATATGATGGGATTCCCTCTAACACTAAAACCCTTTGTGCAAACAAAATATACCTATCAAATTATAATTGTATGATGTAGATGGTCTAAAAATAACCATAATCAACATGGACCCACTCTTGTAGCCCAAGGAAAAAAAAAAAAAAAACATGGACCCACTCATCACCTAACCTATCAAGAAATAAAACCTAGAAAATAAAAATAAAGAAAATAGAGAGAGAGTGAAAGCTAAATAATTGTCTACGCCTGCAAAGTGGATGGTTTCAAGGAAGAAAAATAGACGGAGAGGATGAGGAATCGTGGAAGAACGTATGAACTGTTTGAACCACAAGAATAATTAATTCATTTGCCTAAAAGAAAGAAGGTGTCGTGGTGTAGTGGGTTTTCACGTCAGTCCAACACACTGAAGGTCTCCGGTTCGAGTCCGAGGGACGCCAATTCATTCTTGTGCTTTTCCCAAATTCAATCAACCAACTGGTTTAACTTACGACATCGTTTTAGTTTTCCATTTCGTCAAGAAGGGTCCACTCCATCTACCCATTTCGGTTAAAGAGCGGGTGATCCAGTTTCTTCCTCTTTACAGTTACTGCACTCGATCACCCTTCACCTCATCACCATCACTGATATTATTAACTACAAAATACAAACATCAATATATACATAGATATACATGTACATATATACGCACACTTACATGAATATACACTCTCATAAGTAATATCTTCTTACTGAGAGATTGTCGGTACATCTCAGAATGGCGAAGCAAGAACTAATTGGCCGAGACAAATGACTTATTAGGGTTTCACTCTGTTCAAGAGAGCACGTAATAATGGAGAAGAGATCGAGGAGGACCAGAGAGAAGGTGGACTTGGCCGCAATTTTACGTAAATCTTGGTACCGGTTAAGGTTATCGGTCCGACACTCGTCTAGGGTTCCGACATGGGATGCAATCATCCTCACGGCGGCTAGCCCCGAGCAATCTGAACTCTACGACTGGCAACTCAAGCGAGCCAAGCTCCGCGGCCGGATCGCCAGCTCCACCGTCACTCTAGCCGTGCCCGACCCGGATGGCCAGCGGATCGGGTCCGGCGCTGCCACTCTCAATGCACTTCTTGCCCTTGCTCGCCACTATGAACAGCTCGATGCACAGGTAGTTCAGTTGCTATCCATTCTGTTGAATCGTCACTTCAGTTATTGTGATCGATACGTTGTATTATCATAGTAAATTTCTTTACTTTCTAACTTTCCATTGTATAAAAACCTTTAATTTCTGGGTTTGATAGCGTATTTCTCATAAGCAGGAAGGAAATGCAAGCAATACTAGTTCTGGGTCTTCCATACCTGAGGAAAGATCCAACAATGGAGTTCCTGACCAGTCAATCATCAACTTGATAGCCAAGAGGCATATTCTATTGGTTCCTGCTGGAGGTGACTCTAAAAGGGTCCCATGGGCGAATCCTATGGGGAAAGTTTTCCTACCACTTCCGTATTTGGCCGCCGATGACCCTGATGGCCCAGTTCCCTTGCTTTTTGACCATATTCTTGCAATCTCTTCTTGTGCAAGACAAGCTTTTAAAAATGAAGGTTACATAGCCCTCTTTATTGCAATTGAGGAAATGCTGCATACTGGCAATGTTTGGATGCATATTAACATGCATTTCATCTCACTCTATTTCTCATATTTAGTATGATAAATCACTTATGATACCCATGAACTATGTGATACTTACATGGGTGCACATTTTTACTTATTGTAGAGGTGACAACGTTGGGATATATCATTTTTAGTCTTTTTTCATATGGACCATAAGGTGTGAACTGTGTCATTGCCTCAAATATGCATTGACTTCTGTTTCTTTGATCCGTGTTTTGAGTTTTTGTTTTTTTCTCATAGTCCAAAAATTTTAGTTAGCCTAATTATCATGGTGCCATTTGGATTTATCTTTATCTACATCAAAGGAAGAGACCATACATGTAAATTTTTTATAATTGAAAGAGCTATGTGAATTTTTTATAATTGAAAGAGCTATGTGAATTTTGCCATTCAAACTTTATGAATTTGGAAGTTGTAATATGAATCTTGAAAATTAACAAATGTATGAATTATTGCATCAAACATTTTGAGGTATAGAGCTAAAGTTACAATTATCTTGTTACACTTATGAAGCTAATTTATACCACTACCTTCTTAGGTATGGAGCTAAAACCTAGTAAAACCATTAATGCTATGTTGCCACTTCATTGCCTTAAAGAAAATGAGTTATACCACTACATTCTACTCGTAGCCACCATGACATTAGGCCCATGTATGGCCTTTGACCTGCCTAATTTATTATATGATGCAGAATTTCTACAAGTGGTATAACTGAATCTATTAACTGATTCTCGATTGGATACTTTGATATGTATCTTGATTTCAACTATATTACTTGTATGGAGTCATATGTCTACATTTCTGTTTATCCTTAAGCTCCTGTATTGCCACACGTTTTGTGGGTAAGTATCCTGTATCGCCACATTACCTTGCAAATTCCAGTTCGTGTAAGAAGAATTGTTAAATTGAGTAGCGAGAAACTTTTTTTCTTGAACTGTATTATTTTTATCAACTTCTGTAACTTTCTGAATTACATGCTAGGACAGTTGTTAATATAAAAAAGGTAACTCCTATTACAATGTGGATTCTGAACAAAATTTTCAATCTCTGCAGGCGGGATATTTATTATGACCGGGGATGTTCTACCTTGTTTTGATGCCTCCACCATGATTCTTCCGGATGACACATCCTGCATCATCACTGTTCCTATCACCCTTGACATTGCTTCTAACCATGGTGTTATTGTGGCATCCAAAACTGGGATCTCGGATGAAACTTATTCACTCAGTTCAGTGGAGAATCTTCTTCAGAAACCCAGTATGGAGGAGCTTGTTAATCATAGGGCCATTCTAGATGATGGTAGAACATTACTTGACACTGGAATAATAGCAGTTAGAGGTACAGCATGGGTGGATCTTCTTACGCTTGCCTGTTCCAGCAAACCTATGATTTCAGAGCTTCTAAAGAGCAGAAAAGAGGCAAGCCACTATATTTTCAATCCTCACTATTTTTGTCAGATCTAACTTTAGGTTTTTCCTGAAATTTCATATTTTCTATGTTATCATTAAGGCTATTTGGTTTTCTAATATTAAGGGATTTCTTTAATACTGACGTCTGTTAATCTTTGAAATATATTCCATGAACTTGCGCAGATGAGTTTGTATGAAGATCTTGTAGCAGCTTGGGTACCTGTAAAACATGAATGGTTGCGACCACGCCCTACGGGTGAAGAACTTGTCAACAGATTGGGAAGACAACAGATGTTCAGCTGTTGTGCTTGTATGTTGAGCTTCGTTTATTGTATCATGATGTTACTGATAGTGCTGTTACTGACTTTATTTTGTGCTTTATTGATGCTGCCTCATTCTCAATGATTGTGGTTTTAACTTACATGGTTCATTAAGTAATTCATTAAGTAAAGGGCTTAGTGTAGGCCCTTAAAACCCTTTGAATGAGCATACCATTCAATTCAAATGGTTCTTCCAAACACTAACATACACGTTTCTTGAAGTAAAAGAATTATGGCATGCCATAGCTGTGGTTAAGTAACATGTTAAGGCTGACTTTTGCAAGATCCATATAAGATCGTTCTGTTTTTGAGTATGGTGAAATGTGGCCTCTGCATGTTAACCTTTTACTTCCCTTCAAATTACTAGGAGCATAACTTTGGGGAAAGAACATACATAGTTCTGCATAAACTTGTTTGTATTTTCAATTTGACTCTAAATGTTGACTTCTTTTCTATAGTGTAGACATATGAATATGTGTGTCTGCATATTAAATTTTTGTATGTGTATATGTATTTATGCTTGTGTACCTCTCCATGTTTCCTTGCATGAAAATAGTTGTGATATTAAGGTGCATTAATATTTTAAGTTTATTGCGTTGTCTTCCTGAAGCCGGGTAAGGGAGAATTGAGGGAACAATGCTTGATAATCATGCTCCCTTGAAAATAAAGTTCTGTTGTGTTTCATTCCTTCTTGATTGAACTTGTATTGATTTGTGTTTGTTTCCATGTAAAAGCAGGTGATGTATTTCAATTCTCTAAAATGGTTGTCAATATGCTGAACTTGCACTCCAGGAGGCTGATTTTTACCCACACTTCTGCCTCTATCATTATAGCCACACTTGATACTATAATTTAATTATATAATTATTAGAATTTTTATTTTTTATTTTACTTTTTATGATTGTAAACCAATGGCTGGATTGAATATTTGACTGTTAAATTCTTGAGAATTATCATGTGTCTGCCATCAGAAGATTCCACGCTGATTCTTTTATCTATTTCCCTGCAGATGATTTATTGTTCTTACATTTTGGAACCTCAAGTGAAGTCTTGGAACACCTAAGTGGAACTAGTTCAGAACTTCTAGGTCGTAGACACCTGTGTTCCACTCCGGCAACCACTATGTCTGACATTGCTGCATCTGCTATTATTGTTTCTAGTAAAATTGAACCTGGTGTCTCAATTGGGGAAGATTCTCTTATATATGATTCATCCATTTCGGGTGGGACACAAATTGGTTCCCTAGCTATAGTTGTTGGTGTTAATGTGCCAGAAGATAACAATAGTACAGCAGATGATCCATTCAGGTTCATGCTTCCAGATCGCCATTGTCTTTGGGAGGTCCCACTAGTAGGATGCACTGAACGAGTTATTGTGTACTGTGGCCTCCATGATAACCCAAAAAATTCAATTTCAAGGGATGGGACTTTCTGTGGGAGACCCTGGAAAAAAATCTTAGATGATTTGGCCATCCAAGAATCTGATCTTTGGAGCTCAACTAGCACTCAGGAAAAGTGCTTGTGGAATGCAAAAATATTTCCTATACTTTCTTACTTTGAGATGCTTAGTTTGGCGGCATGGCTGATGGGCTTGAGTGATCAAAGAAAGGAATCTTTACTTCCTTTATGGAAAAAGGCACCACGTGTCAGTTTGGAGGAGTTGCATAGGTCAATCGATTTTAAGCAACTTTGCTTGGGCTCTGGCAATCATCAGGCAGAACTTGCGACTGGAATTGTTAAAGCTTGCCTTAATTTCGGTTTGCTTGGGCGCAACTTGTCTCAATTGTGTGGAGAAATTTTGCAAAACAAAGCCTCGGGAGTCAAAATATGCAAAGATTTTCTAACCATGTGTCCCAACCCCAGGGAACAAAATTCTAGGATCCATCCTAAAAGCAGGGCATACCAGGTGCAAGTTGATCTTCTTCGAGCATGTAGTGACGAAACTATGGCATGTGAACTGGAGCACAAAGTTTGGGCTGCTGTTGCCGATGAAACTACTTCAGCAGTGAGATATGGCTTTAAAGGTAAGATGAATATATATATATCTATGTATTTTCTTGAGTGGTGGTAATGATGAATGTTCGTGGCATTAATGATCACAAAAACATAATGTGCTGAAAATTTGAAGAAATCATGAGCAGGGAAAGAACTATGAAAAAAAAATAAAAATGCATCAGCAATCTTGTTCTATTATTATATGAAGTACATTTTTCAATCCGTCATTCTATTATTCTGCTTGATTTATAATTTACCCAGTGGAATATTTCATTCATATATTATTCTTCTAGGTATTATTATCCTGGTTGATCTTCTGAAGTAACATTTATATATATATATATATATATATATTTTTTTTTTGGTTAGAGAATTTCTTGGAATCCTCCAATAGGACTTCTGTGGCAGAAAACCAGGTCAATAATGTTGATGGTTTCATAGATCAATATTTCTGGTCTAGAATTGTAAAGGTTGAGTTACCAGTTCGCGTGGATTTTGTTGGAGGTTGGAGTGATACTCCTCCATGGAGCTTAGAGCGTGCTGGTTGTGTCTTGAATATGGCAATAATGTTGGAAGGTTCTCTACCAATTGGAACCATCATAGAGACGAAAAAAACTACTGGGGTGATGATTAGAGATGATGCTACAAACCAGCTGTATATTGAAGATTGTAGCTCTATTGCAGCTCCATTTGACAGTGATGATCCATTCCGGCTTGTCAAATCTGCATTGCTCGTGACAGGTATTACTCATGACAAGATCCTTCTGTCCATGGGCTTGCAAATCAGGACATGGGCCAATGTTCCCCGTGGTAGTGGTTTGGGGACTTCTAGCATCTTAGCAGCAGCTGTTGTAAAAGGACTTCTCCAAATAACCAATGGAGATGAAAGCAATGAAAATGTTGCCAGACTTGTCTTGGTACTGGAACAGCTCATGGGCACAGGAGGAGGCTGGCAGGATCAAATTGGAGGTTTATACCCTGGCATTAAATTCACTGCAAGTTTTCCTGGAGTACCATTGCGGCTTCAAGTCATTCCCTTGTTGGCTTCTAGCCAGCTGATTAGAGAGTTGCAGCAACGATTGCTTGTAGTATTCACTGGTCAAGTAAGCATGCTATTTTTTCTTTTGTTTTTTTTCAATTTGAAGGTGCATTTTAAAATTTGTCATTTCCTTACATGAATTTATAGTAGTATGCAATCTAATGATATAATAATTTAAAATGAGGTTCTGGCGCGGTTCCTGAAATCCACGTCCCTGAGATGAACAGGAAATTATATTAATTACATTACAATGAAGATAATACTTCTCTTCCACATCATGTAATATATAAAACTGGTCTCACAATCTTGGCTACCTTTCCCTCTAGGTGGGGGCATCTCCATTCATTGAAGTCCAATAGGAATATAGTGTCCCATGTAGAACCTTTTGCTCTGAATTTGCAGCATGCCTAGATATTGCAATATTCAACTATCATAAATTAACCAACAAATGATTTATTTATTTTTCCCCGGTTCTAATCTAACTTTGTGATGAATTGCTAAGTTGGGACTCAAATGCTTATGAAGCCAACTGGTTTGTTCTCAATCCTTTACGTTTCTCAGGGCTTGTTATGGATCCCTAGAAGATGAGTGGTCTTCCTCTTGCTTACCAACGGTAGAGCCTTAGTGAGAAATATATAAGCATAAAAAGTTGGCATCGGTTCATTCACGGATGATTTTGAACCCTTCCTTTCTCTTAAATTTGGTAATAAAGAAATTAGGTAAGGAGATTAAATTTTATTGGGATTCGCTGTCCTGCCAATGAAATTTTGTATTACCTAGGTATTGGATTTGATAACGTTGATTCCATCCACTGCTTCTTTGTTTGTTGTTTACCTTGAAGTCAGAAGCCACCCTGCTGCAGCTTCTTTTTTGGTTCTAGTCGGGTTTGGAGACAAAGCTTATTAGAACTATGAGCTACGTTTGACATGTATTCTCTATGATTACTTTTACATGTCTGAATTCATGAGACATGATGCTTAACAATCATAACTCCGATGGATGATGTTGGGTATGACTTTTCTGAAATCTGTTGATTTATATACTGGCAACCACCTACTTTGCAGGTTCGACTCGCACATCAAGTCCTACAAAAGGTGGTAACTCGATATCTCCGACGTGACAACCTGCTTGTATCCAGTATTAAGCGCCTTGCTGAACTGGCAAAGGTTGGGAGGGAAGCTCTAATGAACTGCAACATAGATGAGATTGGGGTGATAATGTCGGAAGCTTGGAGGTTACATCAGGAGCTTGACCCTTACTGTAGTAATGTATTTGTTGATAGACTCTTTGCATTTGCTGACCAGTACTGCTGCGGCTACAAGCTTGTGGGTGCTGGTGGTGGGGGTTTTGCATTGTTACTGGCCAAGGATGCTGAGCGTGCCACTGAACTGAAACGTTCGCTAGAAGAGGATTCAGAATTTGATGTGAAAATCTACAATTGGAACATCTTTTTAGAAAGTTAGAAGTTCGATGAAGGTTGTTTCCGGAAGGTAGCTTATTACTGTATTTCTTAGATATGTTTATGTATAGCGTGGTGGTAAAAAATGTCTCGAGCGAAGATGCCTAGGAGAATTCATGGCGATTCTTTATTAAATTTATTTAGGAAATTTATGAAACTTCTTGTAACTCAAGTTCAATAAAGTTTAGCAATAACGCTGTTTATTCTTCAAACTCAAATGAATGATATTCAAAATATTATAATTAGAATTTTTATGTGCATATGTTTGGAACTTGGAGGTTTAGATTTTTAAAATTATGCACACAAGTAAATCTAGTGGAAAAAACCAAGGCTTTTGTGGTCTAGCAAAATCTCCTTTACCTTTCAGAGTAGATGGTGAGAGTTTCGGTCGGGCAAAATGAGTGGTGTGTATGAATTTTTTGCAAATGATAAAAATAAAAAAATAAAATCTCTCCGTGTAAACTTCTTACACTGTTTTCAATGCTACACAATGCACGAGTAAAATGTGAAATGTCCCAACTATCCTGTCAAAACCATATTTTTGGCATTCAATAAACAGTCCAAATTTAATAAATTAATGTGTCAGATACTTTATAAATTTATATTTATATGCGTGTAAATATATATTCAACTATGCATGGAACAACTAATGAGACGGAAGAGTAACTGTCAAATACTTCATTTTCTATTTTATACTATCATATTTCCTCCTCCTAATTATAACAAATAAAGCTATTAGTATATTTTTATTTCTTCTTTTGGCTCCATCACTTTAATGGAGTTTTAACTCTTAAAATTACTACTAGTTTGTTTGAAATAACATCTTGTGAAATAGAATTTTTTTTAATCAAGAACTCTATCCTTCAAACTTAAATTCCAAACAATTTATAGGCCATTTTGACTTACTTATCGCTTATGATTACAGTCTATTAATATCTCTTCTAACTTTTAAATAGAGAGTTTATTTAACTTGTTAAGTTAAAAATAAATAAATTAAAAAAAGTGACCAATTTTTTAATTTTGGAAATGAATGTATTTGTGGGCATCATCCAATGTTGGAGCCCACAAGTTTGTCAAGGGACCAAAAATAAAAAATAAAAATAAAAATAAAAGAAGAGAAGAGTGGTTGAATTGGTGTTGCCGTGTTGGTCAGCTTCCTCTTTTCATCGTTACCGATGAGTGATCTCAATTATTTTCTAAAGTTTATTTAGTCTTTGCAAATTAGAAAATATTAAAAAGTTGGAAATGGTCAAGATGACTAACAAATCTGGTTGACCTGCACGTCACATGTGGGATTGAATGGGCTAAGGCCTAGATCAGTGATTAGTGAATCCCTAGAACGACGACGTTTTTCTTAAAGCATTGACAGTGTGACGGCAAACAAACCAAAACTTTCCTTGGATTCCGTGGAACGAATAAGAATATCGATGTTGATTGGAATAAGAAAGCGCAGACACCAAACGTTACTCAATGTAAATCAACACATAAAATCAAATCCTTCCCATCTCATGCTCGAGTCAAAAGGAAAAGGAAAAGGAAAAGGGAAAGGAAAAGCTAAAGCAAAAGAAGACCATCCATAAACGTCGTCATCATCAATAATCACTAGCTTTATTGGTGATGGTTGTTCATCAGACAGATGCTCTGCTCATCCAATCATCGCTCTCCACACCTAGATGCCTATCATTGTTTTTACTCTGAGCCCCACAGAGAGAGACTGTTTGGTTTAATTGTACGTACTAATTAATTTTGTTTGTTTTTGCTAAATTAGCAGAGGAAGCTTAATTTCTGGAAGCGGTTTGGGTTTCTTTTTGTTGCAGGTAAGAAGTGATCTGTGAGCAGAGGAAGCAGAGGGATAGAGATTTAGAGAGAGAGAGAAAGACATGGGGCTCCTTACCAACAGAGTCGAGAGAAATGAGATCAGACCAGGCGACCATATCTACACTTATAGAGCTGTCTTCGCTTACTCTCACCACGGTAACCACACTTTCTCTCTCTACTTTCTCTCGCCGCACGCATTCTCTCTGTACTGTTGACCCAACAATGATGATTTTCAAGAACTTCTCTGAAACATGCAATGTGGGTTCTCTTTGTATTTTTTGTTACTGGTTTTTTTTTTTCCCCCGGAAAATGGGTAATTTAAGTTTTTTTCCTTCTATATTCGTTTCAATTATTTTAATTTTTAGAATCTGAAGTGAATGTGCAATTGGATATTAGGGTTTTCCTTTTTCTGTTTTTATTTTTGTGGTTAGTATAGGGTATTAGGGTTATGTTCACAATTTCTGAGTTGTGTTTCATCATGATGTCTGATATTGGCTAAAAAAAAATAAATAAAATCCAGCATTTAATTTTTTTTCTCTCTTTATTGTGTCAGTCTGCTTTTTGTGGAATGTATGGAAGTTGACTTCCTTTTAGGGTATTACGGGCGTTGAAGGAAGGATCTCTGCTAATTTTCTTTGCTTGCAAGTTCATCATACTGATGCCTACTTAAAAATGCCATGTTGATGCCTTTACTAAAGCACCTTCATTGGCCAAGGAATGGGAACCTCGTGTTTGGAAATTTTCATGATTGACTACTTGTTGAGCTGTTTCTGGTTTGGGAAATCCTGCTGTAACTTTTACCCATAAAGCATCAAAATGTTTTGTTGCCTAGGAATGGGTTTCTTTGAGGGATTTTGGTGAATAAATGTACTCTATTTCTTTGGGTTGTTTTTCCTCTGTGGTTCAGAGTAGGAACTGAAGAGAAACATCTTGGATCCTAAACTTTTTATGATCTGGAACCTGAATAAACCAAAGCATCCACACAACTGGGTGTAATTCCACTGTTTGTGTTGTTAGAGTGAGTTTATACATTTAAATAACAAATTCAACACAACACAAGAAAATCAGAATTCTGGTGTTCCTTAGATTTTCTCAAAAAACTATTGGCAAATTGCAGTTCAGTTTATTCAGGTTGATATGATTGCATTTCATGAGGTGAGTGATTATTGCCTGTCTCATTAGGGACTCGAACCTAAGCCCTTGATGGTTTTGATGGACAGTTTGTACTCAACTCAACAAAGCACTTTTCCGAATATTTGGGATCGGCTATATTGATTTTTTTTTTTTTTTCCCTTCCCATTATGTCCTGTATAATACTATAGCCTCAGTCAAACCACATGTTACCATATTTATTTTTTCTTGTTTTTTCATTATTATCCCAAGAACTTGAGCACTTGACTTGTTTGATGTATTTTGCAAAATGATTCAATTCATTAGTTTATGTTAGTCTGAACATGGCCTAGTGGTGTGAGATTGGAGCACATTAGAGAGTGATGGGCTTTTTGGGAGCAGTTGGAGAAAACAAGAACCAAAAACATTATTGGAGCACTTTATTAATGTCACTTGCACAGGTGGTTCCTTGATTCTCTTTAATGGCACACAAAGGTGATATAGGACTGCTACAGGGGATAATGGAGGGATAATCCTCTCCCCTCCTGTGAGTTGTCATTTATGGCATTGATGGCGGTGGTCTGCCAACCTGGAAATTTGTTCCTTGGCCATTGAACCACAATCCCTTGTTTGCGATAGTGTTAGACCACCACAAGAGGTAGTTTTGGCCTATATTTTAATACCTTTTGATGTTTTAGTAGGCCTAGGTGGGGACTAATGTCACATCAGTGTTGTTGATCTTGTTTCATCCTGTTAAAAACTGAAGCACGAAGTGTATCTCATTTTACCAACATAAATTGGTTTCAGAAAATATTACCTTGGGCAACTAGCCCAAAATGATTTTGGGACTTGTTGCATTTTTTAACTTTTGAAAATTTTGAGTTCTATATGTCACACACATTTTATGCCGTGTTTTTTACTTAACATGAAGGAGGGGAAGGTTGAAATTTGTTTTCTTCTTGCTACTTGGAGAGGACAGTAGCTGACATTCATATGAAGTTAACTATATATGTAAGCTGCCTACCTTGTTACTGTCATGCTTATCATTCATTAGCACAACTTTGAATTCTCTGCCTCGACAGAAGATTGAGCTAAAAGCCTAAGATAGTAGGAGTTTGTGATTGTGATTGTCCCAATAGGCTGTTTTGCTTCTACATTGTCTTTTACCTGTTCAAAGTAGAAAATAATGTTTGGTAATGAGCCCTTTTGCATGGTTAATGGAAGCTATATTAGTTTATCTCATTCCCTGTGGCATCATATCCTTGAGTTATTGTATTTTCTACTGTGAACTTCCTGTTCAGGAAGCATTAAGCTAGTGAAAAAAATCTTGTGGATATGTCTTTGCATACATAAATTCTAAACCAGCCTTTCCCCCATCCTCACCCTAACCCTACCAGCTAACAAAAAATGTATTCTATTGATCATTTGTGATAATCAGAATGATGAAATGGTTACACAAAAATATGTTTAAAATCATTGAAAGAGATCTTAGAATTGTTGATAAGTTAAAACCATTTAGTCAAGCGTGACTGAAGAAAAATTGTTGTAATTACTAAAACTTCAGTGACTTAAGGCTCTAGTGGAAAATTACCTGAAGGATTGTTTCATAACGCATCATCATCTGTCTTTGGGATCTTGAAATTTTGCCTTTAAGATTCTCATCGACCTGTCCTGATCATCACATTTTAAACCTCAAATTTGAAGAAGGATTGAATTATTGAAGTGGAACTGCTGGTGCTACCTAGGAGGAACGGATCAGGCACTTTCTGATAGATCTGCATGCTCACTTGTAGGCACACATTCTTCAGATCCTGGTACTACTACATATAACTGCACTGTTGTTGCAGATTTTTTTCCCTTTTCCCGTAAGGCTACTTCTCTATATATGGAGGGTTTAAGGAGGAAATAACAGGCTGCACATGGGTGTGCTGATCTGGCATAAACTGCATAACAGATTTTTGGAGTTTGTTGAAATCACAAGCAATTTTAAGGACAGGCTGTATGAAAATGATCAAAATTAAATATTTTATGACGTTATGAAAATTGGAATGACTCATGAGTATGTGTTAAAAAAAAAAAAAAAAAAACAAAAAAAACAAAAAACTAGCCTTTGGGGTTCACAGGAAATAATTTCCTTGTTCTCTTCTGTGTTGTGCTTCCTCACTTGCAAGGTTTTAGTCCCCTTTCCATCATCAAATCACTCAATCTGCAATTTACTAATGAGCTCTGATTGCTTGCATCTGAATTATTGGCCTTCTTTTGGCCTGATTCATGTTGATGACTAAATCAGATTGAGTTATTATCTAAATTGTGATCCATATTCGCTAAATATTCATAACATTGTTGCCTCACTTCATGTTAGTATCTCTCGTAATGGTTAGTTTTCTTCTTTTTTTGGCTATGAAGTTGGTCTCCTGGTTTATCTGCATGTTTAACTTGATATTGTACTAGTCCTCTCTCTCTCTCTCTCTGTCTGTTGGCATATGTTGTTTATTACCTGCTTTAGTTTTCTGAATAAAAATTGCTTCTAGTTGCTTAACTCTCATTAGCTGTAACACCACTGTATTGTTGCATTATACTTTAACTTAGGATTTACACCTTTTGCTTAAGATATTTGCATTAAATGTAATTGCTAAAGCAAAGAAAATAACATGATTGTAAGTAACCTGAAATTATTAATGATCAACTAACTGCACTCCAGTGCACTGCAAGTCTTGACATGTCATGAAAATGCCATTATTGAAGTGTATACAATAATTGTATGTTCATCCGTAACAAAAGTTCCCCTTGCCATGTCATGCAGCAACAGATTTGAAGTCAAATTTGTTAAGCTTTTTGGCTTCTCACACTGCTTTCCTATTATGGTGGTAGATGGATGGGTTGCTCATGTTGTATTGGTTCATTATTCATATGATTTCATCTCTTTCTAGTTTGTGTTATTAACTATAAATAAACAAGCTGTAGAGCTGTATTGCTTGTATGGTCTGAGCTAGCCAATCAAATCACAAATTACAACCTTTCTATTGTAAATCATCAAACAACGCAGGTATCTTTGTTGGAGGAAGCAAAGTGGTTCATTTTACACCCAGACGTGATGTGCATTCAAGCTCTGACACCACTCTCAATTCATATGATGAAATGTCAATTCTCCCGTCGTCGTGTCCAATCTTTCCTGACTGTGGTTTTAGGCAACCCAATAGTGGAGTAGTGCTCACCTGTCTAGATTGCTTTCTTCGGAATGGATCCCTTTACTGCTTTGAATATGGAGTTAGCCCATCTGTTTTTCTTGCCAAAGTACGGGGTGGCACTTGCACCACTGCGGCATCAGATCCACTTGAAACAGTCGTCCACCGAGCAATGTACCTGCTTCAAAATGGATTTGGGAATTATGACGTATTCCAGAACAACTGTGAGGACTTTGCCCTGTACTGTAAAACAGGGCTTCTGACAGTTGACAGGTTGGGGGTTGGACGAAGCGGTCAAGCTTCATCTGTCATTGGAGCTCCATTGGCCGCCCTTCTTTCTTCCCCTCTGAAGTTGCTAATGCCAAGTCCTGTTGGTGTGGCAACAGTAACAGCTGGGATGTACTGTATGAGCAGGTATGCTACTGATATCGGTGTACGAACCGATGTGATCAAGGTAGCAGTGGAGGATCTGGCTGTCAACCTTGGGTGGGGGAGCGGTGTTGACGAGGTACCAGAGGAGAATCAGGTTTCTAATTCAGGTGATATGGATCTCATTGATTTCAGATGAAGCTGTGCACATATATAGTGGTTGACATAAGTAAGAATTTAGTTGACATTAATAAAATATCATTTCTGAGTGAATGATCTATATTATGCCTCCGGTTGTGAAATCTGAAAGTTGCTTTCTTTTTGTTGAAGTTTGTGCATTGACAATGAAAACATTATTAATTCAATTGTGAATCAGTGAAGTTCGTTGCATTGGGTGGTATTGTAGTGGATAATTAAGTTTCATTTCTTATAGTTGGTATAATGCTTAATTTGATCATGAATTGAAGAACTTCAATTCCTATGTTGAGGATCATAAATCTCTGAAGTTTTTGGATAAATTTTATGGTAAATGCAAGAAAAGGTGGACACCAACTGTTGTCAAACAATCTCTGTTCAATGATATATTGTTATATTTGAACTTAAACAAACTCGTTGAGTCTTTCTCTTGCCAGCGCATCATCTTCACTAGCAGCTGTATGTTTTGATTTAGGCATTAGAATTTGTGTGTGTGTGTGTGTGTGTGTGCTGGAATAGATTATATAGCGTTAGCTTCAGGGTGCAACTCTACTGCTGTAGTAAATGGTGTGTCTGTGGATTTCAGGTGGGGTGAGATAAATTTTCATGTCATTCAGGCAACCATATCAGCATATACATAGAAGGATGAAACAAAGGGATTGTTGAAGGGTCTGTTTAGAGCCTTTATGAATGGTTCGATTGTTAACATGATTGTTTTTTTACTGGCCGGCTATTTTCAAGGCTTAGCTGAACACTGCATTTGATAACTGGCGGCAAGGACAATATGTAAAGAAGCAGCAGGCATATCCTTGAAGAAGGTTTGACTCCAACCTGTTGAGCAAGCAATTCTACAAGAACCTGAACACCAACCATCTCACCAGCTCTGTTCATATACTTACCACGCGACAGCACTCCCATTAACAATCGGTGGTGCCTTAAACTTAAAGGAGGATAGCTCTGAGAGAAGGCTTTGTATATCTCATCCATTGCTTTGAATATGGACTTCAGCAACTCAAGTTTTAGAATGTGTTTGGTAACACACATGTTGATGTTGCATTATTATCTAAGTAATTAAATGATGCAATTAGGAATGGAGCCAATCTAAACAAGTCACTGGAGCAAATTTGGAGCTGGCCTAGCAATTGTTCGGATACAACCCACCTATTCAAGCAATTAACAGCAACCATCCAAATCAACTGTCTCATGATAGGTGGGTTGTAGTTGCCTTGTGGCAAACTACTCGCATTGAATTCAAACTTTTCTTTTCTCTGGTTAAATTTTTTAAAGAGTAATGATAAAGAATTGGACAAATTGAATTTATTTTATGTGTGATGTCACTTATATTAATGATACTCTAATTGTATAAATCACTAATAATAAGTCCAAATTGTCTTGATTCTAAATATTCTTCTATTTTCAAATCATGTGTTGTTCCACAATTTTTATGGTAGAGAATTGGTTGGGTATAGAACTAAATATCTCTATATTAAACCTTACAACACATCTAATGAATTTATATTTGAAATTATTTGTGTCCGAAATTAATGAATTGCCTTTTTCTATATTGTAACTTATGAATCAAGTTATCCCCAATGCTTGACTTTTTTTTTTTTTTTTGACTCGATTAAATTGGTTGATTTATTTTATTTATTAATAAAAAGGACAAAAGGAAAAAAAAAATTCGGCTAATTTTATTTCCTTTAAAGATATAATTGTTCACTTTATATCGCCAGCGGATAATTAATTTCAGGTGTGCTTTTAATTTTACCAATTGCCAACGATATAGTCGAGACTAGTATATGACACGGAGGCACAGATAGAGAGACACACACATAACGTGTAGGTTTCGGTATTGATGAGATTGAGATTGAAATCATTGCACTATTCTTCAACTCCTTCCTTATCTCAAACAAAACTCGATTCAATCGTCGTCGTCGTCGTCAGTTAGATATAAAAAGAGAGTTGAAAAAATGGCGAATTTGTACGTGAAGGCGGTGCCACCGCCGGATCTGAACAGGAACACGGAGTGGTTTACATACCCAGGGGTTTGGACCACCTATATATTGATTCTCTTTTTCTCTTGGCTCATGGTCCTCTCCGTCTTCGGCTGCTCTCCCGGCATGGCTTGGACCATTGTCAATCTCTCCCATTTCGTCGTAAGCCCCCCCTCTCTCTGTCTCTCTAATTGTATTTATAACTGTTCTTCCATAAGTGATTGATTTGATGACTTATTGTTTAGATTAGTGATTTCGTATATTGAATTAGGATTTCGTATTTTTTGATGTGGGGTTTCTGAGTAGTTTTCTGATTCCTGGTTTCAGCTCACATATTAATTTAATTTGAAGTATGTATTTTTGTATGTTTAGGGTTTTAGGCAGGTTGTAGTGGTTGAGTATAACAGGGATGCAATTGATAATTCTATTTTTGATGGGCAATGTTGTGGGAAGCTTCTAGATTAATTGGATACATAAGCGAAGCTTTTACCAATCATTTGATTTTACGTATATGAATACTTTTCCGTCATTATACTCTCTCCAAGTGTCTGTCATTTGTTTTGGTTCGTTGTTGTTACTTCAGGCAATATCTTGCTTATGTTGATGTTAGGTTTATTTCTAGTCCTCCCATTCTAGCACGCTTCTTATGTTATATTGTGTTGTGTCATCATTGCGAGTATTGTTAATGCCGTTGTAGCAATGCATGGTCATGCTACTTTACTTTGATTATTTGTGACAGTGCAGGAATGGACTAGTTATTGTTATTTTACCTTTTAGATTCCTGTTATTTAGGTTTGTTTTATTCTTACTATTTAGTTAATTTAAGGGTGGGGATAATTGTAATAAGTGGTCTTTATGGAAAAGGTCTGTAGTCATCTCTTTTAGATGCGGTGAGCATTCAATCTGGAGTTTGCAGCTTGATGTTTTACTTAAAAGACGTGTCTGCTTAGGTTCTTCTCTTAATTGTTGGCATTATAGATGGTTTCACTGTTTTACTGATACCTTTCAAAATGACTTAATGAACTCATGTTATACTCCCAAATCCCTCTTCTATAATTCCTTATCAACATAAACTTTATGCTATTCCTAGTCCTAATTATTTGAAATATAGCTGAATTTGGAAAGATTATGTTTCATGTCTTGTCTTATTCTTATATGTTTTGAGGACTATGAATTGAAAAACTAATACTTAAAATGTTTATTTGATAGGCTGAAATTATTAATTCCTCTTTACTTTGCCGTTTATGTTTTCATAATTTGTTTAACAACTATTGAGGAGTATGTTTCTCCATTTAGGTCACTTATCACTTCTTTCATTGGAAAAAAGGAACTCCGTTTGCTGATGACCAGGGGATCTATAATAGGTTGACTTGGTGGGAGCAGATTGACAATGGAAAGCAGCTCACACGTAACAGGAAATTCCTAACTGTTGTGCCCGTGGTGCTGTAAGTTCACTCTTATGGTATAGGTCTTTTTGTTTGGAAATCTAACTATCGTGCCATTAGTTAGAAATGTCTTTTTAGTATCTTTATGTATATGTTACTGCCTTTTTCTTATTGAATAAACTACCCGTGTGGGTCACATGACAATTATATATATTTGGACATGCATGTAACAAGCATTTTATTATTATTAGTATTAATTATTTATTTATTTATTTATTTTTTGTGTCTGGACCATAGCTCGCAATCGCGGTTACGGTTGCGGTGTAACGGACTCGGACAAAATCAGTGTAAATTGGTCGATCCGGGTCGCATATCGGATTTAAAAAAGGGTCGCGTATCGGCCGATGCGTCGTGTATCGGACAATATGACGAACCATGGTCTGGATGTTATTGGCTCAAATTTTCAAAATGATGGGAGTGCCCATGTGGAGACTTTTATTTTCATAAATCACTATTGCGCCCTATATATAAAAAGAAGACTATTGCCAATGGGTCAGTAGTCCAGCGGTACTAAGTCCCTACTTTTCAAAGGGAGGCTAGGGCTTCAAGTCTTAGTAGAGGCATGGGTGTGCGAGTACTAAGAAAAAAGAAAAAGAAGTCTATTAAGAATTATTATAAATATTTTAGTTTTTTTTTTTAATCAAAATATATATATATATATATATTAGTTTTTTTCCCTTGCCCTTCGATTTGAGGATTTGATAAATCTGGCACTTTGGCAATCTTCTGCATTAGCTTGTTTAATATTCTTTCAGCTGTTTACAGGTTTGTACGTTCTCAGTCTGTTTATATTTGTACATGTTCCCTTCTATTTGTTAATTCTGTAATATTTGATTGCAAACATTCACCTGAATGACTGATTCATACAAATCTACGAGTCATTATCGAGTTAGTGGGTATTGGGTTGCAGTGTATTTCTTTGTTTATTTCTTTCTTGGTAACTTTGTCCTTTCTTTCTGGGTCAACCTTCCTCCCTTCCTATCTATCAAAGGTCCAAAACAAATATGGAGATTCTAAAATGCTATTTTTTTTTTTCTTTTCTTTTTGTAACGATTCTACTCGCATATCAAATGTATTAGCCATCGCCTTCATTTGGAGTCAGAAATGAAAGTAACAATTTAACATATATGTGCAACTCTTTCTAGCTTCCACTAATTCTTTATATTTCAGGAGATGGCATGTTTTTTTGTGGGCACCATTTTCCATTAAAGGTCCTTGTAGTAAATGTTGTTATATATGTTTATATCACAGAATTACATAGAAAGTGGTTTTTTAGGTGATGCTGTACAATCATCGGTTAGTAAAAAGATGACTTGTTTTAATACTTATTCATGACCTCTTGAACAATGTTAGCAATTGACATTAGTACTGCAAAGAAAGACAGAGACAAGAAAAGAACTTGCTACTTTAAACCACAGTTGCATTCAGTGGTGTGTTGGCAAGGAAGCGAATAAGAAAACAATTCTTTCAGACATTAGTTTTGGTAATATTTCTATAATCTTTGTCAAAAATATATTTCTTGTGTCATAATTCCAATAATTTCTTCAAGTTACTAATGTTGTTAGCAATCTGCATTGAGGAGAAGGTAACAATGTGCTCCAGTTTTACGTGATCCATCTTGTCCACAACCTAAGAGTGCAAATTCTAAAACATCTCCTTCAAACCAACCTCTAAGATGAAAAAAAATGAATAAACAGCTTCCAAACACAATTTATTCGACAACTTGGAAGTTGTTGATGGTGCTTCTTACGATTGATTTATGGTGGCTAAGGTCAACGAGGGTTTGTAGATTATGGTTGTAAAAAGTGGGAAAAAAAAATTGAAGGTTTGGGGTTTAAGATGGGCTGAATTTAAACTTGGTTATAGAAGTGATGGTTTGGAGGAAATTAAGGACAAAAGGTATGTTGGAATTTCTGGACAGCAGATATTTTGGATTTTTAGTGTTAAACTATAGGACTCGAATAGGAGAATAGGTCAGGTTAATTAGGGCTAGATACATTAAGGTTTAGCTGTAGAAAGAAGAAATTTTAGGGTTGTTAAGGTGCAGGGGTCAAGTATCCAGAGGGACGAGGATTTTTTTTTTGGGGGGTGGGGGGGGGGGGGGGGGGGGGGGGTTGGGTGTGGAGAAGCAAGGAATCTCACTTAGAATCACCTTGCAAGAAGGAAAAAGTGGAAATCTTGTATCATGTTTGTTAGGACTACATAACAAAGTGTTTGATTCCCATGGACGCTGTAAATTAGGCTGTTAGGGATGATTCACTTCCACATTGGTTTGCATTGACACTGTGATTGAAGATTGTCCTTCAAGCATAGGGTCACAGACTTTTAAAATGGTAACTGACCTAGATACGAATCTTTTACTAGCTGAGATGCCTAAATTTTCCTAATTAATTTTTTAAATGTTTAGAAATTTTAGGAAGCCTGGAATTCGACCTTTACTGCCCGACCTTTCCTAATGTTTAGAAATTGGCGCACTGTAAATTTCATGCTCAACGTTTAGTTTGCATATCCCATGAACATACTGTAAATTTCATAATGCTTAGAAATTGATTTAGTTTGACCTAGATATGGATGGAGCATCATGCAAAGTCTGTAGAACTTCTTTGATCTATAAATACACACTTTGAATTTTTTAAGTAGGACACTGACAGTTGAAACCCATGCACTGTTTTGGCTTGCTGACTGTTGCATGTCTTAAGTTTTTATGATGTATATTTAACCGGATATCATATTATATATATGCATTGACACACATGCATGTATATATATGTTCTTTTATGAAGCTAGGACTGATCATCACAAATCAATTTCCTTTTGTTATCCTGACAGGTACTTGATAGCCTCTCATACAACAGACTACCAACACCCAATGCTCTTCCTCAACACTCTTGCAGTGATTGTGCTAGTTATCGCCAAGTTCCCCAACATGCACAAGGTCCGAATCTTTGGAATCAATGGTGATCAGTGAGTTTTGGTCTGCATCATGAACCATTTAATTTTGACGGTGTAAAAACCTCCAATCCTTTCTGCTGCTGAAAGGTTAGATCCCTGTATAGAAGTCAGAACTGGAAATGATTTCGATATGTAATGTTTTTGTGCCCCGACAGTTCTACAAGCTGTCTTCCCTGGATATTGAAAGAATAATTGTATTAAATTAAATATGTACAGTAGAATTTTCGTGTATCTGGAGGATGATGACACGATTATCTCAACTTAATTCCATATATTGAAAGTGCGTGAAAAGAGTTTCTCTGAAAAAAGTTGATATATGATATAACCGGACATGTAATGTTAAAGGTTTGGAAAGGTTTTTTTAGATACTAGTAAGGTGCAACTAAAATTGCTAAAGAGTGCCGAGGAGATGGATGATATTGGTTCCAAGAACTAGAAATGATATGTTAGTTTTGCTCGCCTGTTTAATTGACAAGGCTTTGAAGTGCCGCGTTTATCGTCCCAGCCAATCTGTCTGTCTGAACAATTTTGTCTTGCTGCAGTGTTTTAAATGTTGAAAGACTTGACATTGTGTTTAATACATTGCTATATGAAGTTGCAAGCCATGTGCAGATACTTGTCATCCAACGTTGAAAACCCTAATTTCGAGCATGCCAGTGCTTAAACAGTGCTTGTTTTACGGAGAAGCTTAAACTGAGAAAAAAACAGGGACTTCCATGATAGGGAGGTGACTGGTGAGCCTACCATTTTGACGAAATCACATGGAGTAATAAAAAAACAAAAGGAGATGATATATATATATATATATATATAAGTAATGAATTGTATTCAAATTTGAATGGATGGGCTGAGTGGAGGAATTTTTTGCAAGCATGCTTGGTTATAGGTATGTTTGGAGGGACCCATTGAAGCGCAGAGTGTGGTAGGTGTTGGCCACAATTTTCTTTGTCTTCCAATATTAGGGACATCTGCAGACTGAGTGGGGATATAGAAAATGATTAGGTAAGCTTTTAGTTGAGGCAGGTAAATGGTCTTTTTAAACTTTCAATTTGCTTTGTGGCTTTAGATTTTGCAACTTTTGTTGCTTGTTTTTTTCTAAGTTATGCTCCAATGAGAAGTGTAGATAATGTTTGCATTAATCTCTCCCATTACTGGCTCTACTGTGATGTATTCAAAGTGATGTAAAGATTGAGAAATGAGATCACGTACGTGGTTTCTGTTTTCCTTTAGCTCCAGCTTGCTTTTTGCAAGTGCTTTAATGGGCCGCAAGAATTGAACTGCTATGGATATCAAAGTCAGACCTGACACTTATGACCTATGACAAGACAGTCTGTAAGTAGCTTAAATTTAAGTTCTAATAATAATAATAATAATTGAGGGTTTATTTTCAAACCAAAATGGTTATTTATATTCAGAATAACCTGCTGGCCTTTAAAAATTCCAATATTTTAAAAGTTTCAAAACAGATGCATAAAGCATGTCTTGTTTTGAAATTTCAAAAGAACTTTTAAGGATTATTATTTGTTCAGGAAAGCTTTCAAAAATGAAGCATAATTTGAGAAAGCTATAATGTTTTCCATTTTACTTTTCAAAGGGTTATGGGACATCTTTAATAAGAAAGAGATACTTTGTAGCAACCTAAATTACTCTCATCAAGGTGGGACAACCTAACTGCTTCAAATTCTCTAACATATATTTGTTTTCAAATTTGATTCTCTAGTTGTATACCATCGAATGAGAACCTACATGTTGACCAAAGAGGCCAAGGCAGCAGTAGATTTTTGAAAAAAACAATAATGTGGGTCCCTTGAAAATAATGGATTTCAAATATGAAAAATGTGTATCACCCCCTTGAAAAGGATTTAATTTGAAATTTACCAGAAAAATTTCATCACACATGCAAATTTAGTAGTGCCTTTTCTCATTTTTAATGTAAAAAGTTGAGGGTTTAAGTATTTTTAAAATCATTGTTGAATTTATTTGCTAAATGAAAAAAGAAAACAATTTTAATTCCCTTATCATTTTATGCATCTTAGTGATTATGAAATCACTTCATTATAAAAATAATATTCTGATTAAAAAATTTACGGGTAAAAATAAATAATTAACAAGAAAATTCGATATATATTTTTCTCTTCTCTAACAAAACAGGTGACAAAAGCTAGATCGAAACTCTGGATGATCATGAAACAATTACCCATGAACACACCACGATTCATTTAAACATTCTCCATCAAAACTCATATAGTTTTTTTTATTTATTTAATACCTTATTAAACTCTTATAGTTCACTTTTTCTTAATACTATAAATTTTGATTGGATTAGACCACATGATACACGAGGAAAGGAGTGTGATATATTCGGAATGAAAAGTGGAGTACTGGCATTCACAGAAATGTTGTAACATATATATATATATATATAGTGACTTTCAAATAATATTCACAATAATTAACTAGTAAAGTGATAGAAGAAAGAAACCATATCTATTCTACAACTATATGTTAGCTAGTTCTGAACAATTTACTCCGAGCAGGTAAACAACGATGCGAATAAAGTATAAATTAAAGGAAAAAGAGATGAAAAGAAAAAGTGAAAAGAAAAGACAAAGTTGCTGCTGCTCTTAGTCCTCTCTTTATTACCGGCCAATACGAGATCTATCTTCCACTAAACATTCCATTCCAGTACTGCCCACCACTACTATAAATATTCCCACCTGCTCCCGCCTTATTCTGATCAACTTCAGTGCTTCTATTAGTACTACTACTTGGAAACTGATCTTTTAGTAGTAGTGATCCAAAAGGAAACATTACTCTTCCACCACCGTCATGAACATTAATCTCTTGAAAGCTCCCAAATCTACTCATCCCAACATGATCACCGCAGAAATTCAAGTTTGGTTTGAATTCATGCAAAGGAAACATGACTGGTGTGTATAATGTTGTATTACTACTATTATTTGAATTCAGCATAGGTACTGGTGTTGGTGTTGTTGTTGTTGTTGACACAAATGAATTCAACCCTAATTCACTAGAAGAACCAATTCCAGTCTTAAGCAGCTCTAGGGCTGAAACTTGCCATGTTCTACTACTGGAGGAAGTTGAAGAACTAGTAGTAGTGTTGTTGTGGTTTTCAATTTTGGGCAGTTTAAGGAATTGAGAGACGCCTAGGTTAAGATGTTGGCCTTCATGGGTACTAGTCCTACTGTTTTGATGAGTAGAAAAGTGTGAAAGCAGTGTTGGTGGGTTTGGATCAGGGACTACTTTTAGTGATGATGATGATGATGATCTCTTGTTCTTCCTTGAACCTCCTCCAACAGGAACATTTCTGAGGGACCCACCTTCAGTCCAGTACCTTCTACAGGTTTTGCAAAAGTATCTTGGTTGAGTGAGACTGTAGTTGTTGTAGTAACAGAACTTTGTGTTGCTTGAATTACACCTTGGACAATTCAAGGCTTCTTGCTCCTTCTGTGCACCCCTCACCTTTCTCTCTAACATACCACCCTTATTCGGACCACCCATCTCATCTTCTCTACGGCCTTTCACCGCTCCAGTCTCCTGAAACAAATTAGATATCATCACTTACAAACTTAATTAGGAAACATTAATAAACCGATCATAGCAATCTAGCTCACAAAAAAACTAAACCAAATAGTTTTCACTTGAGGATATTTTTTTCATTTTGAAAGGAAAGAAAAAAAGATGATAACAACAAATAATACCTTTTTTCAATTTTAATCAGTTATCACGTGGAAAAAACACAAAAGGGGGTGGGGGAAGGGAAAAAGTGCAGTAGTGATTTTATGTTTTAAGAGCATTATATTAAAAGTTAAATTTGAAAAAACAACAAAAAATAAAATAAAATAAATTGAACATGAATGCAACTTGCATTAGTCTTGAACCAAAATCTCATAAGAAATAGCTACAAGTCCTCCACAACAATTTTCTCAAGAACTAATGAAAGTAGCTTAGTTCTAATTAACTAGCCATAGTAGCCAAACAAAGAGGAAAGAAAAAGGATAAATCTCAAAATTTTCAAAGTGAAAATATAATTACATAATAAATATAGAAGTAAACACTCACCTGTGGCCACTGAGCTGTATCCATGAATTCAGAGGAAAAAGGTTGAGAAAGGGAGGTGATGTCTTCAGGGAAAGAAAATTCACCTCCTTTATCTGCAACTGCCCTTGGATGGAAGAAAGAATGTTTTTATTGTTTGTGTGTTGGCTTTATGTGGTGGCTTGCTTTATGAATAATCAAATAAAAAATTAAATAAAAACAAAGATGGTTTGTTTTTAGTAGGCTCATGATCTCATCGTATCTTAGTGTTATTTTGGTGGGTATTTTTGACTAATTCTTAATTGTATATTTATTTTATTTTATTCCTTGTGGGTGGAATTATGAGTGTGTGTCCTGAGGTGGGGTTCTCTCTGTTGACCCTATGAGAGGGAAGACTTCTTATTTCCTCCTACCGCCCTCTTAACCCTAATCACCGATTTGTGACTGGAGGGAAAGCCGAAAAATGAGTGACCAGTGTGTGACATCTGTGTGTGGAAATTGCGAATTGGAATAAATATATTTGTATCTAATTACAACATTTTTGTTCCGCCTCATTTGTATTGCTTTTGTAATTTTCACTTATTGCAAGAAACGGTAAAAAAAATACAAATGTTGTTTAAAATGCTTTGGAAATAAAAAACAAGTTATTCTGAGTGAGATATTATGAATCCAGGTGTTAGGAGTTTAATTATGATTTAACAAGATTAAATGAGTATTCTTAACATATGAATGGTCATATATTTTCTTATCCACAATTAATTGAGGACTCTAAATGCTTAGAGACGGTGAATGAAGGGAAGCCGAATCTCCTGATCCCACTCTTTTACCTTTGCAGGCTAGAGACAAATGGATATCGGAGTTTGTTTACTTAAAGAGAAAATATACATATACATATACATATACATATATATATATATATATATAGATTCATTTAGCAGCTTAATTCTAGGTCGGTCCAAACTCCAAACCTTACACGGTACATGATGAGATGGGATCCACTCCAACAGTGGTCACAACAACCCCGCCTCCGGCGGGCCGCGACCCGCTAGGCAACAAAAGCCGACAAAAGGAAACATTAGTGGGACCCAAATTAATGGCGCGGTAGAATGGAGGCGATGGTCCTTCTGATGCCGACACCACGCAATTTCATTTTGAATTCTTCCAATCCGCCACACACCCAAAATCTGCTTCAAATTGAGAGTTATTCTCATGTTTTGAGCTCCATCATAAAAGCCTGGACTTGGACCCTTTCTTCCTTATTAATTTCTGATTAATTTCTTCCTTGTACAGTTTTGGGCTAATCCTTTAAACATAGCCCACCATCAACAACGTGATTAGCGGTCCTCAATACTTATTTATTTATTTGAAACTCACAAAATCCACTTTGTACCTAGACTATTATATATTTATAGGCTAATCTTTAAACATAGGTACAATTTTATCATCACTTTTAGTTTAATCTGGATTCAAACTTCATATTGGTTAAAGTACTATATCATCGAAAACGTTCTTAATCACTTAATTAAAGTTTCTTCATGACACTATTTCATTAGTTGGCTGGAAGAGATGCAATTATTGATATGAAATCGCATAAGGAGATGGACCAACAAATGCGATAAATTATTAAATGGTACTCGATTATATGGTCCAATCTAATTATAACCCAAGAGAAATGCTATTTTTTTTTTTTAAATAAATAATTAGGAAAAAAACACAAACTTGTATATGAATTTTGATTGGATAAGTATTTTATAGATAAGCTTTTGAAGTACGTTGTAGTTACTAAATAAGCAAAATGATGTTTGATTTTTTTGGGAAACTCAAGTATGTTGGAAAAGGAGTGCACAACTTGTGGCATTCAATTTTCAGAACCAAAGCTGCAAAATAGAAGATGTGTAAAATGAGTCCAAAAGCCCAAGCAGTGATTTAGGTCGATCCTGTACGAACCTCAAGTTGGGGTATTGGGCCTATTAATTGGACAAGAGTTGACGGGCTCAGATATTTATGGCTGGGCTTGGAGTGGCCTTTTTAAACTCCATTTATATATACTTTACAAATGTTAATCCCACGATACTTACTCCACACCCACTAAACACTTGTAGTGAATTACGGAATAATTTTTAATTAGTTATTTATACCAAATATAACTAAGTGTAGGGCTTTACTTCCTTATTTGTTGCATAATTAACCAATTAAAAAAGTACGTCTAGTGTGACTATTCTGTATAAGAATCATTTTCCTTTTTATTTATTTATTTATTTATTCTTGGAAGGTTACTTAACTCCACACCATTGTTGTAATAAAATTTTAGTAGTTGCTGTTAATTTTCTTATTAATTTCTTTAGTAATTTATGTACAGAGTGTTGGTTCAAATGGAATGATTATTGAGTGCTTCTTTCAAAAAAAAAAATACTTCCTCCATTGATCAAGAATATCAATTTTTGAGAAGTATCATGATCATAAGAAAACCTATTGATTCTAACAATTGATTGCATTTAATTAATAAATTAAAATTTGAGAGTGAAATCAAATAATAGTACAGAGTAAATGGTGCTGCTCATTGGTTAATTAATCTCCATGCAAGGAGAGGCATATATTGATCCACCTCAGCTTGCTTATACCGGGGCAGAACAGTATACATTACTCCACTTGCATAGTTGGCGAAAGTGATCGGTTAACAAAAGCAATGAGTTTGAATATAGCTGTGTCAGATGGAGTTTCAAATTTGGACACTGTCCACTCTGTGTCAGATGGAGTTTCAAATTTGGACACTGTCCCCTCGAGGGATTGACATCGCTGCTATATATTCTCTCTACCCATTTTATTTTATTTTATTTTATTTTTACCTTTTCTGTTTTTTTCTTGGAAGGTTACTTAACTACACACCATTGTTGTAATTAAATTTTATTAATTTGTTTAATAATTTATGTACGGGTGTTAGTTCAAATGATATAATTTTTTCTTTTAAAAGAGAAGATTGAGTGTTCCTTCCCAAAAAAAAAAAAAAAATGCGAAAACTCACAAAGAAAAAAAGAAAGTGAGTTAGACAAAAAGAAAAACAACTTAGACAAGAGTAAACAATAGTGTAAGGAATCATTTAAAAAAATTGTAGGATATTTAGAAAAAAAAAATACTCCTTTTTTTTTTTTTTTAAGAATAGTTATGTCATATATTTAAATTAGGATAATGCTTAACTACTCGCCGGTGAGTAGCTTCACCCTACTCACCCCTCATGTGTTCCAATAACAACATACCACATCAGTTTTAATAAAAAAGTTATTCAATAATTGATCAGAGAAAATATTGAGAACGTGGATTATTTGGTTATTAAAATTGATATGGTATATTGTTATTGGAACACATGAGGGGAGAGTAGCATGAAATTACTCATCGGTGAGTAACTAAATATTATCCTTTAAATTATTAAAAAAATTACGAAATATAAAAGTGAAAAAATAAAGTAGGAATCATTGTATTTAATTAATAAATTAAAATTTGAGAGTGAAATCAAATAATAGTCCAGATTAAATGGTGCTGCTCATTGGTTAATTAATCTCCATGCAAGGAGAGGCATATATTGATCCACCTCAGCTTGCTTTTACCGTGGCAGAACAGTCATCATACTAATGATACATTACTCCACATGCATAATTGGTGAAAGTGATCGGTTAACAAAAGCACTGAGTCTGAATAACATACATGCATCAAGAACGATTAGCTAGCTGTGACAGTTCAATGAAGTTCCAAATTTGGACACTGTCCACTCGAAGGATTGACATTACTGCTATATATTCTCTCTACCCATTGAACGGCTGTGATTTATATATATCAAATGTGACTCCTAAGTGTACTTCTCTTTGACAGAGTGACTAATTACAAGTATTGTGACTTACAGTTTTCGAAAGAAACATTTAAAATAGAACAGAAGGAATAAATATCTAAAGTCTAATCATATGTGCCTATTATTTTTTCTATTTTCATGAATGTGAAAACTGGAAATGATTTCTCATGTAGTTGTAATCTCCGATTTGTAATTTTCTGCATGTATAAGACTTGGGTAGGAGAAGGGCAGATAATATGAAGGGTGGGTAGGCACCTGCTGTCTATTTGTATTGTTGAGTGTTGACCACAAAAATTAATAAAATGTTCTTTTACAATGAAAATTATGGAAAATCACACCATCATTAATATATATATATATATCGACCAGATCGTAATTGTTTGGAAACGCAAGGTAGGTTGTGATTTTCTTGTGCTGCTCAAGAGAAGAGAATCTATCAGCCTAGCTCGCTTTTTCCTTCTCAAATTCTCTCACTTTCTTCGTCTTTTACATGAAAATATAATTATATATATATATACACTACGAGATGGGAAGGGCTCCTTGCTGTACCAAAGTTGGGTTGCATAGAGGTCCCTGGTCTATTAGAGAGGACACATTGCTTAAGAATTATATTCAGCTTCATGGTGAAGGCAATTGGAGATCATTGCCTAAGAAAGCCGGTACTTAATATATTTTTTTCTTTATTCTGAAGAACACACACATATATATATAGCAATAAATATTTTCTTTTTCTCACTCATATTTGGAGATTCAATTGAGAAGAAACTAACTCTCTAACCTTCTTGTGTTTTTTTATTTTTTATTTTTTTATTTTAATTTTAAAAATATTATATTTGTGCATGAAGGACTACTTAGATGTGGAAAAAGTTGCAGGCTAAGATGGATGAACTATCTTAGACCAGATATCAAGAGAGGGAACATCACCCCAGATGAGGATGATCTTATCGTCAGATTGCATGCTCTTCTCGGCAACCGGTGGTCTCTGATTGCCGGAAGGCTTCCCGGTCGAACCGACAATGAGATAAAGAATTACTGGAACACCCATATCAGTAAAAGACTTAGAAGCCAAGGAACTGATCCAGACTCTCACAAAAAGTTACCAGAGCCACCACAAGAGTCCAAGAAGAAGAGAAACAAAAAAGGCAACAATAAGGAGAAGAACATGTTAGAGACAGAAAAGGTGAAGGTTCATAACCCAAAGCCCATTAGGGTAACTCTGAGTTCTTTCTCAATGTCAAGAAAAAGCAGAATATTTGATTGGAGTACTAGAGCTAATCATGGGACTTCAAGCCATGAAGGAGAGAGACAACTTGGAACAGAATTTGTAGATATTATTTCACAGTATTCCAACCTTAAAGATGGTGGTAATGACAATGATAATGATGATGTCAGATTTCTCTTGGGTGATGATGATCAAGATCATGGTCTTGTGATCAACGGCACAGATCTTGAATGTCAGTCTCATGTACAGAAGCTCTATGATGAGTATCTTGAACTGCTCAAGACAGAAGGGGATCAACTTCAATCAGACTCCTTTGTTGAGTCTTTATTGATCTGATTGTACGTAGAATTAATGGTTTAAGATTTGGGTTCCAATGTTGTGTTTGAAATTTAGACTTCACGTGTTGAAATTTAGACTTCACGTGCTCACCCTCCTCGCCAAACGAAGTCTCCAGACTCTCCACAAATTTCTTTGAAAAATGAGAAATTACCAAATTTATCATGTGTGTGTGTGTATGCGCGTACTATACGTGCATGTTACATAAGATGCTTAACGATTAAGATTCCATTTATCACAACATGGTGATATCTCATATCATCACTTTATGTGTGGATACCTTCTAACTTTGCAAAATATAGGCATATGTTGAAAAAAATTAACTGTGTAGAATATGGACATGTGTTGAAAAAAAGTAGGAATACCGAAAAAGAATAATATATAAAACAGGCAATATGTGTAAGGTGTGAAAAGTCGTGATACCGTAAATCTTCAAAAATTATAATAATATTAAAACCATATGGGTATGGCTAAGATAATTGAACTATTTTTCATTACATGCGTTATAATTAAAAATTCAAGTCACATAAAGCGGGAGCGAGAATAAAAGTGAATTCAAAAGTGGGAACGTGAGCGTGAGAATAGTAAAATTAAGTCATAAACAGTGAGAATTTTAGTGAGAGCGTAAGAGCGGGAGCGCGTTCAGAACGGAAAAAGAACACCTATTTAGAAAGATTATGTAACTTAAACTATGATTCATTATTAAGGTTGCGAATAACTTCAGATTCTGGAACACTACTTGTTGGTTTGTGTACTTAACTTGATTCCTGGTGGAACATAATTCTTTTAAATTATTATTATTATTATTATTATCATTATTATTATTTTCATTATTTGTAGAGAATTATGAAACTTGTCAATATATATATATATATATATATATATATATATATATATATTTATTTATTTATTTATTTATTTATGCTTATATATACGAGTTAGGACTATCCATAAATAATAGATTCATTTGTATCCATATATATTTATAATTTTCATGATACTTTGGAAGAGGTTTCTCCTTTAATTAAACATGGTGCTTGAAGAATTGGCTTCTCGATCTAATCGTTCTTAAGGTGAGATATGATCAATTTCCTGTCTTCACAAACATAAAATGAGAGGAAGGCAAATATGAAGTCGCTCGATGACATTGGTGTCTTATTAAGGCCTGTGATTTTTTTTTTTTTGATAAGCTTACACTCTTCAAAACCTCCTCCCTTCTAAAAAAAGATGAAATTTAGGTGATTTAAACAATTCTAATATTCATGAATGGGTATGATACTTTAAATAGTAATGATAAAGAGTTTGACCCTAAACAAATTTCACTAATTTTATATGAGTAGATGTTGATGTAATGATAATAATCTGTTTTGTTTCATTAATCAGCCTTTTCTTTATTTAAAAAAAAAAAAAATTAAATAGGGCGCAGTTGGAGGATGGATCAATGAACTAAGTAGTAGTAGTCCAACAATGCCACTAGTTTATGGATAACTGTCAAATGGAGTACCATTTTTGGGACGTAGCTAGGGTTTAATTGGTCTTGAAGGTTGCATATATATTGGACCCAAATTTTACATCACAAGAAAGGGTCTACTATTTTTGCTCAATTAAGCTTCCAACTCTCATTAATTTCATTCTAGATACCTAACTAATTTGCAGATGGGTTTTCTTAATTTTCAAAATATATTGCTGTCAGTGACGTGTAAATCTTTAATTGTGTTTCTGCTAGTAGGAACAGAAGCTGATGTTACGCTTATTAGGATTTTACCAATCAGCAGCTAATCTGCAAAGAAGAGAGAATCATTTTTTAATACAAAAAATAAATTAATAATTGCTTTTAAGTCCATGGGCCTAGGCTTATGCATGTTGTTTTCATATGATCGAGTGTAGCTGAGGACTGGGGTTAGTTGGACTCGTGACCAACTTCTATTCAAGAATTGGCACGCACTTCAATTCAAGAATTTGACAATTTCACACACAACACACGCCGATGACGATTTAGCAAAAACAGAAGAAATAGACATGACAAGGACAATGATGCTTCTTCATAGGCTTAGGGACAGAGAGTTGATCATTATGCGAATATACCATGCATCACCAATTAGATATTTTTCTAAAATTGGAGATGGATTAAATTGAATTCAAATTTAAATTATTCCGACTCTGATTAAACTTGTGACAAATTTGATAGAAAATTTCTAAATCTAATTTGAATCTTCACTAATCGTCTCAATTCAAGTATATTCAAGTACAGTGAATATTCTTGTGACTTCAAAAGAAATGTTGTAGGTTAAAACTCATTAGATGCAATTATTATTATTTTTTATTTATTTATTTTTGTATAAAAATAGCAAAAAAAAAATTAAAAAGGCATGTCGGGCTTGTCTGCAGGGTTGAGGTTGGTCTACACGGGCCCAGGAGGCTTAGCCCTAGGAAGTATGGGCCGAGCTCGGGCATATAGCAGGCTCAGGGTGGGCTTTGGGCATTTTTCTTATTTTTACTAATTTAGCAGTTAATTTGAACCTCACAGGAACGAACAAATACGTTGACGTAAAAGTAAATATTGCAAAAGTACCCAGAGATTCTGATATTATCACAAACGTCCCCTGAATTTGGGACAAATAATCAGAGACTGTAGAGTGAGTTATGGCGATGGAAGCATTAACAATGCCATGGAAGCAGCTACTTCTGAAAGCGTTGGAGTCCAATTCCAACCTCAAGCACTCTTCCTACTTTCAGCTTGTATACGTCTCTACTTTATATATATATATATATATAATGATTCGTCTTCTCTAATTGTTCTTAATCGTTCTATTTTGTTTTTGCTGTTGGGGCATTTCAGGCAACAATCGGATCTAATGGCCGGCCTTCCAATCGCACTGTTGTTTTCAGGTGTCTCTCTCTCTATATAAATATATACATACATACACATATATATAAAGTCTTGAAATTTCTCAAATTTTTTTTTTTTTTAATGATATTTAGAGGTTTCCAAGACAACAGTGACAAGATTCAAATCAACACTGATTGCCGAAGTCACAAGGTTGATTTTCTCCTTATACCCGTTTTATTTTGGTTTTCAATTTTATTTATTAAACTAAAAATAGTCTCAGTAAATTTTGTGGTATTCAAGACTTTTCAATATTGAACGTGTTTCATTTTTGTTAATTAAATCCTGAGATGGTTTTCTCCTTATACCCGTTGGAACCTTGCTGATTGGAGTTCACTTTTTTTCTTAAACATGCAGATTGATGATCTTAAGTATTGCCCATTTGCTGAGGTATATGTCTCTCCCAATTAATTTATTGTTAAACTGTTCTATTGTTTCAATAATACTCCGTATTATTGATTTGGTCACTTAAAATTCATTTCAAGATTGATTATTTTATTCCTTCGAATTGATTCCAAATTATTTTTATGATTTAGATATGTTGGTATTTCACCGACTCTTGGGAGCAATTCCGAATCAATGGAAGAGTTGATGTCATTGATGGGTCAAATGCCGACCCTGTGAAGCTTAAGGTAAGATTGGATCCCTTCTGCGATTTCAACTGCATTGTATATGCCATTTTTCATGTTCTTATTTCATTGCATAAGAATGTAGCAGTTTGTTGCAGTCACCATGAATTGATATCGATCAGGCCCATTCGTATGCTTGTGCCAAAAACTCTTTGTTGACTTGAATTATGTAACATTCAGCATGATTAATAGAGTCAGTTTGAATATATATTTAATAGAATTACACAATAGAATAGCTTAATATTGAACCGTCAAGTTAGCCATTTAAATTTGTCATTGTCAATGCTCAGAGGGGAGCAAAAGCAGGGGACATCACACCCTGGGAACTAAGTGGTGCCAATAAAGGTATATATAAGGTGTGATGGAGGTGATTTACGTTGTAAGATCCCAATGATTACATTATTAGAGGAGATTGTGTTGTTTGGACTGAAGATATTATGGTTGCAAAAGGACTCCTTATCTCTCTATTTCTGTATTTTCTTCCTTAGCTCCTCCAAAAATAAGAAAATTGGATAGATTAGTGGTAGTTAGGATTAACTCCAGGTTGGCTTTCATTTCATTACTTTGTTTACTGCACAAATACCTTCCTACTCTTTCAAAGAAGCATATATTAGGGAAAAAAGTTGTGAACTCTAGATCTTTATGTGTACAACCTCAAGCCAAGCAGGCATATTTTTGATAATGAAAGTCAGAATCCTTTTTTGTTTGGATAAGTATAAGAAAGTCAGATTCTCTCAAGTGCAAACATCCTTTTCAGGTGCATAAGCTGCTAAAAGTCTCACAGCCTGTACCAGAGAAGCTCGAAGACTGGAGGTCGGAACTCAAGTATGTGCAGTCTGGTGAGATCAAGTTTAAGTAAGGACATGTGAGAGGTTGTCCATAACTAACTTAAAAAGTGTAATGACTCGAGCTTTCTGGTGCTTCAATGTTGATCTCCTCCCTAAGTAAGGGAGAAGGCTGATGAAAGAAATCACATAATGTCCTAGCTTTTGAGGGAAATTTATATCACTAAAAGCTCAAAATTTTAAAATAAAGCCAGTTAAAAAATTTCCTAGATTTGGAGGAGCATCCTTGAAAATGGAGACAATCCTAGGAATGGGATTAAGATGGCAAACTGGAAATGGAACATTTACAAGGATCTAAGTAGATCCCTAACTCGCAGAGATGCCTAGATTTAGAAGTACTTCACCCTAAACCATTTAATGTGGGCCAACATTGATTAGTAGTTGTACTAATCTCTTAAGGCAGCAGAGATTGCAATAGTGGCATGTTAAAGAGATGGTCTTTTCAAATTGAAGTTGATGTGATAAAGAGCATTCTTTTTGAATAATTGCAGCTAGAGATATGCTAGTTGTTATTATGTCACATTAAACAGTTCAAGGTTAACTTACCTAAAGTATTGTGGGTTGCATTCAAAGGTCTGTGGATTTGCATGAGTTGTCTTATATATTTTTCACTTTTAGGATTACTAGTGGTTCTGGACAAAGCCACTACTGAGGAAACTAATTATTTGACAAATTGTAAAACAATTTATTGTTTTCAACACTGTCCCAGTGGTTCCTGGACGGACAAGTAAAGCCACTATTGAGGCAATTAAATATTTGTCAAATTGTGAAACATATCATTCAATGTGCGCATCTTCTAGTGATAAGAATTCTGAAACAAAACTGTCCATGCCATTATAAGATTGGAGATGCAAATAACTTATAATTCTTCTCAATTATGGGAACTGGTTGACACGTCTTTCAGATGTCTTTTCCATTCCAAGTGATACGAATTAAAAATTCATTTCTTGTTGGAGAAGGGATTATGTAGCACAAAAATTGGGTGTTCTTTTGTTAAAGCAAATTTACATTAATTTAAAGGACTTCTTGTAGTCTGAGTCTTCAATTTAATTCCACGAAAAGCTGATTAGTACTACTAAAACAAACTGCTTTTAGATGGTTTTATCCTCTATCTTGTGCTTATAATGGGAACCTTATTTTATGCAATTTCATTTGCCGATAAATCTGTTCTCTTTGGGTTTACGCAAAGCATTCTCATTCTTGTATTTGTAGCATCTTTGTACCTACAGCTACTGACATAGTGCCCAAATTGGAGTTGTTGAAATTTTATTCTTCTAGGCTCTGGTTTTGAATTGTAAGATTAGTCATTCTTGATGAGGTCAATCAGTGGAGCAATTATGTAAACCACAGTAATGGGTATAGAAAATTGTCAAAACCAGACTGTCAAATGAGACGGTTCCCTAGTGAAACACCATCAGTTCATGTTTGGACAAGGGAAATTGTTTGTTTCTCAAATTGTAGTATTGTTTATGCCTAATAGCAATGCTACCTGCTGCATTAATGATTTTTTGCAATTATACTAGCTTTCATTTACTTTCAGATAATAAATGATTTCATCAAAATTGCAATGCAGCAAAGAGAGAAAGCTTGGTTTGCTAGTTCCCCAAGGTCAAGACTGCAGTACTTGGGGCCTAATCCAGGTCTTCCTTCTCTAAGTGAACAACCACCCTTGGCGCCCTCTTTAGATCCTTCTACAGGTCCAGTTGGTGCATTTTGTCTGCTAGTTCTAGATGCCGACCAGGTCCAAGTTCTTCATCTTTTTTCCATTTCCTGTGACTTTGTTTTCACTCAAGATTTACAAGATTTGTCTTGTACACAGGTTGATTACGTAAACTTGAAGATTAATGAGAGGCTGATCTTTACGTCCAGAGAGAATATCAACGGAGAGAAGTTTTGGACCTCAGAGAAAATCAACCCATAACCTTTTCTTCGTAATTTAAGATTTGAAGATGGCAAATTATTTAATTATTGATGATTGATTGTGATGAAATTTGCTTATGTAAAATTGAGCTGAAAAAAGAAAAGAAAAACTCAATTTCCTGACCTTGTGAATTGCATGAATCTGCATTCTGCTTCTAAATCCTTAAATTTCATCATATTATAGATAAGTCTGTGTTTTTTTTTTTTTTTTTTTTTCGTTTTCCCACCTTCCTTAGATAAGCCTGTGGTTTAGAGGTTGACAAGTGGTAAATTTAAAAGTGAAATGGTATAATAATCTTTGGTTCTTCAGTTGGTGTCCTTATGGAGTAAGGGAGAAGATTGAGGAAAGAAAGTGATAGGCTTTTGAAGGGGATTTTATTTAGTGGTAACAAATTTCCTTTAAGCAAAGTTTGGTTAGTCATTATTTTGATTTAGAAGGATAATCATTTCATTTTACTTTGAAAAAAAATAAAATAAAGTGGAGTGTAAGACTACAAAAGTGGAGTGCTAGTATCACATTCCTTTATAATATACGTAAAGATTAATTTCAACGCAATAAATTGTTGCTATGTTTCCTATAAAATTGGCTAAAATCAACAATTCTTTTTGAAATTGTAAGCTGACGAAAGGAACTTATATACATTTAAGAGCTACGAAATAGTAAAACCCTAAAAATTATGCAAGAATAATTGCTTGCATCTTTATATTATGCTGTTAAATAACAAATAAACTAAAAACTCATTTCCTGAAGTTTGTGTATGCATTAATCTTGTGTCTGAATGTTCATCATATTATCTGTCAGCGTAAAAAATATGTTATTATTAGAATACTGATGTGCTGAGAATTGTAACATTTTCCTTACTTCTATTTGTTATACGGCCTTTGAGATCAATGCAGTGGGTGAATGTAAGATTCTCATGCCAAATCATCTTGCCTAAATGAGTATTATTTCAACTAATGTCCAGATAAAACTCCAAATTTGAAGGAAAACCAAGTGGAGAAACTTCATACTTTTCTGTTTCTTAACTCAGATTGTGGAATGTTCATTTGAGCAAGAGGCCTTTCCAAGGAAAGGATTGAACAATAGTTCTCTTTCAATTAGAAACAAAAGAGTGGAGCTAGTCTATATATCATCCCTTTTTTATGTACTCTATATATGAAGACTAGCAATATCTTGAGGGGTGGTTGTACCAGCCTTGTAAAGTATGGACTCTTTTGTTGTTGGATGAGCTCTGTAATTCTTTCCTTATATAAAATCAATTATTTTGCGTTGTAGCTGAGTATTTTAAGGGAGTCCATATTTCCAAGTCTCATGGGAAGCTTGCTGCGATGCATTATACTATGGATGATGTTTGTACTTCATTAAATTCATTGTACTACACCTGAGTTAGTTAGTACTACCTGAGTGTACTAATGTATTTGACATGAGTTCATGGGAAATCCTATTTATGTTTGTTCATCTGAGTTAGTATTACTTGGGGGTAATAATGTATTTGACTTGGGTTCATGGAAATTTCTATTTATGGCTGTTTGTTTTCTTCATATTCATGTATCTGGATATATATAGTGAAGTCTCATCATATGGTTCTTTGTATTAGAATATGTCCTATTTTTTATTCAGCAGATGATGAAACTTAAAATCCTAGATTGATGCTTCTTCATAGGAATATCATTGTGGAAATTTCACAATATGATCGAGTGCGCAGAGTTGAAAGTTGTTTTCTGCATCCAAATTGAAGCTGCAATTTTTTGAGGTACACATCGATTCCAGACCTCATGTTTCCTTTCTGATTTGTGCTGCGCAGTCTTCCTTTATCCAATTTTATATTATGATACTGTGGGAATTTCAGCTTGCTTGAAGCTAACCAACATTCAAAGGATCCCCCATTTGGTTGTATTTGTGTATCTTCCTCCATTTCTATTCACTTTTTGAACCAATGTTGCATATAGTCTGTTGTGCTGTATTTTCAGTGTCGAATGAATCCATTGTGTCTTTGCTGAGAAATAAATCATTTCATTTGCTTATCTTATGCACCTACAAGTATGGGCAGGATGTTAACAAATGACCTACTTTTATCAGAAATTCTGAATTTATCCACTCATAGACATCATACAAACTGAATTGTCTTACTGCCTTGCTAATTCTCTTTCAATTTTCATGAGGTACACATCGATTCCAGACCTCTTTCAATTTTCATTTCAACTGCATGATCTGCATCTATGACATTCATAAATGTGTAACCCTTTTGTATGGGCTATTTAGCCATTGTTAGCTTTTTTGGAAAACATGAAATTTTACAAATCCATTACGAGAGTAAAAATAAGGTTGGAAATTATTCCTGTATTTGTCTATGTGCATGTTGTGTGTCACTTGTGACTTAGGTCCATTTTGATTCACACAACTTGTAGGAGGTGTGGTTTGCTGAGAGTGATTTGAGACTAATTCATGACTTTTAAAGCCATAACAAGCCAAAAGTTTTTGGGTTGAATGTTGTATAAAAACTTGAACTTGTGATACTGATCTATATATATATAGTTGCAGATTAGACCAAAATCTCACTTATTTTTTATTTTTTTTTCCCTTTTTTTTAGCATATCCTGTCCTACTCTATCTTTTACTATAGATTACGGATCATATATTTAGCAGTAATCATTCTGAAAAATATGATGGTGGTGATGGAGTTGAATTATAATTTAATAGGATTATCATATTCCTGGATTGTGATTCCACACGGGGATTTCTTTTCGATGGTTTTTCATTGGTACTTAATCATTATATCCAAAGAACTTTATGTTAATTTGGGTATACATGCCCTGATTTTGGATGCTTTGACGGGCTGGTCCAAGAATTATCATCACTTCCTTTCATTATCTCTCCTTAAAATCAATCTTAGAATGCATTATTAGGTTTTTGTTTCCTCTCTTTGAACCATCCATTCTACTCTTTGATCCGCAGTCAATCACAAATTTTTGGTGATTTCTATCTAATGACTGGGGACGGTGTTGTACAATTATCTTCACCAAATTTTTTTTCCCTACTTTACTAAAACCTTGTATAGATAAGTATTTGAAAAAAATAGTTTTATCCAATAAGAGAGAGAATTGACTTTCATTTGTGATAGTTCTACCATGCCAAACCCTAGTTCTTCATTAGATCAACCATCCACATCTGGGCAGGTGAGTACGTCAAATTGTATGTATCCATATATAAAATTTACCCAAATAGAAAAAGAAAAGAAAAAAAAGAAAAAGAAAAGATACACATACATAAAACTCAAACAAATGAATGCAAAAGCAATTTCCAGTTTTATTGCACCCAATCATTACTTTCTTTACACCACAATTCCAAAGAAATGGACCAAACAAATTGCACGCTTGTCCCAAAGAATTCTTGATTGGAAAGATCACAACCATCCATTTTGTATTATTAACAACAATCCAACGATCCTCTAGCACCGAGGCAGATCTGCAGGAGGGTGAGGAAGGGTCTCTAGAGGTCCTTGCCCATTCTTTACAATAAACACAACGGACAAGCCCCATGTCAAATGTATCTCAAGGTGACAGTGCATAAACCACACCCCTACATCATATCAAAATCACCATAAAAAATTAATAACCCAAGAACTTATATTATGATCAAGAATATGCATATACATAAATTACTATAAACATACGCATATACATAATGTACATGTATATATATATGTGTGTGTCTGTGTCTGTGTGTGTATGTACTTACCCGGATTGTCTGCAACAAATCGAATTGCAGCCCATCCACCTACTGGAACTCCAATGGTGTTCATGTAAGGCGGATCCACCAAGTTGAAATTCGCCGTTTGTGGGTTATAATTCCCAGTACCATATCCGATGACATAGAAGCTATAGCCATGAAGATGAATGGGATGATTTTCAGTTGTGAGCGTTCCGGTGTCTTGCAAAATGAGTTGCACCCTACTTCCATACTCGAGAACCTTGGTCCTAGTCCCATTCATTGAGTTGGTATCATTAGGGATGTTATTAGGTGCCCCATTAACAAAGTCATAAAATTTAAGGGGTACCCCGGGGAAATCTTCAGTAAATTGACCGTTAATCTTTTTGTAATAAGCTTCCAAAAGTGAAATATTAGGCTTAATAAAACTTATGTTGTTCATAGAAGCACCCATAACCCCTCCATTTGTGCCTTGGCAATTCGCTTTTGGTGTTTTGGAATGGCATTTTTGAACATTTAATCCAATTGTGATGAAAAGGTTTGTGTCAATTTCTTTTGGTACATTACGGGGTTTAAGACTTCTAAGCCCGTCCATGACGGTCTTAACAGCGAGATTATCATTAAACCTTGGTAGAGGGGCTGGTAAAGTTAGGCTGTTTGGCATGGCACCTAAGTACTGGAAATAGGCAATTGCTGAAATGTTTTGGAATGGGACATTTTGAGCTGACATGTATGGTCCCATGGCCATGGAATACTTTCCTATCGGCTGATCAGCGGTCACAAGGACATTGAGGGTCTGGCCTGGTCCGAGCATCACACGGTCTGCAGTGAACGGCTTTGTGTACTCAGCATCAGCTTCAACAATTGTTAATTTGTGATTAGCAATGGCAAAGAAGTTCTCCATGTTCAGGGCTGCATTGATTAGCCTTAGTAGGTACGTCTTCCCAGGGACCACATCAATTTTATACACATCTGAAATAACAAAGTTGTGTCTCTCAGAATTATATATATTAAAAGAGAAGACAACAGATATATTAATAAAAAGACTAATAGATTAGCTAGTAAGATACGTTACAAAATTCATTATTTTAAGGTTCTACATGCTGATTTTTCACCTAGTGTCCATGTGTTCTCTCACCAGTGCTAAATTACATTAGTCAAAAGAAAATACAGATCATTTTGTAGTTGTTACTTTTTTCTATGATAGTTTAAAGAGATATCATTAGTCCAAAACTATGAAATTGTTTGTTGTTGAATGAATAAATCAGAAATTGGATTCGTCTTATCTATGTGATTAAGACTTTTTCTTTGAAAATCATTTTTGTTAGTGTCCTAGCTAGCTGCTTACTAGTAACAATATGTTTATATACTGCATTAATTTTTAATTACCATTATTGGAACAATTGTAGTTAGGACCAGGGTGACCATTGATTGTAAATGCATCTGCCGGTGGAGGACCTCCACCACTCGCTACAACTGCCTGCTCAAGCTGTACAAGGTTCCTCTGCCAATACTCCCCTGCCATATTTCCAAGAATTTTAATGGTTGAATCAATAAACATAATATAAGTTCATAGAGTTCATATATGTATGCATAAAACACACACAATATGCATAAACACCTTATTTAATAGAAAATACACAAATGAATCAAGTTTAGGGATGTCCATTAATTTAATTGCTAATGAAGGCTGTTGATTTTACCTAGGATAATGATATGTTCTTCATAAGGATACTTAAATGGGTAAGGAACCCCAGCCTTAGGATATACGACAATAGCACCATAAACAGTGGCCCTAAGCCAGGAAAAATGAGCATGCCATAGAAGGGTGCCCTTCTGCTTCACCAGTGTGAACTCATATGTGAACGTTTGTCCGGCTTGGATCGGGCATTGGGTGATGTATGAAGGACCATCAAACCAGCAGGATAGTATCTGCCGGACGCCATGCCTGCGATTAGCCAAAATAAATAAATAAATAATGTATGAAGAGAGAGTACTACTAGTCTGATATATAATTAATCTCGAACTTTGAATGTGAGTATTAGCTAGGTGCATGATTGAATATAGCGCAATGCTAAGGTTTACCAGTGAATTGTAGCATTGTATGGGGTTTCATTGGTGACCTTGATAATCACTCTGTCATCTTCTTGGGCATAGACAACTGGTCCAGGTAACATTTTATTGATCGTGACGATTTCTTGGCTTTTACACAGCTTAGTAATTGTCATGGTTTGTACCTATTGTTCATAAAACATTTCAGGATCAAACTACTTGACATGTATAAACTCGCATGGAAACAACTCTTAGCAAGTAAAAATATATGTATATATTATGTGTGTGTGTATATATATATATATGAAAGTTAATAGCACCTTGAAATCATAGAACCTGGTTGATCTTCCTCCTGGCCACTGTGCCTTAACATGAACAGTCTGGGTGTAGAATAGTGCTAAGCTTAGACATAGGGTACTAAACAAAGTGACTAATAAGTTGGTCATTGTGTGTGTGTGTGTGTGTGTGTGTGAGAGAGAGAGAGAGAGAGAGGGAGAGAGTGTTGGGAGTGGAGATTAGAGGTGGGGTGGATGGAGGGTTTTAAATGGAGTAGTGATGAGTATGATGATACTTTTATTTATATTAAAAGGGGAAGAAGAGAAAGGGGTTTGTGAAGATGTATTATGTTTGTCAGCTTTCATGATTCCTCTAACATGGTTTTGTAATAATAAGTTGTTGGGAGCGTGTTTTATTCAATGTGACCAATTGCGGGGAAGAAGAGATTGGCCATCTCTCTCTCTCTCTCTCTCACACACACACACACACACACATTTTCTTTTTGATTCATAATATTACATCAACATTTACCCAATGAAATCATGTATTTTGACTGAGAACGTACGGACACTTCCTTCCAACACCATATTCGGACCCATCCCAAGAACTATTTGCCCCACCTTAATTTCTCACTAAAGGGTTATGTTCAAACTCCCAAATTCTGTTGATTCTTAACCATTTGATCACGCAATGAAGTCTTTTATCATTAACATGCAGAGTAAGAGTATCAAGTTTGATTTTAGTTGATTTGATTGAGATCAGTTTGATCCAAGTTGAAATAATAATCGATTATTGTATATATTGTTTTCTTTTTGTGTTTTAATTATTAATCTCAGGTGGCTTTTTCTTCGCATTAGGTTCCAACAAAATCACAAAATTGTCCCCTTACACATCCTATTCTACTTTTGCCCCACCTCTATTATTTCTACCTTGTACCAACCTCTTTTTATTTTTCTGGCTTTGTGTATTCCTTGTGTATGTATATATATATTTATTTATTTTCCGTTGACTGGGGCTTCACAAAAGGTAGTCCCTTCCCAAGCATAAACCTCCTAAGATTCTAGTGTAAACTTTATCAGCTGGCACCTTCTAATCTTGTCCGACCTCATCCATGATGGCACTGTAGTTGAGATAACTAGTCTAGAGAGAAATATATATATATATATATATATATATATATATATATATCAAAGTTGACATAATAAAGTAGTACCCAAAAGTTGTTAGTTTATAATACACCCATATATTAATTAAGAGAAAGGGTATAAGCCATAAGGTGACCAAAGAAAAGTGTCGTTTGTGCTGTGCTTTTATTCAACACTCTTTTTGCTCAATCATTACTCATAAGCAGTTGGTGCACGCCCTATCTTACCCTTTCTCTACCATTGAAACCCCTAAAACTCAAAAGAAAAGGGGAAAAAAAGAAAAAAAAAAAAGAAAAAATTTAAAAATGAAACCTAAAATTGAATGCTAAATAAAACTAAATCTTTGGTGCTGAAAAAAAATGTACCGTACACTTCTCTGTTTCGATGCTAGAAGTTCACATTTTATTCTACTAGATAGCGAAAAGTTAAATATTATTTAACTTTATTAATAATATAATAAAAATGTGCTACTTCTTTCCTTTTTTGGTTGATTTATCGTGTTATTTTTACGCGAAGGTGACATTTCCTTTAGTGGAAGGCTTTCGTAATCCCTACTAAACCTCCGGTCCATTTTTGACTTTGTTCATATAAGTAATATTTTTTACTTTTATAATGTGACCACCACCACTAAATACTTCGGTTATTTTAACTCGTAGATGTTCTAATATTTCATAGTGGTAATATTGCACTTCAACAAATATCCTGCCCTCGGGTTTTCTTTCCTATGTCATATACTATTATAACCTAATTTAAAATTATTTATCGAAAAAAATAACATATTTTGAAGTGCCTCCAGAAAACACTTTTCCTAGTACGCCCTCCCAACATTGAATTTAGAGATGAATAAAATGTGATGATCGAATCAGAAAATTAATTTTTATATACCTATTGTACTTGCATACCTTTTCTTTTTTTTTTTTTGGTCAGATTAAATTTAGGTTATTAATGGATATTAGTTGAGATGATACGAAATCTATCTTTTTTTTAAAATAAATAAATAAATAAAAATTGAGTGCTATTAGAAATAATATTGTGAGTGTGTGTAGCTCGATGACCCTTAGTAGTGAAATAATGCTGAAAAATATATAGTTGTCCGCCAAGGGGATCGAAATCAATTTTGCCTGTGTGATTACATGTTGATTTACACGGAAACTATATATATATATATACCCCTAATTATAATTTTCATAACATATATATATATATATATAATTGTATCAACATAATTCCATGTTTTCATTCAATCATAAAGGACAACCGGTGTCATCACTCATCACCACTGTAACACCACCGCAACAACCACCATATTACATGCATGCAACATTTAAATAGTAAATTAAATCTCAAACCACGGATTAGTTTTGGATTTTATTATTAAAAAAAATTGTGGGAACGAGAATATAAAATTAAAACATGGAAAGCCACGCGTACAAACAACTAAGGTGTAGGAATGGTGGAAAGCCACGCGTACAAACTATATATGAAACTCCAAAATTTATATATTAAGATGAGGTGATTTATATATAAATAAGTGGGGTCAAGCTAAAAAAATAGTGTGGCCGACCTTATGATTGTCTACAAATCACATGATATTCAAACTTTTATCATGCATCTCACTGCTGGCCTGCAGGTGATTTTGTCAACATATATAGTTTATATATAGCAGTTCTTCACTGATAATCAAAATTCGTTATAAATTTTGAGATTTTCTTTCTTTTAATATATATATATATATATATTTCTTTTCTTATCTTTCAAAATTTTAATTTAATCCGACAAAGTAGTAGTTCATGGGAGCAGTTGGCCTACAAAGTCCGCGTAAACGCGAGAGCTTAAGAAGACATTAGCTATTCCATAACTAATTTTAGTTATTTAAATGATCAGATTCACCAATTAAAAACTTGAGATTCCAACCATAGCTTAGACCTTTTTGCTCTATAATTTCTTGTCCCTTTAACTTTATTTAGTTCATCTATCAAAATCAGAATCTCAGATAACAAACACAACATGCATGCGATGCGTTTGTTTGTTTTATAAAATTATAATGAAATGCATGGAATATTATGTCTAGTTGCATGAAGATGTCAGCGTTGTACAAAATTTCAATCAAAATATACTATAATAACTAGTGCCATACAAATGTGGACAAAAGTTTAGCTCCAAAGAGTTGACCCTTTTTTATCTTTTAATTAAGTACTACACCACAACTAACAAATTTTCACAACTTCAATTTTTTATTTATATATACATATATGCATATATTTATATATATGTATATGAGTGTGTTTATTCTACATAATTTTCTTTTTCCCACTATTATCTTCTTTGTGTGTGTATTATATGTGTATATATACACCATACTCTGGTCAACTTATACGAATGAGGATCTGATCAATGAATGTTCAATTTATCTAGCTATGTGTGTGTGTGCATAATATATTTTAAATATAAATAGAAATACAAGAGATCCCAAAATCATCTGTTTATACTTTTCAAAAAAATAATTATTATAATTATTATTATTATCTTCAATAATTTTGTTCATTTGTATTGATTTACCCAAAATAAAAAAAAAAATAAAAATAAATTGTTCATTTAATTCAGGTTAATGGTCGAAAAAGTGTAAAAAGATTTGTGCTCTGTATTAATTATATTCAAGGGACTTGTACCCTTCCTGAAATAATCTTCCATGTAGTCCAGTCCAAAAATATAAAGTTTTAGTGGGAAGCAAGGATCGCAAATATGTTGAAAATTAAAAATATAATATATATTTTAAATTTCAGAATACACCTAGTCGATCATTGTGTCACATGTCCAAAAACATGGATGTTCTTATGAAAAGTGTTTGTGGTTCAGACAGCATAATTGGTTTTGGACTGACTCCCAGCTTTTATAAATTTGATGGACTCTTAAATTAGTGATCCACCTTATATATATATCCTGGTTTCATTACATCACTTGTGTTTCAATGTCACAAGCTAGGGTGTAATTTGGTTATATTTATCAAAAGGCAAATTATCATCTTTGACTAATTAGCATATGTTTTATTGCAGAATTGATGATGTAACATGATAGACATAGCCATGCATCCTCTTTGTTTATCAATTGAGTTGTTGCTGCAGCATCTGACACAATCAGGAGCTGGTCACTAACAAACTAATTACTATATCAGAAATCAAGCAACAAACCTTAGACCTCTAATTTAAGTTTATCAACTCTATTATTGTGAGAGAAAATCATATCATGATCACTTTGTTTGGAGTACTTCTGTTTTTTATTTATTTTGATCAATGACCTAATCATCTTACCTAAACAACCCAAAAACCAATTGGGTATGTCATCATCATAACCTAAAAGAGGAAAAATGAAATAACCTAAAAGAGGGAAAATGAAATATTATAGAAAAAAAGAGTGAGATCACGGTTACAAGAAATAATTAACCTCTAGATACTGAAAATAAATTTTTTTTTTTTTTTTTTTTTTTTTCCTTCTCTTTTTTATGGTTAGGGGATGGTACCGTCCAACTTATTCTACTATCATAATCCTCTACCAACTATATGTAATTTATAATCTCACAATCAGTCACATGCAATCTCCCATCTCACATGCACGAAGAAACAGGAATTTGAAGCCAACAATTATGATTAACAATGGACATCTCACATGCACGAAGAAACATGTAACTAACGGTACGAGAGTTTTGAAAAACCAATTGGGTATGTTATCATGATGCATGTATTAGCGCCCTCATGCTTGCCCAAAAGAGATGAGAAAACCTATCAATGATATTTGCAGGTGCCTGATTGGATGGGATTCACATAAGTGTAAACTCAGAGATATATTTTCCCTTGCTCCTCCTAAAATCGAACCTGTTTCTCACAAACTTGAAGTTGTTTTTCATAATTGTACTTGAGAAAAAAGAATGACAGAAAAATCAAACTCGTTTCTCACATGCCAAGAGAACATATAGAATTTATACTGTCAAGTGTGTAACATTCTAAATAACGTAACGTAGAGGAAATTTCTAAATCAATTTTATGACATTCACAATATGATGCCAAGACATCGAGGAAACGCCAGAGTTCTGTTTTTCTTTTCACTTTCCACTTGATTTTTTTTTTTTTTTTTTGATTAGTACTTTCCACTTGATCTTTACTAGAAGACAACATAATATTCACAAAATTTATGCCATGAGGTGAAAACTAAACACAATATATGCAAAAGCATGTAATTTTAATTACAAATCCACCCTATAAATAATGGAATGGTGAATGGTGAAATAGGATTTCAAAGCTTACCAAAATAAATGAAAGCCCTACATATATATACACACACACATAGATACGATAGTATTCACTCAAAATGTTAACAAGTTGACTCACCCAAAGAACAGCAGAGTATGAAAAGAAAAGATGCAATTTCATTCAAACTCCACTAAGACCCTTATATTGTAAAAGAAAACAGTTCTTTAACCTGAAATAGAAGCCAATAGACATGATAAGTTAACAAATATAATCCCTATATCTTATATACTGATTAATGAACTACCAAAGCATAATCAAATGATTTGGGAAAACAACAAAACACATCAAATCTGAAGGGTCATACTAATTTTACAAAATATTGATAATCAATCTGGTGAATGCTATCACCTGATGCTAGACGTTCAATAATTTATGCTCTTCCTAAGATTAAGATCCCGCTAAAGCAGCTAGTTTTATGTACATTTGGCTACAAAAGTTGGAAGGTGCCATAAGAGTAACCAGAGCTATCACCCTTCCACCAACCTACACTAAGACATACCTAAAACCAATATGCTAATTCCAGCTGTAATCCCTAACTTCGAACGTCATTGAATAGCTAGAAATTAGAAAGCATAATGTCGATACTAGAAGAGTGCTTAAGAATATAAGACGCCTACAATCTGGAATAAACTGTTTAGACATCTTTGTGATCTAGAAATAATGCATAGAATAGTTTGAGAAATTTAAAATTCACCCACTTCAAACATAGATGTTCATCTAAAAATTTGTATATTGGTTGAGGATAAAGATTGAAAGACATCAATATCAATCCAAGTCAAGACAATCCTCCCACATTGTATTCCACAAAAGAACCAACCACACTCGAATATTGAACCCAATTTCATCCATGATATATAATATGTGTTTATGTGTGTAAATGAGCCATTTTTCTAAATTTTGAGAAGCCAGGCTCCAAACCATAGCAATTGAAGGAGTTGTCAAGTTCAGAAAAACAAAAGATGAGAACTGCTTAAACCAACCATTACAAGCGCATCAAAACAACCTATCCTAGTAGTAAAATGAAAAATTCAATGAAAATAAGCTTAGCACGTAATTTTAATTCATACCAACAAAAAAAAGATCAAAGAATGGAAAAGAAATCCGAAAATAAATAAAAAATAAAAAAAATAAAAGGAGGGTTTCAAGTCATAACAACATCAGAGCATAAAATCACCTACATTTTCCCAGTAACTGCACAATATTAGACATAAGACATAGAAATCATGTATAATTTCACATAAACAGATTATTCCCATCCATTTAGTCACAAAATTTTACAAGCGCGCATTCATCCATCACAAATACCAAAAAAAAAAAAAAGGGTCTATCTCTTATTTGGCATATAATAAAAAACAAATTAAAAGAGAAACAGATAACATAAGACAAACACACACATATATATATGTATGTATAGTTGTCAGACGGGAGGGAGCTTATCGTTGACATTGTGGGTAGAATCGCTGGGAGAGAAGGGTTTGGTGAGCATGAGGGGACGATCCTTGGCCTCTTCCTCGTCTTCAACGTCGTCGTGAGAGGTGCTTAGGTTTATGCAGGAGCAACGTTCCAGAGAGGCGAAGAACGCAGAGGCTACGCTAGTCCCTACCCAATTCGCCATTCGATCCAGCTTCTCGCACGACATGAACCCGCAAGAATTCTCCATCGCTATGTATATCTATGAAATTGAAGTTCGAGTATGGTGATTTCAGCCTTGAGGAGGAGGAATTTACGAGGTTTCAGAGAATTGGAGCAGGAGACAGAAGCACGGATTGGTTTGGTTTGGTTTGGTTTGGGAACCCTGAAAAAACAGAGGGGACAGATGACCGGCTAGGAAGGGACAAATCATAGATTGATACAACACTATGGTCCTAATATCCTATATTATTATTATTATTATTTACTACAGAGTAGTATTTGAGAAAGAAAAGGAATGGAATCAAATTCTATTTGTGGGTTTGCATTAAAAATTAAATTTTAATTATTTAAAGAAAATACTTTTTTCTTTACTCTTCTATTTTTAGTAATTAGAATTGAAATCTTGTCAAACTTTACCATTTTACATGGGATTAGAAGTTATATTTGAGATTTCAAATCTCATTAATTTAATTTAGGGTAAAGTACAATCATTTGAGATTTGGCAAAAAGACACTCAGAGGAAATTTACCTATTTTTCGGACAAAGACACCTCCTGAAGGTTCAAAAATTGACAAAAACACCCCTTTACATGAAAAATTGAACAAATTACCCTTCCACCTTAAGAGACTTTTTTAACTTTACAATTTTATAAATTGGACCAATCTACCCTCATGAATAATTTATGCATAGGAAAAGTAAAAAAAAAAAACTATATATTGTTCACTTTTTTTTTTTGGTTATTTACTTTATAAATGTCCCAACTTCTTAAAAATGTAAACGTCTAAAATGATTTTTTGATTCAATACATATATTTCAAATAAATTATATTTTGTTATTATTTCTTTTCTTTTTCTTTTTCTTTTTTTAAATTAAGATGCTTAATTCTTTCATCTAAAAAAATTAAACCAATCTCTTTTCTTTAAAAATAAAAAATATGGTACCAGTATAACTTTATATATCTTAACTTTATGCATGCCTTCTTTTCTTTTCTTTTTTTTTTCTTCCCCCTTTGTTTTATTATTATTTTTTTTTCCTTTGTTTTATTATTTTTTTCCCTTTGATTTATTATATATATTTTTTCCCTTTTATGTTAGGAAATGTATAATATTTGATATATAATTTAAGATACATAAAGTTATACTGGTACCATATTTTTTCTTTTTAAGGAAAAGAAGTTAGTTTAATTTTTTTAGATGAAAGAATTAAGCATCTTAATTTAAAAAGAAAAAATAAAAAGAAAAAGAAAAGAAGTAATAACAAAATATAATTTAGTTGAAATATATGTGTTGGATCAAAAAATCGTTTTAGACGTCTACATTTTTAAGAAGTTGGGACATTTATAAAGTAAATAACAAAAAAAAAAAAAAAAAAAAAACTTTTTTTTTTAATTTTTTTTTTTAATGCATAAATTGTTCATGAGGGTATATTGGTCTAATTTATTAAATTATAAAGTTAAAAAAGTCTCATAAAAGGTCAAATGGTAATTTGGTCAATTTTTCATATAAAGGGGTGTCTTTGTCCATTTTTGAACCTTCAGGGAGTGTCTTTATCCAAAAAATCGGTAAGTTTTCTCTGAGTGTCTTTTTATCAAACCTCAAGGGGTGTGGTGTACTTTACCCTTTAATTTAATTTTAAATTTGATTGATTTTGAATAATTTTGAACTGTGTGTGCAAATAAAGCTCAAACTTTCTTGTTAAACAAAATGATCAAAGTTATAATAGTATTTTAAATAGACAATACTTAAGTCCTGATTTGGTAATTAAAGATATACATTATTATCTTTTATTTGGTAGCTAAGTACTATCCATTTTAAATATATGATTAGAATTAGATAGGATTTTTGTAAGTAGATCTACTCCAATTCAATAAGAGGTCAGGTCTGGCTTTTAAAAAAAATTGGGTTCAAATAGTAATATTTTAAATTAATTAATTAAATAATTAAGTGCGACTTCATAAAAGATATGATTCAATAGGAAAAATGCTTGTAAACATAATTCAAAGATGTCTGGATGTTCTAAGTTAATTACTCTATTACATTAAATATTATCGTTGAGTTAATGAGAGTTAAACACATGGCATTTTACATGGATATAAAACTCAAAATCAACAAACCGGAAAAGAAATTAAAAAAAAAAAAAAACGAAGAAGTTAAAAAAGTGATCAATGAGTTGATCTTATGATATATATCTCTAATCTCTAAGGTCGTTTGGCCAAAAAAAAAAAATGATTATCAAGCATGCAAACTGAAATTTGAAATATAGATGTTGAAATCACGATTTGTGGTTTTAGTTATCCAACAGAGATTAGGTTGGTTAATGGTAAGTCATGACTCCCATAGAGTCTTTGACTCATTGCAAGTGGTCTAAAACCCTGAAGTATGTAGATGCCAAGTTTAGATAACTATAAAATACACTCCTTTCCACCATCACCGAGCGCATCTGGTGTAGTGGTATCATAGTACCCTCCCACGGTACTGACCAGGGTTCGATTCCCTGGATGCGCATTCCCTCTGATATTTTTGACGGATTATGAGACTCTGGTCTATATCATCTATTATGCCTCTATGGTCTTTTTATCTTCATAATAAACTAAGTGAGAAAATTTTTTATCTTCATAATAAACTAAGTGAGAAAATTATGTGTGTGTGTATATATTTTTTTTCAATATAACAATCATATCCTCTTGATTTAGGAGTTTTTGTAGTTGTACATTTTGACGGATTATGAGCCTGTGGTCTATCATATATGCCTCTGGTATATTTATTATCTTCATTATATAAACTATATGAGAAAATTATATGTGTGTGTATATATATATATATATTTTTCAATATAACAATCATATCATACTATGCCCCAACAAGTCTAAATCATAAATCACCCATGTGATACACAATGCTTTCCCAGATTTGACAGTGTAAACACAAATTCTCACTAAAACGCCTAATCTGAATTAATCACAACAAGTGTGATAAGTTGGCTAATTTCCTCAAGCTTACAGAGTCACTACAAGTATGACTACACGTGCATTACGCAAGCCAACCATATATAATATATATCAAGTATTCAGAATAGAGTAGATTCAACAGAAAACAATATCAATATAGAACACTATTACTCAAGTGGAATGTGTACATGTCCAAATCAGATCTCCATGTTTACGGTAATAATGTGCCAAAACTATGTCTATGAATGTGATCTGGATAATATTTGCCACCATTCAAAAAATTCAAGGAAACTCAAGCACTAGAATGTTAACCCATAGAAGTTCAAATGTTTGCGGGTATATTCCATCCTAGCACGTTTTACCTGGCTCCTCTAAGATGCAGAGAATGGTCAGAACAATCTAACAAGTCCATGACATGGAGCGGGTGAGCCTTGGCTTGGCAATCCTCTTGTCCTCTTCAAGAGAAATCATGAGGAGATTGGATGGGTTCTCTATCATCATTTTCGCAACCAGATAGCCAGAAATGCTCCATGTCTGGTACTTCCTTGCTTGCTTCCCGACGTAACGCCCTGTCTTGCCATCATAATATTCGGGCCATCCATCTTTGGAGAGGCGCTGCTCCATCTGCTCAATCGCTCTCTTTGCAATTTGAGGCCTTCCACTCTTGATGCACGCTGCTGTCAGTAGCCATAGCAAAACTACACAAAACAAATCAGATTGTCACAAGATATCGTTAGCCCACTGTTTGTACTATATATCCTGACTGCAATAAACCATCTCTAACATTAATTTGCTGTCAGTCAGCCAATAATATATCAGACATTCTTCCCTCGGTAACACCAGTCTTATTAACTCTCAGGTTATAATTCATTTCCTACCTAAAACAGTTCTTAATAGATATATGCAATCAGAATAGGCTATGATGGGTTGCTTTAGATCAATTCATTGTAAATAGAACTCTTTCAGATTAATAATTTGTTAAGATTAACAATAGGGGGTCAAACTTTCTCACAATGCATTTACCTATCTGGAGCAATTGCAACAATATCAAGGGCTTATTACAGATACTAATTATTAAGCAACTCATACTAGCAATGCATGAAATACCATAAATTAAGGTGTACGAATGCTTTTGAAACGACATCAAACAGTGTTTACATGACACTCACCTGGCCAGGACCCCCCATTATGGTAACTCCAGCGTGTGTTCTTTGGGTCACAACCAGTGACAATCTTCCACTCGTGCCCATCCTCCAGAGCTGGGTAAGTAATTTTCAATGGCATTTCCCCTATTAGGTCTTCCCAGCGCTCCTCAACTAAATCCATTATGGCTGTAGATTGTGCTGGTGTAGCTAGAGAACTCAGGATGGCAATGCAGTTTCCAATTAAGAACCACCTGAAGTCCATGCGAGCTGGGCTGACATTGCCAATCAAGTACCCTCCTCTCAAGGGCATGAAATCGAACACCCAATTTGGGATAGATTCAGGAATGACATTGAATTTATTGACAGCAGTGTGGGAGTACTCCTCAGTCCTGTAACGGTAAATGTTATTCAGTTGTGTGAAGTCGAGCCAGTAGTAGTTTTGGATGTGGAAGCTCAGAGCTGTGACTCGCTTGTCAATTCGCTCAATCAATTCCTTGCCACCACGCTCTGGTTTCAGCATGTGCCGTGCACACCTCATAGCAAAAAAGAAGAGGGCCTGGATTTCAATTGGATAACCATATATTCCCTGTTTCAAATGCAAGTCAAAGTTGAATCATAAATATAATAGGAGCAATTTTATTGGAATCCCCAATTACCAATTTAGACTTAACTCTTAACCCATCCTAGAATTAACTTCAAAAGCCGTCCCTCCCTATTAATTGGTACCAATCTATTTGACACCTAGCTCACAACTTAAAGCTCACACAATGAAGTACAGGGAGGTGCTGGAATCAATTTGCCAAATAAGTGAAAGTGTGAGCAATATATGACATCAATTGCTCGTAAGATAATCAAGGACCTAGCTACTTGTCCAACAGTGTTCAAGTTGTGACTGACCATTTGCAAATGGGATTGACACCAAAAAGGAGGAGCTAAACTCTTAAGTCGATCTTTTCATTCATGGGAAGTGTTAAGGTAGAATCAAATTACAGCCTTACATGATCATATGAAGCAAGGCAGAGAAAACAACTTCAACCTAACAATGAGTAAAATAAAATTTGGACTGTGCAATATGTGGAGGTTAAACATTCTAACTGCAAAACTAATGCCACACACATGTAATGTACATAACACCCTTGGCTATATCATAAATTTTTCGAAAAATGATCAAATAGCAGGAAAACCAACCATCCTCCTGTCAATCATGCTGCACCCATCTGCACAAAGGAGTGTTGGGAAAGTGTCAAAGCCATCAGACAGGCAAAGGTTGAGTATCAACTTCATTCCCCTCTGGACCTCAGGCATTTCTGACAGAGTATGATCGCGTGTGCACTTGGTGTATGATCTTAGCAATATAATCCACCAGAACCCTGAATCAACAGGTGCAACTCTTCCAATTGCACTTCCTCCAAAGTCAGCAATCAAGGTGTCCTTCCCACGGTGCGAGTCATACAGGACTTTGAAACTAGCAGGCATCACACCTTCTCCAAGAGTAAAGTTATCAATCCTCTTCTCCCAGCCTTGGAGGTGGAGAGTCTTTAACAGAAAGTTTTTTACAATCTCTGTTTCCGGTTCCTTTTTCATCAAACAGGCTAAGCCACAGGGAAAAAAATCTCTCACAAAAACCTGCCGCATACAAATGAGCAGAATTTATAAACAACGGAAAAAGTAGCAATTGCATGTAAGCATACCATTGATACACTCAAGATATGCAATGAAGCCCCATTAAATCAAACAGTTTCTAGGAACAATTCATTTCCTATATGAAATCTCTGGTGGTAAATTTCTTTCTCGCATTAAACTGGAAGATTTTTTATAATTTCAACACTGTAATCGAGATCATATATATATATATACAAAAAGGAAAGGGGCAACCAAATGTGTGAACTGTGAAGTCCAAGAGACATGATGAACCAACTTTTTATAGCATAATAATAGGATAGAGAATTAAATGTAACATAAAACAAGAAGCCGCCAAAATAAGCACTATTAGAGATCCAACTAGGTTCAAGATTTAAAAATAGTGAAGAAACAAATCATGAACTGATTTCTGATTCAGGTAAACTCAATCCCTTGACATACACACATAAATAATTAAATACATTTAGATATATATATATATATATATATATATATATATATATAACCGTGGTCATCTTTCTCTCTACACACAGCTTATTTGGAGACCAAATGACTAACCTTTTGCACTAAAATTATGTGTCCTTTAATGTGTATATATTGTTTCAATGGGAAACGAACAACTCGCAAAAAATTGATAATAGAACACACACACACACACACACACACACACACACATAGAAATATCTATATAAAAGGATCAAGAACATGATTAATTCAAGATTAATCATCAAGAAAAACCTTATACTCCAGTTCTAATAGCATATCAAGCATCAAAGAATGCATGATTTGTACCTGATTGTAATTCAAAGCCTCTGCACTAGGATCAAGAGCGGCTAGTGTACCAACCGGCCTTCCTTTGAAGTACACATACGACTTCTTGAGTCTCTCCCACGCTTCGTCCATCATCGTCGAACCACTCTCCAAAGGCTTACTAATTCCAGTTCCAGAAGACACGATCGAATCGAAGTTTTCAAGATTCGTACCGACGCTCGGCGACGGCTTCAGCGTCCCTGTTGCCGTCGTCGTCTTTCCTCTCGCCTCGTCTTCAGATTTGATCTCCGACGTACTCTGCATTTTTACTGTCTTCTTCACCTTTTCTTTCTCTTCACCGGCAGATTTTGCCGGAGAAATCAGAGGTTTCTCCGGCTCCGCAGGTTTCTCCGCTTCTCTCAACATCGACGTCTCCTCTGGTTTCTCCTGCTCCGGAGGTTTCTCCTTCGACGTTTCTGCCTCTAAAGATTCTGAACTTTTGTCGTCCGACGTCGAACCAGTGGGAGAATGATCACTCGGAGCTGTGCCTTCTTTGCTAATATCGAGGAAGAGAACCGTGTCAGTTGAATCGTCGGTTGCGTTTCTCTCCACTTTCGATCGAACAATTATATTTTCCGATGTGTTGTCATCGTCCGATGGAGTGTGTTTATTTTCCGACGAAGATCCCTGATCATAGTCGTCGCTGGAGGGGTAAGTTACGATCGGTCCCGGTATAACGACATTCATTTTGGAGAGAGAAAGAGAAGAGGAGTAAGTAAGGTAGAGAGAGAAAAAGAAACGATCGCAGAGTAGAGTAGTAGGTAATGTAGAGAGAGAAACAGAAAAGAAGCTAGAAAATGAGAGAGGGTTGGGGACGATTAATTGTAGTGGCGATGCAAGAAGCAAGAAACTGTTAGAGAGACGAGTGAGCATGTGGTGTGTGAATTCAGTTGGCGGTCAGTTAATGGGAAATCGGGAAGGCTGAGCGTGCAGTCTCTGAATTCGCCCATCCATCTTTTACATTTACAGATGTGCCATTTCGGGTTTATTGAAGAAAATTGACGCATGAAGTGGAAAGTGTGGGTTTGAGTAGGTAGGTATTTTCGGGATGTAATGACGGGCATGATCGTCTTTTGAATCAACTTTTTATCTATCGAGGCGTTTGTAGTAGTAGCTGGAATGCACTGTTCTCCATTCCAGCTGGATAGAGGAGAGGGTAACTGTATTTTAAATTGACCAATGATTGATTAACGCGTGTCGACCTTTTCAAGAGGTCTAACTAATCATGAAAGGGTATTTTTGTGATATTTTCTGTTCCCGGCATTTTTTATGCGTACGCTAACCTCTAGGTTAATATTTTCTGCTTCAATTCTCAAAAAAATTCCTTTATTAGGCCCAATATTGATGACATGATTTTCAACTTAACATAGTGATAAAATTATTAAAGTAAAATATTTTACTAACAAACGAGATCTAATTGGAGACAATATTTTGATTGAAAAATTGCATAACCAAAAGCTGTTAAAGCATCTGTTAGACAACTATTTTGTGTGGTTTTTTTATTTTTATTTATTTATTTATCTTTTTGTGTATGTATTATTTTCTATTTTGTGTGGTTTTTTATTTTTATTTATTTATTTATATTTTTTTGCATGTATTATTATTATTTTTATATAATTGTATAATGATTACGGAAGTATGACAACATTATCCATTTATGTTGAAATGAAATTTTAATATACGGAGTAAATGGATAACAGATTAGAAGGACAAATTTAGCAAGAGAATAAAAAGCCCATTTAGCATTCAATTTATTTTTATTTGGATCAAATATTTAAAACGAATCTATTTAGAGCATATAATTTAAACTTAAATTTAACAATTTAGATTTAATAGTTTATCCCACACATTTTCAAATATTTATATTCTAATATGTCCAAAAAATTACGGACTTAATTACACAAAAATACCTAAGTTAATATCAATCATATGTTATTTCGGAATTTTTTATCAGTAAGCTCTAAATAGTAGTATTATATGTATGAGATCTATTTGTATAGTCAACCGGCTAACACTTGTCACAAATCTCTTACAATATTTTATCTGCTTTCAAGCATTTCAATCTCTTTTATGAGGCTCCATTACATGAGGCCTGTCAGCCTTGGGGCTAAGCTTGGTAAGTTTTTTACAACTAGTGAGTAGTGACCCCAGACGGTCCGGCCCCATATCAACTTTCGTCCTTGGTCTCTAGGGGTGAGATTTGGGTGGGCCAAGGGGTTAGCCCACATCAAACCCAAGGTTCTAAGCCCGTGCCAAGCCCAAGTCTTGGAGAACCCATCACATCTCAACTCCCGCAATACCACACGGATTTTTCGATTTCTCATATCATCCCAAATTATAGTATCCTACTAATAAATAAACATTAAAATATATAATATGTACACTTGACAAAAACATAAAAGGGACATAAATCAACCAAACTATGTTATTAGAATGTGGGAACTAAAAGGGTTCAACCACATTCTAATAAAGAATATAAGATTTGGACTTAATAAAATTCATTCTTATTAAAATTTGGAAAGAATCCAAATCTTATATTCTTTATCATTTTGTTTTCTTGACTGAAATTCAATTACTATTAATTTTTTTCAATTTATAATTTTAAAGCAAGTGTGTGTAAGTTAGGTGAATACCCTACTATAAATATTAAATCATATATATCAGTATAACATTAAAAATATAAAAATTATACACTTTTATTGTATTTTGGGTTCTTCGGATTGTTTGGGTAAGTAAAACCAATTCCCAAATCCCGTCCAAAATAAATTTGGACTTTAAATTTTAAATTCAGTCTCATCCCATGATTTCAAGTATCTTATCCACACTAGTAAAATTTTCAAACGGGAATCAAATTGTTCAGGTTAGGCCCACCCAAGTCCCAGCTCAATTGGTCTCTGAAGCCATATAAGTACTTGGCTATGGGTTGAACTTTCATTTATTTATGGGCCCTTCAACTATAGCAAGTAAGCTGATGTTGTTTTAATCCAATTCTTGACCAACTTCCCCACTTCACAATTCACACACTCCAAAGAGACCCCCACCTAAGCTGCCCAGGAAAGGCCCAAACCAATATAAGATAACAATAAAACTTCATAGGGACATTCCGTCTATGCAGAGGCAGTTCACATTTTCGCATACATGTCTATTTTATTTAGTCTCTATCCGAAAATAATGTCCAAATCGTCAAAACTTACCCCACAAAAAATTTCACTACCTTGAAAAGTTGCATCTTTTTGGTTGCTCTATTTATTAAAAAGGGTAAATTACATGTTTAGATAAATTACACTCACCTAAAACGTTTTGTGATTATTATTTTGACTTATTTTAAACTAGGTTACCCACGATGAAAAGATGACTTATCTCAATAAAAGATCAACGTAGTTATTAGAATTTCTGAAGTGTGTGTGTGTGTGTGAGAGAGTGAGAGAGAGAGAGAGAGAGAGAGAGAGAGAAGATGTATAATGGCGGCAGGAGCACTTGGTTTTAGCAGGAGTGGGAATAAAGTCAAAGGAAGTTACGTTTAGAGATGAACACTTGTCTAATCATATGACAAAAAGTCTGATCTTAATAATGGGAGTTTTACAAGAAATGCTCCCCATAAACATGATTCACCTAACTTAATTGAATTGATCCAAATACTTTAATAGTGAAACTTCATAGTGATACGTGGGGCCTTGACACGTGTTTCATACATAGCACAATTTGTCTTGCAAGTAAGGCCACATCATCACATCATTGGTGTGATAAATTAAAAAAAAAACCATTGGAACACACAGATTTTTTGTGTAATGCTTTCAACCTTCATAAATATTAAACCCATTGGCCTCTTTTTCTGTGTGTGCTTCTTTCTTCAATCCTTTCAATTTTTTGAATTTTTTTTTTGATAAGTAAGAATTTGTTAAAAATGCGGGGAGCGAAAATCAAAGATACAAAACAAAAGGTTAAAGGACATCTTAAATCTTCAAAAAAGCCAAAAAAAAACAATAATTTTCTTCGTAAATTTATAATCTCTTCCTGAAACCCAACAAAAAAGAATACAAATAACAGAACTTAAGCATAGAAACAGGCTTCTCTTTTCCATCAAAATATCTTCTATTTCTCTCGAGCCAAATACACCACCAAATACAGAGCGGCGTAGCCCTCCAAGCATCTTGAATGGAAGCCCCAACGGATACGCCTCTCCAAAATTCAATCAACCCTCTAGAAGAACAAGGCATAACCCATTGAACCCTAAATAAACCAAGCATCAAATCCCAACAATTTTTGGCCATACTACAATGTAAAAGGAGGTGATCAACTGACTCCCCATTGCACAAGCACATATAACACCGATTGACCACCACCTGATTCCTCCTCCTCAAATTGTTCTGGGTTAAAATCTTGCCTAGGACTGAGGTACAAGCAAAAAAGGCGACCTTGCGGGGAGCCTTGAAACGCCAAATAGACTTCCATGGGAAGGGTTCTCCGTGATGAAACGAAAGGCATCTAAAATAAGATCTAACCTCAAAACGGCTTTGCGAGTTAGAAACCCAGAACTAACAATCTGACTCCCCAAAAGATATTACCTGGCTATACAAAAGCTCCAAAAAGCGAGAAACATCATCGATCTCCCAATCCTGAAAATGCCTCCTGAACTGAACATTCCAAGTCAGTCTTCCATTATCAAGATGATAACAGTCAACAACCATGACTTGTCGGTGAGAAACAATCCTATACAGCCGTGGAAAAGCAAAAGCAAGAGGGCATTCCCCAATCTGAAACTTGATTTCAACCTATAGTTTTTTTTTTTTTTTTTTTTTTTTTTTTTTTTTTTTTTTTTTTTTTTAAACATAATTCATTTCATGTTTGACCTATTCTAAACTCTGAATTAGCTAATAGTTTATAAAATAGAAATAAAAAATTAAGACTTAACTGTTCTAAATAATAAGTGTGTGATTCATTTTTCAAAGTCAAAGTTGAATAAATAGGCTGCAAAATGTATTTGCAATTGGAATCAAACTTGAGGCGTTTACGTCCAATTGCGGTCCCTTGTTTTACAGGAGCATAAATGATGATGATTGGGCATCCAGTAATTTACACACTATTGATACTGGACCACCACCGATTGGCGCCCTAGTTTTAAGATTGATTCTTGCATAGTCGCTTTGGAGGTCACCTTCACAACAACGTACTTATTTGTGTATATATATATATATATATATATATATCAGAAACAAAATAAACAAGTCTTTCCAATGCCTTGCAATCAAAACATCTTCCTCATCCTGTTCTTATCTCTTCTCTTGTAAACAATGTGGACCCAAATACCGTCTAAATATATATTTTTTTGTCATTTGACACTTGCATCATAATCAACTTGCTCTTTGTTTTTTTACTTTTACAACAAATTACCCTCACCTTTCACATTTTTCATAATTACAGTTATCATCTAATGTACTTAAATTACACTTTAAATGGCTAATAATCTCTTTAATGTATTTCTTCAGCTGACATTTTTTCTCGGTAAGTAAAATAAATTCATGGTTAGAAAAAAAAAACAATAAAAACTCCTCTCACGGTAGACCATTTATTGGGGATAAAAGTATTATTACTATTTTAAGAAAATTATAAATTTCGTGATTAATCACTGTTAATAAAGAGGAAGAAAATCTGTAGACATCAACCAAAAATCTCATTTTCAAAAAACAGAAAAAGGTTTCTATAAATTATGATGAATATTGAGGAGAAGAGTGTGATGAAACAAGGGGTTTGGCAAACCACCATTTGATTAGGCACGACATCGTTTTGAGGAATAGTATGAGGGAGAGTAGACAGATAGGTTTGTCTTTGTGAAAAAGACGGTGATAAACAGGCGTTATTGCGTATGCCGCTAAAAGGTACAAACTACAAACCGACAGAATTGAAATGATAACTGAAAAACAAAGAATTGGTGTCTCCTTTAGATCTCAAGATAAATAAATTAGCATACACTTTATTAGTTTCAATCAGATCTAAACTCCTCCGATTCTCAGTCTACCTCAGCCTCTCATTTAATTCATTTCTAACTTGATTCAGTCCTTCTGTTCGATTCTTAGCACTCAGGTCCCTCCTCTCTCTCTATACATATATGTGTCTGTATATATATATATATATATATGTTTCTTGCTTTTTTTGTTTCTGGGTTTTGTAATTTTTGTATATGTTACTAGATAACTATAATTTCGGGTATTGAAATTATGAGTTGCATAAGCATATTTACCTACTGCTCTATGAGGTGCTTTAATTGTGACTTATTCTTGAATATCAATTTTGATTGATCGTGTTGGGTTTTTTTTTGGGGTGATTTTAAGATGTTAATTGGGTTCTTCTTGTTTTTTTTTTTTCCTTTTTTTTGTTTTTTGTTTGGTGGTAAAGGCAGGGTTACTATGACTTTCGTTATTCTTTTATCTGGTCAAGAGTAAAATTTTATTGATAATCTGAATATGAAGTGGCTTTTGTTGTTATTGTTAGTAATGATAATCAGATGTTAATGATGATACTGAATTTGATTTTGGTTTTGCGTTGTTTATTGTGGATCTGATTTGGTGATTGATTATATTTAGATTTTAGAATAATGGTTTCAGGCATGCTTCTTACTAGCAAGTAGCAACTTGAAGAAAAAGTGAATATTAATTATGAACTTCTATGTTATATTCTAGGCGTTTTGAGATTAATTGCTCTCTGTAGTGCCGAGATTACTCTCCTAAGCTTTTTGTAGGACTTAAGAAATGGTTCCTTTAGGTCAATTTGCAAGTTTTCAGATGAATAGCACTGTTAGTATTTTTACATAACTTATCTTCTGGTTGATTTTTGAACTGTTGATTTTCAAACTTCTGAGCAGAGATTTCATGTAAATTCCTGAAATTTCATAAATATTAGCATTATCATTTAGATCTTCTCTTCTCAGCAAAACTGAATACCTAATTTACTTTAGTTGATAAGTTTCTGTTGTCTGACTCACAAAAGTGCTTAACTTGTTATATCCCCTGCAGTTTGCCATATGGGTTACTTAAGCTATGATAATTGACACCTCTTAAGCAATTTTTTTTTTTACCAACATCGATCAAGATATGCCGCTGCATTTTATGCATACTTATATTGGCACACATGTATATAATGTGTTAATGACAGCACAGCTATACAGTCGAACTCTGCAGGTCTTTATACTGAAAGGCACAAAATCATTGCAGATTTGTTGTGCCTTGATATCTAAAGGCAATTTTTCATTCAAATGTAAATGTGTAAAGGTAAAGGTTGCACAACTTTCCGTAGTGCTCGGACCCTTGACCTCACATACAGGATTAAACCTGTAAACTATCTTGTCGAAATTTTTTACCTTACCTATGTGAAACAGATGGTTTCTTGACATGAACACTTATTAAGTTGTTCCTCGGCCAATAATATTATTATATACTTGTCTGTGTGTTTTTAAGGTTTGCACGCTCTCACACAGCATCATGGTATAAGAACAGCTAAAATATCCCGCAGGCTTGAGTTTAGTGACTTGGGATGCATTAATTAGACTCTTCTTGAATTTTGGTTGAATTTCCAATTTTCTCTCCAGAAGTTTAGTCTCTTGAGTATTTGAAAGCCTGAAACGGAAGGAGATAAATGATCTCCTAGGTATGAGTTCATGATAAGGAATTATTGAGTCCTGAAATAGTTGGGTTTCTGCTTTAGGTCTATGGCTCAGCTTCAATTGGAGTTTGCCATTTTGGTATTCTATGGTTCAGAGTAGTAGGTCAAGTCTATGGAATTCCAAACTGTCATAGTCTAGTGAAAATTGTCGTTGGCTCAAGTTGTTTAATTGCTTCCACTTGAGTATTCTCTGATGTGACGCTTTTTATGAACATATTTTTGTAATGTAGCTCATCTAATTTCCAGGATTCTTAGAAAAGGACTTCTTTAATGTTCTAAGTAGTGTTTTTCTTGTTCTTTATTTATTTATTTATTTACACTTGACTTAGTTACAGTACCTTATATTTTATAATAATTCAAGGTGGGGTTGTGATCGTGAGAGGAGTACATCCCTTTTGTCTTTTGTCTGCTAAAACTTTATGAATATATCTTTATCAAGTTTCCAGCTATACTCATCTTACAATTTATTAGTGATTTGATCCATCTTAAACAAGCTTTTAGATCCCTCTTGATTGATGTTTAACCTTTGTTGAATCTTGTAATCCATCCTTCTCTGAGAAAATCTTCTATGCAGTGAAATGAGGTGAATAATGGGTGAGTTATGGCGGCAGCAGAAGTAAGGGCAGCTTGGCAGAGAACAGCTAATCGTTGCTTTGTCCAAGAAGATGCCAAAAGAGCTCCTAAATTAGCTTGCGGCCCATCAGCATCTTCATCATCCAAACAGGGAGATGCAGGACCTGCAAATGCAACAGATGGGAAAGATAATCCCACCGTAGGTTTCATACCTCTTCACAGGAACCCTTCACATTCCAATCCATCCCCTGACTCAAGATGGTGGCTCCATCTGCAACCTAATTATGGATATCAAAGGGGTTTAACAAATGAGCAGTTAAATACCTTGGAGGCAGAGATGGAGACCTTTAGAGCTGGTGTTGCAAGTTCAACCTCTACATTTAGCGACGTACACCAACAAAACGAGGTTGATGGTACACATGTCAACGACAACATGAACTCTGAGCACTCCTCCGATGCTTATTCTGTAATCTCTGCAACTTGCGTAAAGAAAGATCTCGAAGTCAGAAAGCCAGAGCTAAAGGCTAGATATACTAAGAATGACAAAGAACATCTTAATCTCAAAGACATGGGGGAATCCTATGAATTAATAGACGTGGACCCTGTTGGTTCCTCAGTTTCCAAGGAATCCAATGAGTTGTGTTTTGATTTTGAATCTCCTTGGGTTGGGGGTGTGAAATCTGAGCCATGGTGGCGCAAGGCAGATAGAGCTGAATTAGCTTCCTTGGTTGCACAGAGATCAGTTGACTTTATCGAGAACTGTGATCTTCCTCAGCCTCAAAATACACATGTTAAGAGGGACACATTTGCTCATATTGGTTGTTTTGATTGTGATGGGTTTGTACCCTCTTCCTTACAATGGAAGGCCCAAAGTGGTCTTTCCAATCCAACTGCTCATACAAAAGGCTGTCATTCTTTCAGAAGTGCATGTGAAAAACAGTGGACTTCAGTTGAGGGGAGCTCTCAATATGATTCAAACAAGCGAGTCAGGTAGCATTTAAATATTATTTCCCAACATTCCAGTTTTTATCATTTTCATATTGAATGATTTCAGCCGGTTTTTTTTTTTTTTCTATAAGTAAATTTTATTGAAAAAACCGCTCAAAAGGGGAGCGAAACCCAAGGACAAAACAAGGCCAAAAACGCCTCAAGCCTTCAAAAAGGCCAAGAAAACAAACAACTCTTCTACAAATCTAAAATCTCTCCCTGAAACCCAACAAAAAAGAGTGGAAAGAATAGAGAACTTAAACATAAGATAGGCTTTTCCTTTTCATCGAAATATCTCCGATTTCTCTCAAGCCAAATGCACCACCAAACACAAAGAGGCGTAGCCCTCCAAGCGTCCCGAATGAGAGCCCCCACTGAAAATCCTCTCCAAGCCTCAATCAACCCTCTAGTGGAGCTAGGCATCACCCACAGGATCCCAAACAACCCAATCATCAAATCCCAACAGCCCCTAGCCATGCTGCAATGAAGCAAGGTGATCAACAGTCTCCTCATCATGCAAACACAAATAACATCTATTAATCACCACCTGATTCCTCCTCCTCAAATTATCCTGGGTTAAAATCCTACCCAAGACAGAAGTCCAAGCAAAGAAGGCCACCTTGAGGGGAGCCTTGGATCGCCAAATAGACTTCCAAGGGAAAAAGCCTCCAGCGCCAACCGTAAGACACCTGAAAAAGGACCTCACCTTGAAGCGACCCTGATTTCAGCTGGTTTAATTAATTTAGATAAAGGAATTGTTCTTAAAGTTTCAATAAATAAAGTGTGGCATTTATATTAGTTTTTTTCATAGTTTAGCTTGTCTTAAACCTGAAATTATGATTAAAAGAATACAGAATATGCATCAACTACTTGGTTGGAACAAACATCTCAGCGTAGGAAAACCTTTCTTCTGTTAAACATTGAGAAATATGATTTTTGAGATGTTTTTTGTTTTATGTTTGAAAATCCACTGATGCAAGATAGCTTCTGGTATGCACATTAGGACTCTTTATGTTTTATTCTCTTAGTCTTTGCTGCTGTGCAGCACATCTCTAGGGAAATTGGTCAAAACTCAAAAGTTTGAAACTGTAGAACTGAACTAGGATTTATTTGGCCATTTTTTAATTTATCAGTTATTTTAAAAAAAATAAAAACAAGGGATTGGTGGGGTTTTTTGGACTCAAGATTCACCAATTGGACAGTGGTTTTTGGACTCAAGAATCACCAATTGGACTTCGCAAACCATGTGAAGAGGGGGTAATGCAAGACATTTCGTTGTTTTAGTAATGATTATCTTTACCAATGTAATGAAGACATTTTGTATCAAATTACTTTGGATGACTATGTCCTTTTGGATTGTAGTAGTACATATATTTATAGTACAATCCACATCTGCTAGTATATATATATATATATATATATATATATATATATATATATATGTATATGTATATATATTTATACATATTTATTGAATATATCTATAGGTCCAAATACAAAGTCTACAATACAATATTGTAAGAACTAGTTTGGTAATATAAGCAGTGTTATATGTGTTAATTGGTGTATTTTGTTTCTTTTATTGTTTTAAAATTATTGATAACTTTTTAGATTTTTTGAGCCTTATATGAATCATATTTATTGCTTATCATGTGCCCTCAAGTTGGTGAAGATACTATGACTTTGGACCTTGGTGTGGTTTAACCATTTTTTATGGATTTCTCGACCGACTCGATTATGTTGGGATTAAAAATGGAAAGCATGTCAATGTGTGTGTTTATATATATTTATTATTTTGTATGTGTGTATTACGTTTTCTCATAGCAAAATTACGGGCCATTGCTTGATGCAATGGTAAAATCGCAGGTTTACTAGTGCCAGAACATGGGTTTGGGTGTGAGGGCATTCTTTTTGTACAAAATTTTGCCAAATGATCGGTTTATCTTCAATTCTCTCTTTCTGGTATCCGGGAGTAATGCCCTTTTTTCCCCTTTTTATAATCAAAACACATTGAGATAAGCCACTGGATGCCCTTAAGAGTTTAAAGCCTTGAGAAAGCAAACCGTTTATGACCATTTTTTATTATTAAATTAAATGGCACGTATGATACTAAAGTTGTTTGATGATGAATATGTTTGCTAAATTGAGAATTGTTGATATGAACTGTTTGTTATATTAAATCCTTTTAACCTTATCCTAGTTGGGACTTGTGACCTCAGGAACAGTGATGACACAATGCCCGAAGGTGTGACTGAAACACAAGTTCCAGAGAGTGATCCCAGCAAAGCTGAATTATTGGAGGCACTCCGTCACTCACAAACACGTGCAAGGGAAGCTGAGAATGCAGCAAAGCAAGCCTACGAAGAGAAGGAGCACATTGTGAGGCTCTTTTTCAGACAGGCATCACACCTCTTTGCCTACAAGCAGTGGTTCCAACTTCTGCAGCTAGAAAATCTCTACTTCCAGATCAAGAACAACCACCAGCCAATATCCACTATTTTTCCAGTAGTGTTGCCGTGGATGCCTCAGAAAACTAGGAAACTGCAGAAGGATTTTCAGAAGGCTGCCAAGGGAAAACGAGGCCGTCCCAGATATGAAAGTAGTAAATTCTCTCTCGCTTTTGCATTAGGATTGAGTCTTGTTGGTGCTGGGTTGCTCCTGGGCTGGACAGTGGGGTGGATGCTGCCAACCCTTTAAGCCTGTTTTGGATTTGTATCCTGATTTCCTGTTTGTGGTGAATATTGTTTTAGAGACGTGTTTGTTGAGCTGTAATTCTCTAGTTCTTGTATTTATGTAGGTTTCATATTTTAGAACTCTGGTGCTTCTGTGTTTGTACAAAACGATGTGTCTAAATGTTTGAATATATCATCAGTGACGAATCTCATCTAATTGCTAAATTGATGACCTTACACTCTTCTTTCCTTTCCCGAAATATCCTTTTGAACATGTTACGAGCTTGACATTTCATGGTTCATATTTGATTGGTGGTTGTGTATCGTCTCTGTTAAGACATATACATTGAGTGGTGGGGTTTAGTGAAATGCAGTGCATGCAATTGACTATGTTTGGATTATTTTTTGAAATTGATGCTATATGTTGCTGTTTGAATGAGTGAGTTTTTGTGATTAAGAATTTGAGAGGCTTTCAGGTGCAATTAGCAGTTTGTTTAGTGGAAGGGTTGGTGAAAGTGTAGGGAGAGTAAAATATTGTAGTAACCTCACGTTGTCTAAATGGCAAAGATTCATGATAATAAACACACGAGGGCTTCTATTTATGAAAAACAAAAAATCATGAGTGGTTTCTTGGTGTGGCTCCTCGTATTGCATGCCAGTTTTTTTTTTTTTGGGAGGGGGAGGTTGTTGCATGCCAGTATTGCCAGACAAATAAATCAATATCTATCAAAGTCTATACAAAACTCTTATTACTACTAAACCAGTTCAATGGATAGAATTTTGTTTCGAGTTCAATCCAATTATCCGAATATGAATTACGAATTCCGAATTCAATAATCCGTTACTTTAACATATTGGATTCGAATTATAGGTAATCCGATCCGATTTGATTAAAATATATATATATATATTATTACATTACAATATTTTTATTTTTTTATTAATTTTTTTTATTACATTACAATATACTAAATATGTTAGTTATCTAATACTAGTATAAAAAATATATATATATTAATTATTTATCACTATTTTCATTTGGGTTGCATACCTATACTATACACCATACTATATATTAACTATACTCCACTACATATAACTCTATAAACTATATAAGTGAATGTGATTTTAATCTGAATTAAAATTTAAACTAAATAGGAAAAGATTTGAAACATTCAATTCGATAACGGCTTAGCTATCCGAATTCGATAATCAATTAGTTTAACAAATCGAATATAAATTTTATCAATCAAATCCATTGATAGGGCTAATTGCTACCATTCACCCGTATCCATTGTGTCTAGAAACTCAATATAGGTTTAAAAAAAAAAAAATTAATAATAATAATTAATTAATTAAATCCTATTCCGATTACCCGACCCGCTGTGGCTTCGTATTCAAATTCCAAACTGTATGATTCCGGATACCCGGCCCGTCATTGCACCACGTTACATTTGTTCCAGCATTCCATAGACGAGAGAGTACTACTACCAATTTCCATCCATCAAAGGCCGCACAAACAAACACAGAGAGAGAAGAAGAAGAAGAAGAAGATGGCGGTGATGGAGAAGCTGAGGATGCTCATAGCGCAAGAGCCTGTTGTCTTTGCTTCATGTCTTATCGGTGGTATTGGTATGTCTACCCTTCTCTCTCTTCTCTCATTCCCCCTCCAATTCCTATTACTCCAACTTCAAATCATCTTATTTTCAATAATTCAATTCGAACCTAAAACAATCACACAACTAACGAACACAAATCAGTTGCTTTCTCATTTAGTTATTTCATATGTAGTTTCGATCATATTTTTGGCATCTTATCAAAGATGATTGTCTGCAATTACGGAAAGATCTGTCTTCTATGCTATTTCTATCCAGCCCCAACTTCAGGAATGAACATTCAAATGCACCAACCCTCATACCAACCCTCCATAAGAAGCACCCCTTCTGCGGCCATGGTCGAAAACCCTAAATGGGTTTTAACAGACCCATTTCATCCCTCTTTTGTAACCAAGACAACTGATTGAACCCACCCACATCCTCTCGCTGCCAGCACGAGCACTAAACTTCACCCACCTCTTGCAGATCTAGGGTTCTTCACCCTGTTTGACCGATACACTGCTGTCTTGATTGAGAATGGTTTTGGTGATGGCAAATAGATTGTAATATTGAGGAGCTCCTTGTTGTACAAAGTAATGTCTTGCATGGAAACTATTTCATCTCAAAGGTTTGGGTTTGAAAATGCTATTAGTTTTCCTTTGAAATAAAGAGAGGGTTTTTACATGAACCTTAATGAAAATTGAGGCGTAACTTTTTTTTTCCATCTTTTGTATTCAGTTGGCTGTTGATGTGAAATCCAATTTAGAACTTGTGGGGAGTTTTTTGTAATGTCCTTAAATTTAGAGATATCAATTTGTAGACAATGTCAGAATTTTTATTTCAAGTACTTCAGAATTTCTAGTTATTAGTTATACTCGGCATTTGGCACCCAATTATGGTTAGTGAACCGTGTTAAAAAAAAAAATATATATATATATATATATATATATATAGGGCTAAAACATTCACTTACGCAACCAGATGGATGAAAAGAATAAGAAAACCTGGACTTGCAATCATTCCAGCCCATGATAGCTATAATTTTACGTTATTTTAGGAGAAGAGTTTTGACACCTGAGATAAAAGAAGAAGAGAATCTGTACCTTGATGATTAAGAATTATGAAATCAGATAAATCTCAGGTTTGATTCCTCAGCCCAAGCAGCTGTTTTTATATCTGATTCAAGGTTTACACCTGTATCCCGTGTATATCTCTATGATTTGGTCCAGCTTTCAAAATCTTAAAAGGTTAACTTGGAACCAGCCAATAATTCTTGCACTGAACAATGTCAATTCATGGATTCATGATGACCCCGCCTCGTGAGAGATAATTGGCCAATTAAGAGTGTTGTCAGGCCCCTTAGGGTGGCATGCTAGGGCAATTATGTGTGGGCATATTTCAGCCTTGTTTTGAGTTGTATTTGTATTGATTTTCCTCCGTTTTGTTGTATATGTGCTTTCTTTCCTATGGATATTGTAGTTTTTATATTTATAAGTTTACATATCATTGTTCAATAAGAGTGCTTCTCAAATTTTATTTATTTATTTATTTCAACATCACTCGGTCTTGGTCTTTGATATTGTCTATTCAATCAAAAATTAGGAAAATATATGTACAGGTAGTTACAAGTGTGAGTTCGATATATTTTTTTCTGTATGCTGATTCTTGTCTGGTCAAAATTTTAGGCCTCTTCCTTCCAGCTGTTGTGAGGCCTATACTGGACTCTTTTGAAACATCCAAGCAAGTTCCACAGCCTGCATTAAGTGATGTGAGTTCTAATTTTGATGCAGTTTTATGATTTTATACCACATTTCTCTTAATATTATGCAGCTTTCTATCTTAATGTAGCTCTTATTTTTGCTTGAACCATCTTATATTTGTAGTTTCCAAACACATTTTTGCATGAAAACAATGAATGGTATTTATTTTAGTGAAACCCTCAAAAGGATATTACTGTTTTATCAGAAGAAAGCCATTTGCTTGTTAGATTGCACCAAGTTATAAGAAAACAAATCATGGCTGCTTTAAAAATATATCTCAATAATCATGTCACCTCTAATATTTGGTGTTATAATGCATTTCTTTTTAGTTGGAGGAGATTCCCTATAATAGTTTTATGTTGCTTTATTGCTCATTCCTTTCTGATGTTGTGTATCTAGGCTCCTTTCTATATTAGTCATATATCTAGGGGATTTCTGACTTTGCCACTTCATCATAAGTGGAAATTTTTTAGGTCTGTAGTCTGATGAGTCAGTTAATTAAGTGGACAATAACTCATTCTGATTAGAGAAATTGAACCGTTTGATTTCCTTCATCTTCCTCTAAAGGTCTTCCTTCATCATCAAATATCAACGACATGACACAATTTATCTGAACTAAGCATGAGCATGACTGCATTTTTTTTTTGATAAGTAGCATGAGCATGACTGCATGGCCTATGAATTGTAGTTTCCTGTAAAATTGTGCTATTAGGAGGAGACAAAGAAGGGTACTAGTGCTTGTGAGGGCTCTTCAATTAGAAAGAGGATGTACATGATGCAAAAATTTAGATCTACATGCTTGTCAACATTTCAAAAGTTCCTTTCAATGTCATGGGCCTCTTATGTGTTATAATTCCTTGCGAACCTTATAGAGTTGGGTACAATTACGAAGGAGCCCTCATCTCTTCCAATGTAACCGTTATACAGTTTTCACACCCCATTTTCAATTCTAGTACTCGCCTGCTTGATTCTCTCAAGTTCTTTAACATAGGTTAGAAGTTAAAAGAAGAAGAAGAACATGTTTCAAAGACTGTGGTTCAAGGAATTTGAAGAAGAATGACTCGCGATAACTCCATCTTCAAATTTTGGGATCGATGTATATATATTTTTTTAAAAATTACATATTCACTTTTATATATCTACGATTGAACAGTACCTCTGTCTCTTGTAACCCCCAATTCACTTTAGGCTCTTCCTCGTTTGTTTTGTGCTATTAAATCCCCAAAACCAAAGAGAGACAGAATATCTGGATCTAGATCTTCGCTAAGGTTTTCTCTCTTCTCCTCTAAATTCCATGGCAGTTTGAATGCCTTCTCATTTCATCTTTGTATTTTTTTTTTCATTAATGTTCATCTTTGGAACTCGGTTTGTCTTATGCTCTTTATCCAGGCCACTGCTTCTAGCTTCCAAGTGTCACTCAAAGATTTCCATAAGGTAGTCATTGTGTACATAATGAACTATTTCTAGAATTTATCCGAACATGAGCTTCAGATAAGAACTTACACACACGCACAAAAACAAAAAAACAAACCACCACCTTCAAATAAAACAAATATTTTTTTTTACTTGGGATTTCCTTAAATCTTTTCTTTCATTGGGGATTTTCTCAGGTCAAATCATCATGCCACTCGTTGGATGAGGCATAGCAATTCAATAAATTTAACATATTTATTGTTTTTATACAATGATATACACACACACATTTTCTCAATTTTTTCTTCAAAAGTTGGTATAGCTGTATAACAAAATGACATTGTAGAAGTCTCATCAATAATACATGGGTAGTTCTGTCATTTCATGTCGATATGTGAGGACAGTTTCGTAAAATACACAGTTCCATTAGTCTATTTGACAGTCCGTCACTACTAAGGGCGGTCCATGTAACAAGGTTTGCTTTTAGAGGAGGTCCGTGTAATTATAGGGGAGGTCAATGTAATTTACCCTGCAATAACTGTATGTTGCTTTATTGAGTCTTTTCCTATCTGATGTTGTATCCTGGCTCCTTTTTATTCATGCCTAGTAAATCTAGGGGATTTCTCGCTTTGCCCCGTCAGCATAAGAAGGAAAAGATTTCTGATGGGTAACAAATCACAATTAATTAAGTGGACAATAACTCATTCTGATTAGAGAAATTGAAGTGTTTGATGTGCACTCATCTGCTTGTAATCATTCTTTCTAGTATCTACACTATTACAAATTTGGATGGGATATTAAGTTGGTAAAATCATCAAATATCAACAACATGATACAATTTACAATTTAGTGTGAAGTGCAAAAGAACTCCACGAACTACGTTTGAATTTGCAAATCCCTTGAAGTATATTTTGTTCGAATTTGCAAATATATTTTGTGTATAATATCCCCTGAACTATTACATTTTGTTACAAAATACTCCAATGCCTAGATTATTTTTCATTAAATGTCCCATAATGCCCTTTCTTATTGAATTACACTTCATCTATTTTTCTTATTGAAATAAATTATGAAAAAAAACTTCATACTAATTTAATGACAGATTCTCCATTAAATTTGCACAAATTTACCTTTAATTTTTTTAATTAATTGTTTAAATAAAAATCGTAAGTAGAAAATTTTAAAACAATTTAAGTAATTTTTTAATTTTTCATAAATATATTGCATGAAAAGGGTGTACATGATGCAAAAATAGACGTATATGCATGTCAACATTTAAGTTACTTTCAACATCATGGGCCTTTTTAGCAGTGCTTGGCCTTTCTTTCCATGTGATAGTGTCTCTTGCATTAAAAATGATCCACATGCGTTGCATCTTTGCAGGTGGTTGCGGGAATGACTGGTAAAAAACAGGGCTAATCTTTGTATTAAACGTAAGATGCTATTTTTCTTTACCTACTCCCCTACCCTCCCTATGTGAGACTCTTGCAAGAGATGGGAATAAGATTTGATTTTTTATTTGGTGGAGAAGAAAGAATTATTGTTTGGTGTACATCTTCCCCTGTTTTGTGTAAGAACATCTTCCCCATTTGTGCAATGCACAAGACTGGTTCATTTCGCTATTTGTCCCTCTTTTCATGTAGGCATGTGAATGAATGGCTTCTCATACCATTGACATTTGAGCCCTTCATCTGAACTATTGTCGTCATTTTTCAACGTTAAGCCTTTTAAAGTAGATACTACAGGATTGAAAAATGTTTGTTGATTCTGAAATTTTTTTTGTTTGATGAATTTTTTTTGTTTTTCTAGCTAAACAACATACAGGACATAGATTTGTTTATCCTTGTATAATAATCTAGAGCTGACAATTGGGAGATTGTGACAGTTCTGGAATTGTTGCACAGAAATGGATCTGTAAATCTCCAACTGAGACTGAACACGGATATGTGCTTATTACTAAAGGAGTTGCGGTTCTCTTATCTCCACGTTATACACTTGGGGGACTCGTGTGTGTATTTTTCTTTCTTATTTCCAATTTTCCACATTCTGAGCTAAAAATGTGCACCATATTTTGCCATTTTCTTTGACCCTTTTGGCAAGCGTACGAATGCTTCTACCTAAACCCAAGACCCACATCTAGCTTGTGCTTCACAATGCCCACCCTCTGTGAAATTTGGACTTTATTGCAATAACTTTTTGAAATGATTTTCCAAATCAGAGAAATAAAGACATATCGCGACAAGACACAGCTACCGCTATTTTGGGTGAGAACATCTTTCCCATTAGTGCAATGCACAAGACTGGTTAATTTTGCTATTTAAGATCTTCAGCTGAACTTGTGTCATTTTTCAAGAGGAGTAATATACATGATTGAAAAATGTTTGTGATTGTGAAACTCTTTTGTGAAGATTTTTTTAATTTTATTTTCCTAACTAACATACAGGATATTGATGTGTATCCTTGTACAATCGGCGACAGTTTTAGTACTGTTGCGCATAAATGGATCTATAAATTCGAATTGAGTTTGAACAAGCATGTGTGCACATTGAAGGAGTTATGGTTCTTTTATTACCAAGTTATACATTTGGGCTCCGATTCAATTGAATGATTTGGAAGGATTTAGAAAAGAACAAAAAAAATAACGAGGTTAACTCCATCCTCTTCCTCTTGAGTGTAAATAATTCCTTGGAAGAGGGAGGAAGCTTGAGTATCAATTAGGAAAGAGAAAAAAAAAGATAATGAGGTTTGTGTTTGGATATCCTTTAATGGAGAGAGAAGAAAAGATTGGGAGAGGCCAAATCCTCATATGGTTACTTCTCCTTCCTCTTATAATTTGCCATTCGGAGTTATTAATCACTATGTGCATCATCTATCCCTTAATGAAAGGGTGGTCATACAATTTGATAAATCTCTCTCTTAACCGTAAAGAATGTGTGAATCATTAGTTAAAGATAAGAGAAAAAAGATTCCGACACCTACCAATTTAACCAGAAAATAAAGAGAGTAGTTATTGATATCCCATCTGTGCGAGGGACTCGAATGTGTCTTTTTCGATTTTGCCAACTTTCCACGTTACAAACGCGTGCCGTGTGTACCTTTTCCCTCTCCCAATAGAGCCACTTTCTTTGACCCTTTCCGCGAGTTGCAATATTGTGTGGAAAATCAATAGACAGAAAATGAAAAAAGAAATAGCTCCCATTTTATACATGCAAATTTTGAACACTAAACATTTTAGCTTACAGGCAGAACAGAGAGGGAATGAAAAGGTTGCAGCATGCATGAAGAGCAGAAGCAAAATGTTACTTGACGTTTATATGTTACATTTACGTACGTCTACATAAATTGAATGAAAAATCTTAATAGACAGGACTGTAAATTCTACAACAGCACGTAGCAAACTCAAACTGGCGGGTGATTGGGGGATGCTTGTTTCATTTGAAGACAGAAATCAAATGATGAGCGCTTCCTTCTTCGATTTTCTATTCCATGGAATCGCTTGTTTGAAGCCCTTGTATATCGCCGTCTGTAATTGCAACACAACAAACAAAAACTATGTCAGAAAGAATGAGAATGGTGAGTTAGTTCTGTGTTCCAATGTAATCATCTGTTACTTTGCCAAAATACAGTGAAATTCAGCTCAAAATGGGGAAGTCAGATCAATGATTCTTCTTCAAATTGACTAGGAAAACACCTTGACACACTCCTTACCATTGACAGTAGTGGCATTAATTGTAAAAACGACCCAAATGGGCAAAAATCAAAGTGCGGTCACACTCTGTTTTTTACTCTAGTTTTGGCTAACAAATGCCTCTACCTACTAAAAGACCCACATTTACCTTGTGCTTCACAGTTTGAAGGCTTATGCTCAAAGCTATAGGCACCACAACACCCACCCTCTCTGTGTGAAATTTGGAATTTATTCCAATAACTTTTTGGAATGATTTTCCAAATCCAGAGAAATAAATAATCCTTACATTTAAAGACAAAGACACAGACTAGTCTCATCACTGAGGACTCCAATTTTCAACTACCATTATTAACAACCTCTTGCCTCAACCATTCAATTATGCAATGCAATTGTACATCACAAAATTAAGCAAACCTATTATGACTCACTCAACAGATGCCAACAAAACCATTGATTCATTCATAATATGCAAACATATGCATACATATAGATATATATATCTATATATATACACACGCGCGCACACACAGGCCCGCCTCTGTGTCGGTAAAGGAGCTCTGTATGTTGCAAGCCAAAAAAACAATCCCTCCATATATAGATCACCCACCTAACCTTCCATCTGAAAGGAAGATGTGGTATCACTTCAACTCTAACCAATTAGTTGTGACTTGCGAGGCTTATACAAATGTATTTTACTCCACAATAAGTTCAATAACTAATACTACTCTCAAAAAGGCAACCAATAATCATATATAATCATAAACACATATATGTGGTCAAAATATAATCTCTGAGTAATGTTATATTAGTCATATGTAGAGAGCTTTCATGAATAATCTTTGCATAATGTAATATTAGTCATATGTAGAGGGTAAAAATGAAAAATTGACGAACTTTCATGGATATGTTACCTAGTGTAGCACCATTGAAAGAAAAAAAATGAGTAATTGGAAGAAAATCGAGACTCATAATGTCAGAAAATTAAAACATACCCAGAGATGAGACCTGGCCTTAGATAGGCTAGAAAAGCTTCCATTCCTTCTAATACTTGTCATCTTCACTCTGTCATTATTACTAACACTCTCCTCACCCATGTCTATGGAGGATGAAAAGACAAAACTATCCCCACCACCTTCCTTTTTACTACCCTTACGTTTAAGGGTCCTCTGCCCCCAAGAACCAAAGAAGCCTCTATCATTGTTATGCCCTCTCTTGGTAAGAATCATTGTACCCAGATGCCCTTTATGAGGACTCGTCATCCTACCACTAGCACCACCACCGCGACGAAAGGACCCTTCACGCTCCTTTATGAATCTGAATGAAGAAGACTGAAACACAGACCTACTACTACTACCCACATAAGGACCATCCAAGACAGTGGTGGGCGAGGGCGTTTTGGTAATTTTGGACTCCGTGATTAACAGCCTGGGAGGCAGGTCCAAGCACTTGGGTTCGTTGCAGAGGGTCATGAGGGTGGTGCAGGGTCTGGGCTTGCCTGGCTCTTCCTCCCACCGGAATGGAACTGAAGCATAGGTTTGGAGTGGTGGTGTTCGCATCCCCGATGGCTCCGGCGACTGCATCGGTGGGATTAAGAACAGTGGAAGCTTTGGTGTGAAACTTGCCTCGGCTTCTGCCTCGGATCCCATACCTCTCTCTATTGCAAACAGAACACAACAGAACAGAAGTGAGAGAGTAGAAGAAGAAGAAGAAGACGAAGGGGGTGTTTCACTTTTTAGTAGTAGAGTTTGTTTGGTGACAAGGAAATTAAAGCTGGCACATTTAGATCACTGTTGTCTTATGGTTTAATAGTCAAGATTTAAGAAGTAAAAGACACGCACTTGTATTTATCACAACCTCATTCTCACCTTTATAAATCTATGATTAATTAGGGGTGAAATTCAGACCACGTGTTTAAGGGGTTAGGCTAAACATGATATTTAATATGTCACAATAAAATTGCCAATAAAAAGAAAAGGTCAAGAAACACCCTTGTTTAGATAAGCTATAAAATTTTATTTAAGAAAAAAAAAAATCTAAAAGTGCCGATACAACCCAAACAATTGATAGCACAGACCGAAAGTATTTAGAATTAAAATTTAGCTCATGATGTATTTGCTTTTATTCCTTTTAATTTATTATTATTTTTTTGGATAATTGAGATGTTATAAAACAAAAGAGATTAGATATATACGTAGTCATTAATATGTTAGGACAATAAAATTTTAATAAATTAATTTTGAATAATTTTTTAAAATGTTGGGACACATTTCCCTATATGGTGACCTATACAACTAACTTAATATTTTCTACTAAAATTTTATAATTAAAAAAAATAAATAAATACCAAAATAAATAAAGGTAAACAACAAGCAATATAACAAGGGAATGGGGTGTCATCACGAATGAATGAGTCAACTAACATGACTATCAAAATAAGCATGAGTACGTATCCCATCAAGTCTTTCACTACATGTAATTGAGTCATTTAACTATTGTGGTTAAAGTGGGGGATGATGATGATATTGGTAATAGTTTTAAACTTTTAGCATTTTATGGAATTCTTAAGTCAAAAATCAACATGATTAAAAATGTATAATTTATTCTGTCGTGACAATTGGTGTGGTGGATGAATTGATAGAAGTTTGATTTGGATGTATGGAGTGTACAACAGCCGGGCCAAAAAAGCAATAGTGTACAAACATATACTATGTGGATCACATGTGCGTGATCCTAAATCTATTTCATGTACCTTGAAAAGGGAAAAATACACCGGAAAGAGGTGAGGTGGGGGTAATTTTGTAGTGCCCTGTATTAGTTGTCATAGTCTTGACACTAGAATGAAGACAAGTGTCATTAATGCAAACATTTTAGAAAAAAAAAAGAAAAAATTTCTTAAAATGTTTTGCTAATATTATTGGACTAGTATCAGATTTTAGAGGAATGCTAATCATAGTCGCTTTCGGGATTGTGAAATCTCAGTCGCTAGCTCAGTGATTGACTAAGTATATTTTACTTCCTAATAATTAATTACTATTTTTATACTAACTTCCTTTTGGATCTCTCATTATATATAATTACTATATTAACCTCCTAATTGAGAAACTTCATAAACCTTCACGATTCCATCTCACTTTAAAATTTTATTTTTTACAAAATTTCATATCTAAATGTTTGAAGTTTCAACACTAAATTTTTTTTTTTTTTACAAAAGTACATATCTAAATATTTGAAGTTCAAATCTGAATTTTTTCAGATCCGTATTATTTGTATTCGAAGTATTGTTCTGATTTTTCATATTAAAAAAAAAATTATCATAAAATAAAAAAAAGTACTATAAATTTTTTTCAGACTATACTTTTTTTTATCTGATTTTCTTCATTTTTATTTAAAAAACAACCTAATACTTCGAAACAGAGAATATGGATCTGATACTTTTTTCACTGATTTTTTTATTTTTTTAATCTGAAACCTCCACGGTTCCATCTCACTTTAAAATTTTATTTTTTACAAAATTCCATATCTAAATAATTGAAGTTTCAACACTAAAATTTTCTTTATACAAAAGTCCATATCTAAATATTTGAAGTTCAAATCTAAATTTTTTCAGATCCGTATTTGAAGTATTGATCTAATTTTTCAAATTAAAAAAATCAAAAAATATCATAAAATAAAAAGAAAAAAGTACTATAATTTTTTTTTTCAGATTATACTTTTTTTCATCTGATTTTATTTTTTTAATTTGAAAAAATACTTCGAAACAGAGAATAGGGATCTGAAAAAATAAATAATTTAGAAATAGAATCAGATTATAGTATTTTTTCACTGATTTCTCAGTAAGGAGGCTACTATAATAATTATATATAATGAGAGATCCAAAAAGAAATTAGCATAAAAATATTAATTAATTATTAAAAAATAAAATACACGTATTAATTATTAATTATTAATCACTAAATTAACGATTGAGATTTCACACTCGCGGGGGATTGTGATTAGCACCCTACAAATTTTATTTATATTTTGATTTTCGAGCTGGGTTCATGCATTGGGATGATGAGAAAAAGTCGGTCTTTTTCAGGACTTGGACTTTTTGGACTGAAGTCGATGGTATACAGTAAACCGTCCCAAACAAGTTAATGTGATGCAACATAACATTATCCTTCACCTGCTCCGTTCCCAGATTCCTTTTTGGTGGAAGTGGAACCGGTTTGTGTGTATATAGATAGCTTCGCAAACATCAACCTTGCCCCTGGAGAGACGGACTCAGAGAGTCAGAGTAAAAAGCAAGAGGGAAAGTAAAAGATGTTTTGTGAGTGTACATTTTTGTTTGCGTATCTAACTTTCAGAGGGTATTTTGGTATTTTTACACTATGCTTTTTGCTTTTTCTCACAATGAAATTTCTACAACACCCCATACACATAATTCTATTTTTGGGCAAACCATCTTATTTATTTATTATCATTATTTTTTTTTTCACCCAAAGGAGAAGGAATTAGAAATTAAAGAGTTTGGTCCCTTAAAAGTCAAAACTTGTTTCTGGTTAAGTTAGAAAATAAATGATTTTAACAAAAAAATTATTAGATTTGTGATATACAAATTTTTTTTTTTTTCTTTTCATTTACGCAATGAAATAGAATTCTTATTTATGCTTTCACAACTGTTTTTTTAAATTTCTTTTCCCTTCGTTTTTAAAACAGGAACAAGTCAACATTGCTGTCTTTTTCATTTCATTTCTTTTGTGATATCCTCTTCTTTTCTTTTAATATATAATTAAACACAATATAAGTCTACTATGGGAAAAAATACATCAATCAAATCCCATGAGTCGAGGAATTGTTGATATGATATCTTATATATAATTTTAAGTTTAAGATATTCGATGTAACTCTTCTAATGAAAGAATCATGTATATAATATTATTATATTCAAAATTCTATATACTCAATATATATATATATATATATATATATTTTGTTCAGGGGATTTGATGCATCACCCTCCAACAACATCTCGGGCTAAATACCTCTGTCACTTGTTTGAAACTTTTAAATAGAAAAGAAAAGGGATCAATTTATTCTCTGTAAAGTTTATAACAAAACGAAAAAATAAAAACTAATAAACATTATTTTTTGGAGGGAACATAAAAGTATGCTCAGAGATTGACCTCCAACCCCTAATTTTTTTGTTCTCTTCCTCTTTCATATTTCAAAAACTTGGGAGGAGGAGAAAAGTAGATGCTTTTAACAAGTCCATACTCATTTGGCATTGTCGATCATAGACGTATGCGAAGAATAGTCTTAAAGAGAAAAAGAACAAAAATTAATTCAAACCAAAGTTAATTTGTTACTTCACTCCAAATCGATAAGTCAGAAAAAAGAAGAGTAAAACCACAAAAAAAAAATAGGTTAGACAGTTGCAGAAAAGAAGAAGAAGAAGAAGCCACTTTTTGTCTTCTTTTGACTTCCTCTGCCTTGAACTAAATATAGTGCACCTATTTATGGCTTCAACCCTTTAAACCATCTCCAAATGTTTTTGCAATTGTGGACGAAAATAAGACACTTTAGCGAGCTCTCACAAAATTTTTCATATTTTGAAATTTTTAAATGTATTCTCAAATATAACAGTTCTCAAATAGCCTCTCAAGCTCAAAATATAACAAGTGGATACTCTCTCAAAAGACCTCTGATATTTTGATATTGCTAAAATAAATATAAAGCACTCCAATGAGCTCTCAAAGCATAGAATGATTATTGTATCAAAAAATAACATTTTAGATGAAATGAACCATTAGAACATAATTGTAAAAATATAACATTTTAACACTATAACTGTTCTAAAAATATAAATTTGACATGAAAATATAACATTTTGTATTGAAGATGTTCTTAAAACCTATCCCTATTAATTAAAGGAACAAACAACAAAATAAATAACTCATTTTCTGTAAGCAAACATTAAGAATTGGGTAGGAAATTAATATATACGCTGCTCTTTTATTGAGATATTTATAATAACTTTCAAAAGTTTCTCATCATTTAAGTTGGTAGGAAAAATATAAATGCTTTCTTTCATTAGTGTTGTCTACCGCCCATCAATAGAGTGCAGTGTAATTTCAGAAATTAATAAAACATGTCCGTAAAATTTATCGTCAAAAAATCATATATTATACACACACACATACACAGTGATATATTATATATACTGCAGCTGAAGTTATATATACTGCAGCTGAATTGAATTTCAAGTATGCATATTGTAGCACAAAAGTTAAACGAGCAGGTGGCTATCACCATATGGCTGGCCCATAAAGCAATTACTAACGCATTATTTCGAAATCTGCATCATAAAGTTGATTAGATTTGCTTTGTCCCCCTTATAAGGCAAAAGTCTAATCCCATTAAAAAGCCGAAAGTAAATAACAAAGCTTTCGACTGTGAAGACATGCTTAACACTGTAAGGCTGCATTTATAAAGAAAATTTATATTTAAAATTAGAAAAAAAAATTAATTGAAAGCTATAAGCAAATACGGATGAACGACTTGAATTGAAATTAAAAATAATTTACTTTAATTTTATATTTAAAGGGCTGATTCAATGTTCTTGATAAAAGTACTTCTAGATCATAAAATACAAACAAAATAGACAACCATGCTCGCTAAATGAATAATAGTACTTCCTCTTATATATATATATATATATAATCATTTTTGGTAAGGGAAAAAAATATGGAACTAACTTTAAAATATATATATATATATATATATATACAAGTGGAAGCACTACAGGTTCAATAGGATGCTTGTTTCTTAATATTATTTTCATTGTCATTTACATATAAAAAAAAAACATCAATCCTTTAGTAAACAACAAAATTAGAAATAACCATGTTTCTTAAAAAAATAATAATAAATAAATAAATAAAATTGTAGGTGATGAGAGCACCGCCTAACGGTGACAATAATAATTAGTGATTAAAGAAAAATAAAACAGGTTCCAAATGTGACAGATAGCACGAGGGTATTAGTTCACTTTTGTTGTGGAGTGTCGGTCTAATCTTACTTGTTTTTAATTAACGGTAATCCGCTCCAACTCATATTATAGTCGTCTCCTGCAACCAAACAAACAATGGTACACATATTGACCAAGTCAACTTCGCTTCTCAATTTATCACCTCAACTTTGTTTAATTTACCACAACCAACAAACAATTAGTGACATACATTTCGCATTAAACAAACAAGTTGTGAGCAATTAATTTTAATAAGGTAGTATACGGATTATTATAACTTTTTTCTTTTGATGGAGACACTAATGTAGTTGAAAATTGTGAATTCAGGAATGGTGAGCTGGAATCAAACAATGAACATACTTTGTTTTGTTCCACGTATGAGATAATAATAGCGACCTGCAATTCTAATTTAATATGTCAAATATAATAAAAGCAGGCGAATCATCTAAAACCGTTATGTAATGTGCTCAACAAATTAAATTAAGATTTAATTTTGTTGAGCGCATTATTGATGTACTTGTTACTGTAAAGGATTCAAACATAAAATCTAAAAGCATAACAAGTGGCGAGAATGACGAAACCAAAAATTAACTTAAGTATTGCTGCATGTATGATAATTAATCCTTATTTGTATTGATTTATTTATGTGGTTTTAGAGGAGATGAGAATTCTTTTTTCTTTTTCTTTTTTTTCTTAAATAGAGTGAAGTATAATCACAGTTCATAAGTTGATTTTCAGAATTGCCAATACGTGGCCTTCCTTTTGGCTGAATAAAAGACGAAAAATGGGATTTTTATTTTTATTATTATTTCTTTTTTCTGGTAATGAAAAATCATTACTACTTGGGGGGAGAGAGAAAATAATTCACCACTAACAAAAAGCTATACAAAATGATAAAACTGCAAGTTTTAAGTCATGTGGGATAATATCCACCAATATGGACTCAGAAGATTGGTGTTAGAATTCTCCTATATCCGATCCAGATGAAAAATATAACAGCTTAAATTTTTAGATTGAATTGGAAAGCACTTGTTATATATTTTGACATGTTTAAAAATATTTAATTACTAAGTTTTGTTAAAAGTAATAAGCACCGGGATGCAGGTTCAAGTATAAAAGTAGTGATTAGAAAGCAAATAGATCCCTTTTTAGTCTTTAGAATGAGAGGCAAATAGGAGGTATTTATGCTACATAGGCCCAGCATTCTACTGATTGTTTTTAAAGTGTGAAGAATCATGTAACATAGGCCCAGCATTCTAGCCCAAACGGGGCCCAAGTCATCATTCCATCTGTCGGCTAATGGATTAGTATTTTCTTTCATTTTTTAACAATAATTAATAGAGAGCTAAATAGTGGTGTTTCATACCATGTCGCCTCTTAAATCCAACTCCTAATACATATGTTCCGGGGTTGCATGGAGGGAGAGATTTACATAAATCAGTTGAAAAATTGAAGTTGCCATGCTGCATCTGGCCCCTGAATAGGTTGCAAGAGTGGATGCAAATGAAATTCTAGGTGTATGTGACTGAGTAATTAAAATTGAGAGCAACAATTAATCTTGAAGAAGGACAAAGTTAAGTCACATAAAGCGGGAGCGAGAGCGAATTCGAAAGCGGGAGCGTAAGGGCAGAATTAAGTCATAAACAGTAAAAATTTAAGCGAAAACGACACCTATTAAGAAAAATTATATAACTTTGGGACAAAGTAAAGATCATTTTATATTAGGTTTCACCACTAACTCTCATCTAACTTTGCGAAGCCAAGGATTTTGTGTTTCCCCAATAATTAAAATAATAATAAATTCTGTATCTTTCAGCTGGGTCTACAAAAGTGTTTGTTTGTCTTCTTCTTCTTCTGCTTCTTCTTCTTCTTCTTCTTTTTTTTTTTTTTAAATGGACTTAATAAAAATAGTTAGAGAGACCTGGAAAAACAGTATTCACATACTTTTCCCTATTGACATTTGCACCAGTGCATGAAGTTCAACACAAAATTTAACACAAGTGCATGACTTTATAGATACCACCAACACATAAGAGGAGCCTTAACGTTACAAAGCCGAGAACAAGAAGCGGCTACATGGTCATTTTCAAGATGAACATGTCACAATCAAATTATCCACTCTCTCTCCAAAAAAAAAAAAAAAAAATTAGGGAAGACTAAAACTTTGCCATCAAAACTCCAGCATGCAAACATTTTTTCAGACTGAATGAATGCTAATCAACCAAAAACCACAACACCCCACAAGCAAGCATTCACAAAATTCAAAATCTAGCCTTCAACCATGTCTTTTACAACATCATGAGTAGAGAGTCTACCACTTCAATGAAAAAACTTAAGTCTCTAATTAGATTTTTTACATCTTCACCACGCCAAAAGAAACAAGGCAAATCATGCACACTATCCTTCTTATGCCCCCCAACAACTTCCAAATTTAACAAAAAGAAAACAAAAAAATTAAAATCATATTTCATGCTTCAGATTTAACTCTGAATCCAAGCTTACAATTGCTTCCCCACCCTCTGCAGACAAGGAAGGAATCTTGTTCATTTTCTTCACTTCTTCGCTTGAGCATATGAGGATCTTCTTCACCATTTTACAAAATTCCCTGCAATAACAATTTTAAAGATATTACAAAACAAACATAAGAATTTCAAATCAATTCAAAGGAAAAAGAATCATGATACAAATTTTCCAAGCTACTCACGGCCACGGATCATCGCCCACGAGCATCGTATCACCCTCATCATCAGTGTAAACAACTTTCCATTTGTTTCGAGGACAAAGCTCTCCCTTAAGGTCGAACATTTTCTCCAGCTCAATTATAAGCTCATCATACCCTTCCAATGTGGTCAAGTCAACAGCACGACCAACAGCAACTCCTTGCATTTGCACCTTCTCGAGCATTCAATAAATGTGCTTCAGAATTAGCAGCCAATGCAAAAAAAGGCTTTTTGAGTTGGTCATTGAAAGAAAACATAGAATGTATTGGGCTTCACCTTGGTACGAGTTCTTGTCAAACTAGAGCAGCAACCCTGGTTGCTCTGTGTCTCATTGGCCAACGCCTCTAATTGAACTTCCTTCTGTTCCTTTGATAACTTCAAAAAGTCTGGGTCTTGAAACCTATCAGCTTCAGAAGCAGCTGCAACTGCGTTGGGACCTTTGCTGCCACTAGACACGATGGGGTCTGCACAACATGCCAATTCCTTCTCTAGACGAGAAACAGTGGAAGAGTTGTGTGATAAATCAATCCCAAATAAACGGCAAACAGTAGAATTCTCGGGTTTTTTCCCATTCTGCTCCTGATTAAGTATGAGGCCGTTGCTTGGCCTTGATGAGACAGGTGATGGATAATCAGAAAGAATGGGCCGTGCTGCTACATTTTTATCATCATCTATTGACTCTTGAAAGAGGTTTAGAGAATCATTCCTGAGTGGAGACCGAGACCAGATGCCATCTGCACGGGCAGCCTTTGAGCTACAGCAGCTGCTGCTATTGGTTATGTTGCTATTAAGGTCTTTCTGCCTCAGGTGCCAGACAGCTGGGTAATTATTGCTTTGGACTTCAGAACCATTACCTAAGTGGCTCAATTCAAGGGATGTGACTGATCCAGGAAACAAGAAAGCTGAGGCAGCAGGACCGTTTGGAGTTTCTACATAAAACAGGAATTAGATAAATACCACACTTCAACAATGATTCACTGAAATCTCAAGGCGATAGACTTTCATACCAACAAGTGGAAGATCAATATGTCGGGGCCTTTTGGTCTTCATTGCTGGTTGAGAAAGATTTAAAGAAGCTGAAGCTACGAAAGGCTCTATCTCCCATACTGAAACCCTATCTGGCCTTTGTATGGTTGAAGGTTCATCCCATTGAATCTAGAAGAGGAAAAAATTAGGAAAACAAGTACAAAAAACAAAGAGGTATAAACAACTAAAAATTCAGAAATTCTAATCAAAACTATATTCAACCTTTAACGACCGCCATTCAGAATCTGACCACGCTGGGGAAATATCTCCAACCCCGACTATTGTGCCTGTGAATCTGACAAAACAAACCTTGTAGGAATTATGGATCAATGAGAAAAAAGGAGAAGAATATGTGAAGGTACCTTCTCTCAGGAGAATCTTCTCCTTCAAACTTCATCTTGAACCGCTTACCAACAGAGAATTTACTATTAACAGCCTCTAGATATTTGTTTAACCCAACGATGAATTGACTTGTCCTGATCAATTCCACAAAGCATAATACAAAGAATTCTAAAATAATTGAAGAACAAGCTTTGATAATTATTTGGAACTAAGTCAGCAAACTAGTAAACATCATCCACAACAAGAGAGAGCATTAAACCTCGGCTTGTAGTACACAACAAATAGGGTTTGAGTAGTAATAGCATGAGATGCAGTGGCAAGCACTCCCAGATGCATGCTCTGACAGGATATAACAGACGGAGGCATGTGGCTCTGTTGCCGAGCATGTCGTCGAACTCCAACACGCAATTCCCCATTATCACCTCTGCAGAAGAGACCACCATCAATAAAAAGTCTAAATCCCACAACAAATTTACACCTTAAACCGTAGCAGCAATACAAATTGAGAAATGAAATTCCAACATCAAATACCTTAGGAAAACAAAAGCATCCCCTGCAGCTAATCTCTTAGAAGTTACAAATGTACTCCATCCTGTTGTAAGTAAATGTCTCCGGGGTTGACCTGATCATTAACAGGTCAGGCAGAGAAACAAAAGTACGGATTGTCTTTTTGCTGGTTAATATATTATTTTAACAGTTGGGGTTCATATTGTTTTATCTCGTGATAAGATAAAAGTTTAATCTCTATCCGTATTAAATCAAATAATAATGAATAAAGCACATAACATACATAGCAAATGAAGGGGAAAAGGCAGGGCATGAGGATATTACCTCTAAATATATGCTTGAATCGCCACTCGTACCCATGGAGATCTTTGGCAACCAAATCCTGAGTTGGGGTTGACTGGGTCATGTCCTTCAAGGATTAAAAACAGCACTTCAAATGTAAGAACATGTCAAAAACTTGATCTCACAAATTTAGCAAACATGAAGGGAACCCCTGTTGGGTTATAGGATAATGTAGGAAATGGATGAAAACCTAATTGGGATTTCTTTTTTCTTTTTTCTTTTTTAATAAAATAATTACCAAATACAGCAAATTTATTTTCATTTGAGGTGACAATTTTTACTATTGGGAAACAGAACAGCAATTTTCACACTAACCAAATAGAGAGTAATAAAAATGAGAGAAATTACCAATGGAGGAAGGCATTCATTAGCATGCCTCCGAAGAACAGAGAACCCTCCATGGGTGCTTGTATCGGATGCCGTTAAAATCTTAACAAATGAATGAACAGTCTGTTTTGGTGGCTCAGGAGGGCATGGATCAGGATTCTTAGGCTCTGTTTGCTGCAAGTATCAGCACAAAACTTTTACAATGATGCATATACATACACATATACACGTGCCTAAGTAAAAACCCTATTTACCCAAAATTTGAAGGCCTAAACAAAGATGAATATAGTAATTAATGATAATTCAATAATAATAATATCTTACATCTGCTTCTGGGTGTAAAGTAATCTGTGCATAAACCTCATCTGTTTCTGGTTCAGCCTGTTAAATGAATCATAACACATACTAATAATAGAAATTTCTTAAAATCAAAGAAAGCGAAAACAAATTTAGAAAGCAAATGATCAGAGTTTGAAACTAGAATACCAGTAACTGAATGTGAACAACGCGACAGAGGATCTTAGAAGGTAGATTAAACTGAGGAGTTTGCTGATTTAATTCCTGATTTGTTGATGCTTCTAACTGCAAACCCAGTAGTCTAAACCAAATCAAAACAAATTTCTAGCAAAACAAGAAAGGTCTTACAGAGAGAAACATACTTGTTCTATGTGACCCTGAGGAAAGTAGAACACTCTCTCTCCTGCGCGAGGAACATCAACCAAAGGCCCTGCACATGCCTTCCACAGCTCCATGTACAGAAGAACATCGTTTCCCAAACCTATCTCCAAGATAAATAAATTAATTAACCAAATATTTTTAAAATAGCTCCAAACCTCATGCTCTTTTTGGTTGCCGAGAAAGTGAAGGAGAGAAGAAAAGAAAGGAGAGTAAACCCTCATTTCCTCGCTTTTTTACAGAAACTTCAGAGCATGTAATTATGAACTTCCTTAACTCCTCTTGTTTCCTCAACTTTCTCACCAACGAGAGGATCAGATATGACATTTCACAGGGACAACACTCTGATTCACTAAAACCAACACAAATCAACCATCTTCTCACCTGTTTCATGCCGTTCTGCATCGTGAGAAACCGATGAACATCTCAGATTTTCATCTTGCGCCATGGAAACCACTCAACAAAGCTCGCAATATAGAAAAAGAAACTACAAATAGAACTCCCAAAACCTCTTCACACGCTTCTTCAACCTACCCCAATTATCATCAATCCAAAACAAAGCTAATTAGAAAAGGCAAAAAAAAATCCACAATCCTTTAATTGCTGTATATATAGACCTGTAATAATAACTTCTATGTAACGACTGTAATAGATAATGTGCTCTCTGTCTCTCACTTCTCTCTCTTATCAGTTACAAAACCACTCTGAACTTTGTCTTCTCAGTAACAAAACCACCTTTTGTAGCTCAAAACTGCTTTTATTCCAACATTTTTCTCTGCTACCATCACCTGAATCGACGTTACCAAATCCCAAAATCGCTTTCCAAGCGTCCTTATTAAACCCCTTTTTTTGTTAAGTGTCCCATTATACTCCTGCACTCTCTCTCTCTCCCCGCATATATATATATATAGATATACAGTTTCTCTCTCTAAAAATGATGTATTTCTCTCTCTAAAATGAACTTTAACCGTAGTTTGGGTTTAACCCTAAAGTTGGGTTTTACTCGAAAGGAAGAGAGAGAGTGAATGATGGCCGTCTGATAACGGCGGCGGATTTAATGGGTGCAGTGTGATGGCACAGAGAACGGTTTACTGCGCATTGTAGGGAGCGTTATGATAGTAGTGACGATGTCACGTGTAACTCACGCTTAATTCATGTAAGCGTGTATTGAAGTGTAGCGTGTATATCACTTTCCATGGAAGAGAGTTGGTTTTGTGATATTGAATTCCTTTAATTTTTTATTTAATTTGTACTGAACCAGACCATGCCCAATGTGCAGGTGGTCCCATATGATAGTACACATCATCATGCCTGACCCATCAACTGAGTCACGTGGTTTGGTCCTTACCCTACCGACGTGTCAAAACTTAACTCGAAGGCATTTGTATCCCTCCGACCTTTTTATACAAGCCAAATAAATTTATGCAACTGATTTTATTTTATTCTATAAAAAAAATTATTACATAATTTGAGAACATTATACATTTTGAAATATTTGATTGAGATTAAATAATTTATAATTAATAGACATTGAGTAAGTGAGACACGTTGTGTAATTTAATCTCCATCTAATACACATATAAAATGATTTTATTTAATGACATAACTCACTGACGCACCAGTATTTTTGATTTGATTCAAATGATAATTTTTTATTTTACAAGATTATGTTAGTATTTGACCTATTAAAAATAAAAAATTATGTTAGTATTTCGAAATATTTATTAAAAGAAAGTCAGATAGAGTGTAAGAGTGCTTCGTGAGTTGTAAATATTCACCACTCATTTTTGTCTAATTCTAAGATATAGTACAAGGTACATTTGCGATGAAAACGAGCTGGTAGAAATTAACAAGCATGAATTAAAATATGAATCACATGTTTTTCATGTATTTCTTTTTAATTATTTAATTTCTATTGAATTTTATTATTTTGCAACGATATTTTTTCTTAAGTTGAAGAAGTGTATCAAAAAAATATATTACATTTTCATTCAAATAAAATATATTTTTTCATTCAAATAGTGTAAAAGTAATTTACGGACTCTACATTTTAGCCATGTCTTTTCCATCTAAATGTAATTATCGATTAATAAAAATTATACTCTAAATTTAATGTGATTTCCAATGTGAGCTCCAAGATTTGGGCTAAAAAGCGGTTTTTTTCCAACTTGAATTAAAGATTTTTATTTCGTGAATTGAAAATTAAATTTATTTTTATATTTTGAATATTAATTGAACCCCACTTCACCAATTTGTAAATTTTAAAATGACCAAGTTGAAATTGAACCTATTATCATCAACTCTTTCATGCCTTTGACCCAAAAAAACAATAATAGCAAAAGTTTGTTCTTCCCTTAATATTTTGTGTCATTTGGACCATTCTTTTCACAGGGACCAAAATCTATTACATATACACAGTACATTATTGTATTGTATATAAGCGCACGGTTGAGAATATTTTCATTATTAATTAATTAAGAAAAGCTTGCTTGGTAGTGGAGTAGTATCCATATCATAGTCACACTAATTAAGATTAATTAAATCATAAAATTCCCCTAAATTATGCTCTTATGTTTCACTCATCTAAGACAACAAAACAACTTACTCAACATCAAAACACAATCCCCATTTCTGCACATTATTATCCAATTCACAATTTTACCATTTTCTTAGACATATATTCCAAATATCAAGTGCAATTACATTAATATTATTACCGATCGGTCGTTTACCGTGGAGTCATTAATCTGACTGGTATAACTTTTCCTCCCATAAAAAATAAGTGAGTAAAAAAATTATATATTGTGCATCGCTCCATGAATGAATGAATGGCTAACACATGTATGTGTAAAAATTATTGTGTGCAAGCGTCGCATTGCGCAATGGAGGAGTAAGATCAGTGTGGGAAATGAATCAATGATGTACTAAATCATTGTTATGCAACTTGTACAGATTAACACTTATTTAATCTCTTTTTAGAGAATAATCAAAAGAAAAAAGAAGGGGCAGACTTTGTTTAAGCTACAAAGTAGGAATTGATTCCTACTTTGCATCTTTTTAACATGAAGCAACTGCTTTGACTTTCCTTTTTCACAAATTATAGTAATAGTTAATTTCATATTACAAGTGCCATTGTTCTGTAAATATTCTTATTATCTAACATAAGAATACATGTTTGAGTTTGATGGCAGTAAATTTTCCCCATCTTCTTGGTTAGCAAGAATCACTTAGTTAATGCTCTTTTAATTTTACACTTAGTTAATGCTCTTTTAATTTTACACTTCTTTTATTTATACCGGGAAAAAAAAAATTATTTGGTTCTCAAAATTAAAAAGAGAGATGATAGAAAATCTAACATGTTTGGTTTGTAACTCTAAAAACAGTTTTCAAGAATTCAGAAAATAGAAAATTATTCTCAAATAACTGCTTGGTTTGTAACCCTGAGAACAGAACTGTTCCAGAAAACTGAAAATAGAGTGATTGGTTCAGTTTTCTGAAAACTCAGTTATAAAAAAGTCTGTTTTCAAATAATTGTCTTTTATTGTTCTTTGAAAACTATTTTTTGTTCTCTGAATTCTTGAGAACTGTTTTCAGAGTTACAAACCAAGCCAGCCATATTTTATAGTTCTCTGAAAACAGACAGTTTTATAACTGAGTTTTCAGAAAATAATTTTCAGAAAACTGAACCAAGTAAAGTGTTTTGTACAATTTTCTGTTTTCAATTTTTTTAGAACAAAAAATTGTTTCAATAATTACAAACCAAGCAAACCCTGAAAAGTTTTGTTCCGAAGGGACACTTCTTTATTTGGAACAAAACTTTTGGAATGAAAATGATTTTTCAAGAACTTTTGGACTCCAACCTCACACTTCTTCTTTGCAAATGCGATGCAATTTCTTCAAAAGCTGACAGAAGGAATTAGTCATGAGAGCAGCATGATTAGGTACTAATAATATTAACTTAGTGCTAATAATTAGTACCATATCATAGTATGGGGCATGGACATGAAAAAGGACAGACCAATCACATTATGTGAATTTTTCTGTCCCAAGCACAATTATATATTAAGTTAGGTTTACATTATTTAGTAAATTTTTTATATTGTTTGGACCACTGTATTGTATAAAATATAAAATTGTGATTAATGGCTGTAATTTAAGTAAGGGATAATAGCTTAAATTCTCCTAATCACTCCAAAAGAAAATAATAAATAAAGTTGAATTAACCATAGAGAAAGATCTCATCTATCCAATTGGTAGATTCTATTTGGATTACAAGATTTGATCCTCTCTAATTGTCAAAATTTAGATATTAGTATATCATTTTATTACAGTTGAATACAGGATATATAGCTTCTCTTGTCATGGTTGTATAGTGACCCAAGTGTTGTAATTTGATTCTATTCCTCACCATTCATTTTTTTTATATAATATATATATATATTATATAAAAGCTTTGGTATCTCGACAGAATCTTCTGGAAATTCCTTCCCATTACTTTGGATTGTTTACTGGTTTAAAAAGGAGTCCTCTTCCCTTTCCTCTTCTTTTCTGGTAATCAGGTAATGTTAAAGGTGGGTGGGTGTGTGTGTGTGAGAGAGAGAGAGAGTGGTGACTTTGAATGCACACCCACATGTGGAGACCAGTTTGGCTTGTGTTGGTTGGCTGCCCTAAACCTTACATATATATTTGAGGTACACCATACAGTTGAGGCTTTGGTCACTCACGTACTTTTTTTTTTTTTTACCTCCACCTAGGTTTTAGTGTATATGATGTTGGGTACTTCATAAAATTATTAAAGATGAAGCATTAGGGTTTTAGTTTATTGTATCTTCGTACCTTGGAAAAAAAAAAATAAATAAAGAAACCAACACTTGAGGTTGGATTCATGTTAAATCATGTGAAGACAATAGTTGAAGATTGGATTATTTCAGTCTAGTGGAGTCCCTCACTTTATTTGGTTCCATGTAAGCTAATGTGTCTGCTAATGTTTATTTAAAAATGAAATTCATGTAATGCCAACTACTTATGTTAATGTCACCTGTTTAATACATATACATGTATACCTTAATACAATGGGTATATAATGTAGCTACTTTGTTAACGATTGTGTGTAAGTGCGTGTTACACGTGCACAATTTTATATTATTTGGGTGTGAAAATGGCAAGTATTATATGTAGATTCAACATCTTTTTATGACACAATACGTTTTAAAGCCGTAATGATCGTGAGCCTACTAGAACTCCAGAGTTAAGCGTGCTTAACTTAGAGTAGTACCATGATGGGTGAATCCCCCGAAAATCTCTGCTCCAAGGAAGCCAAAAGTGAATAATATTGTGTTTGGATAGAGTGAGGATCGTTACAAATGATATCAGATCATGACCCGACCGAAAGTGTAGCCAACGAGAATGTTGGGCCCCAAAGGAGGGTGATTTGTTGAGATTTTATTTCTTGTAATCTGGGATTGTACAAATTGTATAACTGTATGATTGAATTATTTATTCCCTGATTTAGAGCTAATTGATATGTAATTAGTTCTCTGATTATTTTATGATTAATTACCTAATTTAGCTATATCTTAGTCTATAAATTGTATCAAAGCCATCAGTGAATAATATTAAAATATAATTTTAATTCCTATATTCTTCTCTGAATTGAAAGATGGTATCAAAGCCTACCAAAAAAGGCTTTGAATCTCTTTGAACCGTACCTTTGAATTTCAGTCTCAAATCTCTTTGAACCATACATTCACGCGTGCACGCGCTTCCTCACACCCTCTGCAATTAGTCGCCGCTCCTCTCACGGCTGTTCCTTCTCAGGCTGTTACACCGCCAGCCTCGCCGCAGCACCAAAATCGTCACCGATAATTTCTTTGCAACCAGCCACCTCTACTCACACCGCTGCTCTCGTGACTGTCGCTGCCTTCACCAGATCTGCCATCGTATCTGACCGTTGCCGAATCTGCTCCTTTTCATCGCCGTCATAACTGCTCTGCCGCCGTCGCTGTTGTCGCTGCTCTCTGCCGTCATTGCAACAAAATCTCACTCAGTTTTCTGTTGCTTAACAGAAACGTAGATTATTTTTAGCCCTTTCTCTCTCCTATTTTTTCTAAGATTGGGCTCAGTGTATATTCTAAGATTGGGCTCAGTGTATACCCTATGATTGGGCTAAATGAATCCTTTTGTTTTTGAATATATATATATTAAAAACAAAAACAAAAACAAAAACAAAAACAAAAAAACAAAACAAAACAAAACAAAAAAATGATTGAAAAAAATATTGAATCATGTGGGACGAAATCCGTTCCTATTGTTGTTCAATCTGAAGGTGTTTTTAATGTAGGGATTAGTTTTACTGAATCAAATTATGACGTTTGGTCCGAGTTGATGGAGATGCATATTGCTGAAAGGGAGAAACTCTTCTATATTCGTGGCAAGACGAAGTCACCTGTTGAATCAGAAGATGGATATGAAAAGTGGTATGTTGAAAATCACAAAGTGAAGAGGTGGCTATTAATGTCCGTGACTCCAGAAATTATGAAGCTTTATTTACGTTTACCCACTGCCCATCAAATATGAATTGCTCTATCAAAGGCCTTTTTATGATGGGAATGATAAGTTGTAAGTTTTCGCCTTGAACCAAAAGGCCTTCACCCCCAAACACAAATGGAAAATCTCTATCTAAATATTATGGAGAGCTAACTGAGGTTTTCCGAGAATTGGACCATCGAGATAATGTGGTCATGAAAGATTCGGATGACATTGAAGCGTATCGGAAGTATATCAAGTGACTATGGGTTCATATCTTTCTTACCGGATTGGATGATGATTTTGAACAAGTTCGTGGAGAGATTTTACGCAAAAATCCAGTTCCAGACTTGGATACTACTCTTTGGTTCGACGAGAAGCGGTACATCGTGCAACTCTGAAAGGGGAATCTAAAAACTCTAAAGCTTCAGTTATGATGGTTCGAAACCAGTCTAAGCAAAACTGGTAGGACTGTACTAAACCCAATCAACCTAAAGCCACCAACGGTGTAGACAAGTCTACCTACAAATGCACCCATTACACTCACTGATAATCTGCATTTAGATTCTATTTTAGTTGTTCCATCTTTAGATTATAACCTTTTGTCAGTTTCCCAAGTAACTATAGCTTTATCTTGTGTTGTAATTTTTTTGCCTGATTTTTGTGTGTTTAAGGACATCCAAATAAAGCAGACGATTGGTTGGGGTATTAGGCGAGGGAAGCTGTATTACTTGGACTTGATAAAAAAGTTCTGACAAGCTACGATAAGCGTTGAAAGTGGATGGTTCTAAGGGGGAGAAAAAGAAATCTGAAATCTGGTTATGGCATCGACGTTTGGGGCATGCTTCCTTTGGTTATCTGAAAAAATTATTTCCTAATTCGTTTGCAAAATTTGATATTTCTAATTTCCGCTGTGATGTATGTGAACTAGTAAAGAGCCACCGTGCTTTGTTTTCATTATGTTTAAATAAAAGTCTACTTACTTTTATAGTTTTACATTATGATGTTTGGGGTTCATCCAAAGTCACTACTTTAGGTGGATCACGTTGGTTTGTTACTTTTATTGATAACTGTACCAGGATGACCTGGTTGTGCTTGATGAAGTCCAAAGGTGAAGTGAACTTATTGTTTCAAAAGTTTCATAAAATGGTTGAAACTCAATACAATGCACATGTTCAGGTTCTCCGTAGTGACAATGGTGGAGAATATCAAAGTTTTGACCTTCAGCAGTATTTGGAAGCACATAGAACTATTCATCAAACCATTTGTTCCAATACACCCCAAAAGAACGGGGTTGCAAAGCGAAAAAATCGACACTTGTTGGAGGTTATTCGTGCTTCATTGATAGAAGCTCATATGCCGTTATCATATTGGAGAAAAGCACTTACCTCTGCAGCATATCTAATCAATCAAGTACCTTCTAGCTCTATTGACTTCCGGACACCATTGCAGGCTCTCACTGACGCAGTTGTTGTTCCAACCATCCCACATTTACTTCCTCATGTCTTTGGTTTTGTGTAGTATTTGTATACCTCCATAAGCATCAACGCAACAAGCTAACTCCTCGAGCATTGCGATGTGTTTTTCTCAGATATTCTACTCATCAAAAGGGGTATCACTGTTATCACCCTCCAACTCGTCAAATGTTTATCATAATGGATGTTGTCTTCCATGAAGACTCGATATATTTTTCTTCTGAGTCTGAACTTCAGGGGGAGTACCAGAAAGAAATTCAGACTCTAGATTATGATTATTACACTTTTTAGAATGGCGATTCTAATAGTGATGACTCATAAGTTGGACCAACCAATCAGGAATCGGACAAATTGGATTTGAGTGGTATAAGTTTGGATCAAAATGGTGATGAATGCCCAGAAATGGAAAGTATAGCGCCAACCCCACCGCCATCCGAGTTTGAGTCCCTCACAACTGATATATCAAACCAATCGCTTACTGAGGATGTTCCTAATTTAGTGCCTGAGCCACTCAGAAAACAATTACCACAGCATCACACTCGAGGTATTCCTAAACCCACATATGAATCCAAACTTTTTAGTAAAATTAAGTATCCCATGAGTCATTATGTGTCGAACCATCGTTTGTCAGAATTTATAATACCCCTAATTTTAAAAGGACAGTCCTGGAATTTAATTTATTTGTTTAAGTGCATTTTTAGTGTTAAACTGTTTAATTGAATGCTATTATTTGGATGCATTGATGAATTATTTTAATTGTTTTGTTTCCTTAATGGAATTAAGTGTTATATTTGTTTGTTAATTTTTCAAGTTAATTGGATTTTGTTTTTTATTGGTTATTTGATGTAATTGTATTAATTATATTAATTAGTTAAATACGTTAGTTGGATTTCTTGTTTAATGAATTATATGGTTGTAAGTATTAACGTATCATTAGGGTTTTATATAGCCGACTTAAGGTTGGTGTAGAATTAAACTTAGGTTTTAATGACGCCCTATATATATTGCATTATACATATGTTTAGGGTTACAAACAAAACCCTATTCACGTATACAGTGAGATAGAGAGACGCAGAGAAGCAGAGAGTGGAAACTTGAGAGCTTGCAGAGAGGTTCAAGGAGGTTGTAACGGAGTGCTTCTGGGTTGAACTAAGAGCGCCGGAGGTATAGAATAATAGTCGACAACGTTGACGGAAAATTTAGAGACGACAGTTTCAGTTTTCTAACCGGAAGTTAGAAGCAAGTTCTGTTCTGCTCTATCTCTTTAATCTGTGTTCTATGCGTGTTTGGGAAGACTCCAGGAATTAAACTAAGGCTTAATTATAACCTCTATGCATGTTTAATCAATGTTTCAATTCATGGAATAAACCTGTTCTTGGTTGTTTTAAAAAGATAGTAATAAAAACTGTAACTTTGTAATCTTGCTCCGTTGGGTAACAATTTGTTTTTCAATTCAAGTTTTGATTAAATATCATTGTATGTCCTTATTTTATAATCAATCTGGAATTGGAATAGACCTTAAAAACATGTAATAAAAGTACTACAGAGAACTGGTACTCACAGGAATCGGATAAGACGAAGTTTAAACGGACAGGAGGCTGCTAAGGGAGGAAGAAGAGGCTTCCAAAACCCTTAGAGTTGGCTCCCAAAGAGGAGGAGCTGGCTCTTGGTGCACTAGAGCAGGCTTTAGAGAATCTAGAGCCGGCTCTAGATGGGAAGAGCAGGCTCAAATTTTTTCTAGAGCCTACTTTCTCTTTAATTGCCCAGAATCTTGATTTTAAGGTCCGTTTGGGCTGAAAATTGGTTTTCTAAAATTATTTAAAAGCTACTGGAGGGTGTAAATCATAGCCAAAGACTTATAAAAATGTTGGGAAGCATGGTTACAAGTAGGTATTGAGGATGGAATTAACTTTAGTTTAAACAGAGAACCGTAGGAGGATGATTGAAGAATTAATTTTCTTTTGTCTACTATTTTTGAAATTTTGATTTCTCTGTATAATCTTAAACTGCTAGTCATATTTTTATTATGGTATAAGCATATAGTAGTATAACTAGATGTAAATATGGATGAAATTAACTAATGATTAAAACTGGATATAAATTGCATCAGTTATGGCACTGTTTGGAGAAGTAAATTGCATACTTTTGTTTTTTCATTTAACGGACTGGAATTGGGATTTTTATTTAATACTGTTTTAATTATATTTAGACAGTTTTATAAGCATAGTAAATTCTTGGAATTATCTATGTTTGGTTGGAAGTAAATTGATATAATAGTTCAGTTAATTTGATCAATTAGTGGATTTGATGCATGATATAAATGTTATGTTTCATAATTAGCAAATTTAATGGTTGGAATATACTTTCTAGGCCTGGACTGCATGCCTAAGTTTTATATTTATGGATTAATTTGGTTTGTGCATATTTTGGGAGTTGGGTTGAGGACTGTCTAGTACTGTTTTATCAACTCTATTAACTGGAGGAGGGTATGTACCGGTATGGGACGGTGACATACTAGGTATGGACTAGTTCAGACACTAGGCCTACCTAAATTTGGATTAAGGTATGGATTAATCATAAAGGTTAAGTCCATCACCTACATGTGTCATATCAATTGTGAATTGAATGACCTACTATGGTTTCAGAATGGATTTGTTATACATATAGCAGACCACTACATAGATGGATGATATACTGTATTAGGAGGAATTCGGACTTTATATATATTATATGGTGTCGTGGTATGAGCTTGAGTTTCATGACCATGGTTAGGGCGCGTATATCGCCTAGGATGGATAACTGGACATAGGTGTTGTTCCCTGGTAGGTCTAGGTACTCATGCCCACCTTAGGGTGCGTATTCCCATGTTGCCTTCTATTCAGGCTGAAACAGACCTATTGGACTAGCGAGCGTCCTATAGTGTGTACTATATTTTTATATGGACTACTCTAGATATTGTTGAGTCTTCCTAGGATGTATCTGCGTATTGGATTACTGTTTGGATTGTAGTAGATCAGGACTTGCATGTGGGCCTGACCCACTTCTTTATTTTTCAGGTGTTCGTCAGTTCCAGGGTTAAAGCTTGGACGTGTAGAGCAGATACAGATATTCGTTCCTCCGACTATGTAGGAATCTTCTTTATGCTAGCTTTAGA